AAACATGGCATAACATCGTTTAATAGATATTAAATGATCATTGAACTAAAGCAATCTAGACAGTTTGTGAGGAACAAAACACTTTTCCTCTTAAAACTCATCAGAAAAATGCAAATGAAATGAGGGATTCATAGTTAAAACACTATAAACGCCTGAATGCATAATTTTTCCATTGCATAAAAACTGAAAGAAAAAAAAATTGCATATACATGCATAGAAAATCCTCGTATGTTAATGAAAAGTATGGTTCACTCTATGGTGGTCAAACTATTTTGCATAAATGCATATGTGCTTTGTTGAGATTTTTATTTTCTAGTTGAAAAAAAAAACTTTATTGAAATTTTAATGAAAAAGCATTTTGTTGAGATTCGCTAAATGAATTGCCACCCTTACAAACATACACAACCACATATAATGCTAAATATTATCATCATCCGCATCATGAATTCGAAAAAGATTGAAAACGATGATGATGTTGATGAGGAATCCTCGTTTTGCGAGTGCTTTTTTTTTGCCCCATTCCATCCTATCTCTGATGATGCTAGGAAAAAGAGCTTTGTGAATATGAATATTTAATGAATCAGCATCAAGTGAATTGCATGCTAAAAATTAAAATTGAAATTTATGTAGGAATGAAGTAGTTTGTTTTTATGGTTTTATGTGATGATAAACAGAATGGAAAACAATTTTAAATATGATTTCCAGTAATGAATATGATTTTTGGCATCATTTTATAGAGTTCAGCGTACGAATATTTATGAGTCGTAAAAGCATCTACTTATCGCTCAATTGAAATGGATGTAATGTGTCCAAATCGCTTTTTAATATTTAATTGTTATTTTTTTTACAAAAATTAATGGGAAACTCTTTAAGGGTTGTTCACTTATGACGTCCGAAATTAACGGTCATTTTTCAAAGAAGAACAATCGAGTTCCAGGAATTGATATTGTTCTTTTCTTGCTGACCCCCCTCCCCTCCCTGTACGTCATAAGTGAACAGCTCATTAGCTTTAATAGTGTATTGTAGTGTAGTAGCTTTAGGAACGTTTATTCGCATTTATATAATCATGTATATACTACATCCTCTGAGCATAAAACTTGTGTGAATCAACGTTTAACGACTAAAGGTTGAATCGGGAATTGAATTTTTGAAGAATTACAAAAAATGTGAATTTTCATCGTCTGAAAAAGGTTTGATGGTTTTAATGTGTATTTTCAAATGTTAAAAATTCTTAGCCGTGCTGGAAATTTCTTAATCATGAAAATTGAAAAAAACAAATTTAAAATATTATATTTTTGAGAAAAATAAAAAGGTTAAAGACGAGTATCGATGGATTCAAAATGTTAAAGAGGATTTAAAGTGAGAAAAATATTTTTCATGTTTTTCAATTTGTGAAATACTGCAAGGGTAGATTTTCTATGACAAAATCCGTAGCAGCTTATAGCAATAACAGAAATTCATTCGAGTGAAAAACAAATTTTTATATTTTTATTTAATAAAATTATTTTTAAAGTTAAAGTGTCTGATGACTCGCAAAGAAATCAATTTTTTGTCACACTCAATCCAAAAAAAAATATTTGCTGGATGTGCTGCTATGAAAATCAGATTTATCATATTTATTCATGAATATTTTCGCTTCAACAATTTTTTTTTTGGTAAAAGAAGAAAACATAGGACAAGGATGTAATCAGGTAAGTCTATTCATATTCATATATTCATTTTGGTTGCATCCAGTTGAATTAAACAATTTGGTTTGTCAAACAACTTGCGTCTTAAGATTAGATATGAATGGATGCTTGATCATCCCATACCCGCTTTCTTATTAAATTTAAGCTACATCTCTGTGTTTAAATCCCACACTCTTATTATTTTCAAAACACATCTCTTAGTCATGAGCAATTCAACTTTTTGTTTTTAAAGAGTTTTTGATTCAATTGATTGTTTTTCTGAGATTCGTTTTCGTCAAGCAAGTAAGATTGTTATGGAACTGGAATAAATGTTAGACAATAAGTTCTTTTCATCACAAGTTTACAATTAAGAATTAAATTAGAATTTTGGGACAGAAATTATATCATAAGCAGAAGAACATTTGTGAATAAGGATATTCCTAATATACAGACTCATCCTACACACAAAACAAAAGAAAATCCTACGAAGGTAATTAAATTGATATTAAGTGTCTCACAATAAATAATTTGAGGAAGTATAAGTAAAAGACAAGAAATATTTTTTTTTATCTCTTCAGGGATTTCTGTCATTTTCATAATTTTATCGTCATTTTAATTCCATTTCTTGTCGTTGATACAGCACGTAACGAGTTTTTCATAGAACTTTGCCTCAAAATACAATGCGTTACTAAAGAATTATTAAAACTTTTTTGTGCCATTTAAAAGGAACAAAAGGAAAATGTTTATGCGACAGAATTGGGACGAATTTGATGTTTTAAAGCTTTCAGCTCATAATAGCTGTGATGCACAAGATTCTTGAAGAAATTAATTTAATAAATGTAGAGAGAGCTGTAAATAACAAGAAAACAAAAGGAAGGGACGAGAAATAAGCACAGAGAGAATTAAATTAATTAAGAAATTTGTCAAAGCATAAAAAATGCGCGTCATGAGAAATTTCATGCTTATTCTTTTTCATAATTATTTGCTTCCATTTTCTCAAATATATTGCAGAAGAACGGAAATCAATCTGGAACTGCAAAAATTCTATTTCTAGTGATGTCCTTAAATTATCCTGTTATGAAATCAGTAAGGCAAGAACTAACACAACAGAGACTATGTTCATTCCAGAATCATTAGTTGTACGAGAAATCGGTTTTCCATGTTTTGATTTTCCTCTTCTCTTGCTTCATCCTTCTATACAAAATATTTTGCTGTAGGTTAAAAAATGTTTCAGCTATGAATGAATTTTGATCCACTGTTGGTGCATTTATCGGTGAATTGAACACGTTTTTTGAGTTTCACTGTTTAGATTCAGGGAAAATAAGAAGTCTGATGGATGGATGGTAGAAATTGAATATTTATGGATGTGCATAACACAACTAGTTGATACATCAACAATTAAGGTCGGATGTGAGGTAAAGCGAACACGTGAACATCACAAAATGTCTTGTTCTGCTGTAGACTCATACTTTGTAAGGTGATAATTTAATTCCTCCTGAAATTATTTCAGTCACCAAACAATTTAATTGGTACGAGATATAGGAAGTACTGGAGATTTAAAGATGCATAAACTGGAACTGGTAATATTTGTGACAAGAATGGTCTAAGATTTGACCTTTTCTGTTAAAAAATTAAGTTTCATGGGAAATGTTAAAGCATGCATGTGTATAAGCATTCAAATATATGAAATAAATATTTGTGAGCAAAAAGAGATGAAAATTCTTAAGGAAATAGAAGGTGGAGTAAAAGAAAAATTGTAAATAAATCAGTGGGGTTATAGCTGCTGTCTAAAATGTAATTGCATTCACTTTCATCTTATAAATTATTCATCTCCATTTTCCTTTCATTTTCTACTTTCTTACTTGACGTCTCAAATGGGTTGAGTCTCTTACTCTTCCTTCTACTTCCTTACTTTCTAGTCAAGACTGAAGCTTCCAGCAACAATCATGAAGCATGTAGCTAGTCATAACATTTTTAAAGATTCTATGGTAAGCACTGAAAGTGGCAAAAAAGTACCAACAGTAAGAAATGGAATTGAAAGTAAAGTGGAATTAAACTTTTAATTGAATACTGCTGCGGAATCTTAATTTTCTTCCTTCCATCATTTGCCACAATTTTTCTGCTGTTTCCTTTTTCTGGCTTGTAAATTATCTTTATTTGTGGGCTTCCTTTTTTCGACTTCTGAGCCTTCGTTTCATTGAAAATGATCATTGAATCGAAATTCATGGAAAAGGGTAAGATTGTGCCTGTATATGAGATGAGCCTTTTGCTAGATGATTGCTCAACTTGCTTCACGTTCTTCTTGCTGTGTTTATGGTATTGAACCCTATTTACTTCCTCCCTCAATGTCTTTTTTCTTTCTATTTCTTTCTAAATACAGCCGAACCTTCTCATAAACTTTCCGTCTCATAAAATGAATGAAATAAAGAAATGATATTTTTATATTTATGTCGATGGCTCCCTTCAATCTTCTTCCTTCCTTTATTCTTCTTTTTCGAATGGTAAAAAACAAGTTTATAAAAATGGATCAGAAATTTATTGAATTATTGGCATCATATCTCATTGCTATTGACTAAATTGGCATCTTAATTCACTTCAATAATGTCCTTTTAATCTATTCTACATCAAATACCATTACTGCATTACAGGAATAGTCTGGTTATTGAGAATGACTGCACATATTATTCCTTAATTGAATTCCTATTTCAGACAGTAATTCATGCAAAAAAAGATGGAAATGCAAGTGACATTGAGGAGAAAATTCATGGAATTGCATAATGCACAACAATATTGAGATGCCAACTGCTGCATTTCAACCTCCCATGGAATTTCTCATCGATTTTCCTGATACCAATTTTCCCACCTTTCTCTTCTTCTTTTTATTGCTATCTTTGTCCACAACATGTGTTCAAGTTCCCGTAAAGTGTCATAAATATTTTAGATTATGATTGTGGATTCCAATGGAAGACAATTATGACATTTATGATTGCGATATGTCAAAAAATTCATCTTGATTCATTTTGGGTAATTTTAATAAACTATGTCCACGATTTGATGCAGGCCCAGATCGTCTAAATCTTAATGGCATTCGTTAGCTAAGATTGTGAAAGTTTCGGCCTGAGAATTAAGAACTGAAAACAATTATTGAGCTGCCTGTTAAAGATCATTGCAATGCACGACTTGAGAGTAATTTATCCTTAATTAAGGTGGAAAAAATCTTGTTTGTGATCGTTAACCTTTGTTAATCGACCCCAAAGGTGATCAGGTGGTTCCAAAAGACAGCATTTTATGGATATCATATCAAACGACCTATAAACTTTATCTAAATATGAATTAAGTAAGATCAGTTCTCAATCATATTTCTTAATTATTTTATTTATGTACAGATGATTCAGTAAATTAAAAATGTTTTCAAAAGTCAAGAAGAATTGTTTAAGACGGAACTTGTAGAAAATCAAAGATCTTAAAAGAGATAGTTTAATATCGAGGCTTTTTGCTCCAATCTTTAGGCGTCCAGTGAAGACATTTTGCGTCGACACGTAGCATTCGTTTCTCCATTGCCTTCCTATGTTGATCAATTGTGTCCTTATTAATACAAATTATATATTGGCCATGCTTGTAATAATTTAAGAGATTTAAGGTACGCAATGTAGAGATGACATCGTCCCTTTTTATGCTTGTCATTTCACATATTTCACTATTTTTGGAAGTAGATTTATTTAGAAATAAATATTTCTATTAGAGTTAACTGAACTTACTTTATAGTTATTTGAGGCCTTTCATCACTATCGCCATTATTCCCTTGTTGTAAAAGAATTTCTAAGACTGTATGTGCCCAATAACTGCGATATGACAAAAGACCCAAATCCGACAATGGCTTTTCAGGCGAGCCACATTTTCCCTCAAATTTCGATAATTCATAGCCTTAATGGAAATAAGAATAAATTAAAATGGAATTGACTTGACAGCATGTATCAACTTACTAAATTCAATGAGCATTTTGCCATATCCTTTACGTTGATACGGTGGTAATGTGAGAATGCAAGCAACATTGTAATCCTCTGTGCTTTCCTTTTCCTTTGAGAAATAACCGACTATGTGGAATCCACGATTATCAAATTCAGTCATAATATAAAATAAAAATGGATCTGTGTCATAATAAAGAGTTTTATGATCCAGAAATAATTTGGCTAAAAGACATAAATTCTGAGCATAACACTTATTCTTTCTGCCGTCAATTTCGAAGAATGAAATTGTTCCTTTTCGATATATTTCGTTACCCGGTGGATTTCTTAAATTACATTTTGTTAAATGACGTTCTAAGCACTTCCTGCTTTTTCGATATTTCAGACAAAATTCACAAATAAAAATACAATCTAAGGTGCACAATTCTTGAGGATATGGTGAAAAATACCATGGTTTAATCCGATGCTTCCCTAATTCAATCAACTGAACATTCTTCATACGAGTCACGACATCGTCATGATGTGTTACCATACTTCCTGACTGTCTTGGTGTCTTTTCAGCAGCTGGAATGTCTTGAGAATCATCATCTATTGGTGCTGGTGTAATTGGTGTGATTGGTGTTGAAATTGGAATTGGGGTCGGGGTTGGCGGGGCAGTTGCTGATAATGAAGGAGCTTTACGTTTTCTATTGAACTTTTTCTGTAATGCTGCTGCTAGCACTGTATTTCCATTAACTTGAACATCTTGGTGAATAGGACTAGGTGGGCGAGATGTGGAGATCAATCGTTTAGGCGTTGAAACACCTGTTGTATTTTGGCCAGTCGTTAATCCATCCTTTCGTGGAAATTGTACCTTCCTTGTATCTAAATCTTCTTCTCTTACCCACTCATCCAATCTTTTATTAACTATAATTCAAAATTACTATCACTACTCAATTTAATGTGATATTAAGGCACAACTTACAGTCTACATAATGAACATAATATGTTAATGCTCCTTCTTCCTCTCTAACACTAATAATCTCTGCTAATGGCCACTCTTCTGTGCCTGACATTTTCACTGGAAGTCGACATCCTTCCACCAGTGAAGACTATAGAGGTAAAATAGGGAAGTTTATTATTATTTATTACTATATGATCCAGTGAACTGGATCTTGAAACTGTTTTGTTTACATTCTCACAAAATGAAAAGATTCACTTAAAAATCACAAAAATCACTTAAACTAAGCTATTAATCTATTGGAAACACTTACGGTGGAGTCACAGATTGAAGATAAAGCATCAGGAATCGTCATATCGTTCGATAAAGTACCCAAAGAGCTCATAGTTCCTTATTTTACATTCGACGCTTTTTTATGCGTAAAGCTGAGCTTAAGCTGAACGTGATTTGAGCTGGAAAATGAATTTGAAATTTTTATGAGCGTTACATCCTTTCGTTTATAAGCCGCGGCTTGTAGCAAAGTGCGATTAGGTTTTAATAATAGGCGATTTAGCTTTTAAAAATACTTTAGTTTATTTTATTGACTTTCTATAATTTCATATCCCGTACTTTAAGTAACAAAGCCTTTTTAGTGTCTTCTGGCAGTTCTCGATGAGTTAAAATGTGATTTCTTAAATAATCTTTTCGACCAACAGCAAATTTGCAGCCTTCAACAAAACAATTTATTCGAACTTTATCATGCGAAACAGCTATGTGTCTTCTAAGATGATTAGCTGAATAGAAGCTCTTCTCACACAGATGACACATAAAATCTCGCTGTCCTGTATGAATCTTCTGATGATTTGCTAGCAGTAATTTTGTAATAAATCCTTTATTGCATCCATCAATTTCACACTTGAATTCTGGTTCTTGATGGTGCTTCATATGAGTTCTTAAGCTTTTCGTACTTGAATATTTTTTCCCACAAATCTCACAAAAATGTTCAGTTTTGTCAATGTATCCAGGCGTATGAACTTTTAAGATATGAACTTTTAATTCTTTTGGCGTAAAGAACTTCTTCTCACAGAATTTGCAAGCATGATCCCGGACATTATTATGTGTTCTCTTTATATGTGTAGTAAGTTTATGGCGTAAATTGAATTCTTTGCCACAGAAGCATTTAAGCATTACTGGAGTTTCATGTTCTGTCTTAATATGATTTTTAAGGCTCTCGTGTCGTGTAAATGTTGCATCACAAAAATCACATCGTATCTGTTCCCGAAATTCTTTAGCTACATGCTTCGCCATGTGAGTGTTTAAATTGCACTTTAAAACTGGAAATAATTTAAATTAAAGATTATGTAGTTCAACAATAAATGATTTATAAAACTTACATGATCCGAATCCGCAGATGTCACAAAAGACTGAAAGTAAATAAATCGATTAGTCCATAGCTCTATATTAAATTAGGTCAGATTATACTTACATCTCTTAACTTTGTAATGAACTTTCTGCAATGGACAAATAAATTTAATTAAAATGATTCTAAGCATTAATAAATTAAGCCACTTACATCAATGTGTCGCTGAAGTTGATCCTTGTAATAACTGTTGCCACAAAGTCTATTAAATTGGAACAAAATAAACACAAACATCATTTTTAAGTAACAGTAGCTTACCCGCAAAGTGCGCGCTTGTAGAACTTCTTGGTTTTGCTGACATCTTTGGACGAAAAGGAATTATCGAGATCCAGTGAACAAAATTGATCATACTCTCTTGTTTGGTCGTTTTCAATTTCCTGGATGTTTTCAAGATATTCGGGAGACACAAAATTGGCGAAATCTTCAGTCTCTGCTTCCTCGTAGTGTTCTGTTTTTATCTGTGCACTGTCATTTAATGTCTCATCCTTAATATTATTATCAGAATATGATGTATCTAGCTGTTCTGTTTGTACTTCCTCAATTCCTTCAACAAACTGAATTAATGACATTTGTTTAAAAACCAAGTCCTTTTTGATGGATGAGAAATTTCTGAGATCACTGTTGCAGCTCTCGCAAATGACATGCGAATAAGTTTCTGTTGATCTTAGCTACAAAAACAGACATTGCGGTAATTTAATAAAAGGCAAACTATAGCTTTATGTTACTTACTTCCATTTGAGTCAAGCTTTGAAACCGTTCCTCAACAATTCTTGTGATTTTAATCTGTATGTCTTCATCGTGAAACTCCCGTAAGCAACATCGACATTTTACCAAGTGATTATCCAGTTCTATTATTGTTTCTTGTGTCATTTTGTTAATTTATTGATGGCATTTAAACTTTTAATGATTTTTGTTTACAATAAACCGAATAAGACATAAACGCCTCGTTAAACTATTCACACCTTCCTTATTGTTCGAACTTAATGATAGATATTGAAGCTTGAAATAATTAAAATTAATGACAAAAGTTAAGAGCTGTTAATTATGCTGAATTATCATTTAAAATGCAAAATGGTGATTTTTCCGTTAAAAAAAATTTGAATTATTCAAAGTTAACACGTGACTCGAGGTGTGAATAAAAGTTTTCAAAAAAAAAATAATAAAAATTTGAAAAATAATATAATTCAATTAAAAGTAAGGAACATGAACGAGATAAGGCATCCAGATCATTTAAAAAGTTGCAGGATATGCCTTGAAAAGTTTACACAAAATGAAAAGCAGATTCTTATTACAAATATCCTAAAAAAACAGTTTCTCGAGTTCACAAATATTGAAGTAAGTCAACATAAAGTTTAAAAGGCTTATTAACTTAATTTTACACACTTTTAGCTTAAATTATCTGATGAATACTCAATCAGGATATGTCTGAAATGTAAATTAAATCTCCAAAGCTTCTCTACACTGCGCCAAGAGTTTGTACAAAAACAACAGGATTTAACAGAATTTGTTGAGAGTAAGCAGCATAAATCCGCAGAGAAGCTTGATATGCCAGAAGTAAAAGTAAAGATTGAACCATTGGAAACAGCAATACTTGATACAGTACTGAGTGATTATGAGGAAAATTGTTATGACGACGAAGATGATGGAATCGATGGAAATGTAAAGGAAGAAAGCTTGAAAAGTGACGACGACTTACCATTATCAAAGTACAGCAAAAGCAAAAGGACACAAGAACTAAATGAAGATGGTGTTGCAGCAATTCCCTTCGAATTTAGATTATCAAAAAAGTATCGTCGCAATATCCCTCGACCATTTAATTGTGAGCATTGTTCAGCTGCATTTGAAACGAAAAAGACTTTAGAAAATCACATCATGTATAATCATTCGGAAACAATCAGCAAAGAGGAAATCAGACGAATTAAAAAGAGAAATCGAGAAGATAGAATGCGAATTTGTCCAACATGTGGATTACGAGTTGACCAACTCAACAAGCATATTAAGCAATTCCATCAACACATCAAAAGATATTTCTGTGACAATTGTCATTATAGCGCATTCAAGCGATTCGATATGATAAGTCATGTACTTAAACATAGAAAGCATGTTGATAAAAGCTTTACTTGCTCAGCATGTGGAACTGGATTCACCAGAAAATGCGGATTAAGACAGCATTTAAGAGATTTCCATTCTAATCGTGGACCTTTCATTTGCAACTATTGTAATAAGGAATTTAATACAAACACTTTAATGAGAAAGCACATAAAATGGATTCATGAAGATGGCTCAAAAACTAGATGTCCTGATTGCGATAAAGAAATTTCAGCATTATGTTTAAAAAAGCATCTCTTGAGAGATCCAGAGGCATTAGATCAGAAATTTACATGCTCAGAATGTCTCAAAGAATTCACAAATAAACGATGTCTAACGTATCACCAGACAACACATCAAGGCAGATCATTTATCTGCGAATATCCAGATTGTGGAAAGAGTTATACGTCATTAAATCAACTGCATTCTCATCAAAAACGCCATACAGACCAAAAGCACTTATCATGTCCATTTGAAGGATGTAATAAAGAATATTTCAAGCAACAAAATCTAAGGCTACATATCGCAACTGTTCATGATAACAGTTGTCGGAAAAACTGTCCTGTTAAAGCATGTACATATTCCACTGGAGCATACAATTACATGAGAGATCATCTATTTAGGCATACAGAACTGAAAGCAGATGAGAGACGCCAATTCTTCCTTGCAATCAAACAAATGAATTTAGTTCAGTAAATTAGCTTATAGATTTTAATAAATTCAGCCTAAGAAATTAAAAAGTATCTTTGTAGTCCTGCATGCTTTTTTAATTTGAGTTAATCTCAATCAGCATATTTTCAGAAATTATGATTCTTTAATGTCCAAAACTTTATCCTGCTTCATCCTGTTATCACAATGAAGAAATCGATGAAAGTGCACTAAAACATTGAAAATCAGCTGAGATTCATTCTAGTTATATTTTTATAACGATGATTTTTTATTTTTCAACAATACAGCGCATTTTTCAAAAATATGCATTCAAATAAGTTCAGCAAACTTTCACGTAATATAAACTACGTACGTAAGTCAATATTACATACGTAAAAATACTTACGTTAGGATAATGTTATTAAAAACGTACGTAAAATCTGTGTACGTAAAAATACGTACGTACAAAATTCTATATGCCTGAAAAATACGCTTAGATCAGTCAGTAGTGACTACGTCTATACAAGGATTATAATAGCTTCCGTTAAATAGATTTTCAATCAAGAATAACAGTCCTTTATGCTGGATACATTTCATGGAAGATTTTAACATAGTTATCACATTGCTCATCTACAAAATGCCATAATGTATTTAATCATTTTTTTAACAATATCAATTAGGATCTTACTTTTCATAAACTCATTATTTCCCCTCAATCTTTGGTTTCTGGACAAAAAGAAATTAAAGACACTATAAAATGTCATTTTATTATCAACTTTAAGTGCTGCATCAAGGAACTTTCTTGCAGGCAGCATATCAACATTTGTGTGCTGTTTCGCCAATCGTATTGCATCGATGATTTTTCCTTGTTCTAATAATATTTCCACAATAATCTCGTGTGCATTTAATCTCTTTAGCATGTCTAGTGCCATTTGTGATATTAATGGATCGTAATTAGCTAGAGATAGAATGAAGCATGCCAGTGGCTTTGATTCATGTAAAACTTGAAAACTAAGTATTTGCTGAAGATCGTGGACTTTCTGACTTCCAACAAGTGTCATAACTAGCATCTTACTAAGGTCATATTCGCATGTTATAGCATGAACCACAAGAGAGTATATGTAGCATAATAATACTTTTTCTAGCATATTTTTATCGACAATTGTATTAAAGATTTGCAGCATGTCATTTTGGTCGATAATAATTTCTCTTGGATGTTCATTCAATGGCTGTGGTTGTGGTGATGTGAAAGTCTTAAAAGCAGATGGAGATGGAAGTGCCTGCATTTTATTTAAATCATGCTGGATTTTCAGTTTATATACTCGATTTAATTTATTGAAAATAATCTCCAGAATTGGTAAGTGAATTTCATTGTAGTCATCAGGTAGAATTAATTGTGTCAGGATATTCATAAGCTGTGACTTTGCATTTTGTCTGTTCATAAGGAAATCAACAAGCTTGATTTTGTCACCAATTTGAATTTTATCAATTGACAATTCGAGTTTAAAAAGATATCCTAGCTTTACATCAATAATTATATCACCAAAAATGATCCAATTTACACTATACATTTCAAAAGTCATTGAATTCTCCTTTAAGGATACAGAAGGAATTTTTATGCTAAACGGTTTGATGGACTTTCCAGCCAATAAAGGTGAATGAATCATGACAGATTTATCTAAGTTATCAGCTTCACCATTTAATGCAATGTCAAACAGTAAGCTCACTTTAGATGTCTGATGATGAATAATAATGATGGAATCGATAATTGATACAGCAACACGTCCACTAAATCCTAATTTTAAGACATGTAGCTTCTTAAATGATGGTCCTGTTAAAAGGTATACAAATATTTCTAATGTCCTATTTCTCGTCGTCTTTAGTATCAAAATGGCAGCTTTATCATATAAAGTTCCAGTAATAACATCACGTTCGGATATACTTTGTCCATCTTCCATTTGAATCGGTGCCAACTTTGTTAAGCTTTCCTTTTTCACCAATATTGGTGTTAACAATAAGCCATTATTTGATGACAACAGGATTATGTTTGATCTATTGTAGCAGAACCAATTTGATGATACAGACAATGACTTTTGTGACTTCATTTGCTTCTTGGCCATATTAATATTAAAGATTTCCACTGTATCAGCAGTGATTACTATAAACTCATGCTGTTCACTCCAAACGAATCCATATATTATTGATCCTGAGTTTTTAATGGGAAATAAGTTAATTTGTCTCAATGTTGATTAATAGACTACCTACCTTGCTTTCTAGTTTCATAAAGGATCGATGAATTCTGGATGATTTGATTGTTTTTAAATCCAATTAGTTCCAAATTATTCTCATTTCTTTGTATAGCTAATACACTGTTGTCGCTGTTAAACTTTATGGCTATCAGTGGATTCTGATTGTCTAAGCAGAAGGAAAAATTCCTATCTTTAGATTCTTTACACTTTATTACACTGACTGCAGCGCTTTTAACAATAAATATTTGCTTTTGACACTCATCAAAAAACACATTAGTGATTTGATTTACTGGATCAAACTTTATATAATTGTTATCAGCTAAATGTAGATAGTAAAAGTCCTCCATTCTACTTGAATTAATTAAATTTCGTCAATGTTTACAAAAATTATCTAAATCTATGAATGTGACGTCACACTATATGGGGCAAAATCGAAAAAAAAGGGTCGATTCACTTCCAAATAGGAATGTTTCAAATTACGTGTTTATCACCTCTTTACTAGTTTTCTTATAGAGGACGTTAAAATAGACTTGTATGTAGGGTACATTTGATATAAAACAACTTGTATGCTTCTTCCATCATCATTTTGAAGTGAATCGTCCCTTTTTCCTATTTTATTCCATACTCAAGTCGGATTAGTCACTTAAATTTTTTCTGTGGATCTATAAAAAATTCAAAATAAAATAGACCGTTGGAAATAAAGATTATTAATTCTACAATTTCAGATTTATTTTTCATGGTTTATATGCAATTAAAAATATGTAGTCAATTACAATAAATGTCTGTAAAAATATTTAAAAGCATAATTATTACACTCTTTAGGATAAAGAAAATGTGAGGAAATGGAAAAATTAAAACACAGATTTGCATTTTTGTCAGAAATATGAAACTAATGAAAGAGTTCATTTATGTTATGGATCTCATAAGAACAGTAAGAAACTATACATAATAATAAAAAATAATAAAAAATGAAGTAGAAGAAATTTAGCAAAGGATTAATTTTTTCACCTTAACTCTCTGTTTTATACATGTAATTATCTTAACTAACTTTAATTTAATGTTCCTCTGCATCCTTGAGCACCACAAAGACAAGGAATCTTCTCATCCTCAAGAGGAAATTTGTAGTCGTACGTGATTTCTTCATTCACTCCAATCGGCTGTTTGGAATATATCACGATCTTCTTCTCCGACTCTATCGTAATTACTTTTGCATAGCAGTTTGGCTGCAAATGGAAAGAAGATATAGAATTAATTTTCAAAGCCATATAAATTACTTTCTCGAACATTTAACATTTGAAAGGTTTCAGATCACAAAAGTCATATTTTGAGTTCAAAACCTCATAAATAATGTCTCTCGGGCATTCAACATTTCTAAGGTTTCATAGCACATTTGCCATACTTACATTACAACTATGATTGATAAATCTCGCAAGATTCCCACATTTCGTAGCATCAATAATAGTCTCCAAATCAATTCTAAACAAATAAGAGCTTCCAATACCAATTGCTTCATATTTTGTTTCTCGTAAGTCAGCAACACTTGGTCTAACCATCTGTCCAACATACTCAATAACCATTTCGTCTGCAGCAATTGGTTCCATTGCAAATAATCCCCAATCGTGAATAGCTGATTTAGCGAATTTAAGTTGCTTTTTACGAAACTTTAATTGATTGAATTTCAATAAATCAGATTCTGTGGCACCTCCAAATGCAGTCAATAAACGCCGCTGATTTGAACGTGCTTCTCTTGAGGCATTTTGCATCTTGGCTACTTTAGCTGTCTCTAAATGTGAACCTGCTACAGTTCCTTTCAAATGATGATACTTATAATGTGCTTTTTCCTTCGAATCAATTTTATAAAATCCTTCAGTTCGCGCACATCCAGTTACATGCTCTCGTAGTTCTGGAAAATCATCTCGCCTCCTCTTTTTAGGTGCTGACGGTACAAAAGAACGATCTGTTGAACAATGATCTACCCAATGTACTTGATGTAATAGCTCAGTCCCAGGAATATCGTTTTGAATAAGATACGTATATGCACGCTTCATATAATCCACATCTTCTTGATCGATTCCTTGTGTTAAGAATCGACAAAGGACATCAAATTCATCCGTATTCGGACGCTTATTGTAACGTGCAACAGGAACAAAATTATCCACAAGCAATTGATGCTCTTTTGCATCCACAATTATCTCTTTCTCTTTCACCTTTATCTTCGGTTTTTCCATAATAAGTGACTGATTTTTATCACGTTTATTGTATTGAGCTTTTGGAGCATTTGGATCTTTTCGAGGTCTCCCAACAGGTCTAGCTCCAATTTGTGTTACTTCCTTCTTTCCTTGCTCTTCCAATTGTGCTGGTTGTATAGATTGTAATGGAATTGGCGTATCTATTTTTCCATAATATCCATGATCATGATCGAGTGACCTAACAGCTTGAATTACTTCCTGATTTGGTGACGAAGAAGTTGATTGTGAGGCAGATGGTGGTAGGGAATAGCAATGTTCCATTGCTACGAGACTAGCCTGACTTGAACCGCCATCACTTGACGATGAAGGTGATAATTTGAGTGAAAACTTTTGATCCAATTCAGGTTTAAGATTTTGTGGTTGAGCAAACAGTTTTTCATCGGAAATGATCTTTGTAACAGCCCCATTTTTAATTTTCTTATCTTTGCCTTCTTTTGGCTTACCCAAACTTCCTTTTGGTCTGCCACGTTTCTTTTTGATTGTTTGATCATTAACAAGATCTTGTGAGGATGATTTTGATATAGGTAATAAATCAGAATCAGGCAATTTAAGATTTATTCCAGGCGTTGGAGGTGGCAATGATGTAGATGGTGTCGTTGGTTCATCATAACTAGACTTCTTATAGATGTCTAATGTTTTCTTTTTAATTACAGGCGAAGCTGGTCGACTTGTATCCGTTGACATTGGATCATCTTTATGTTGTTCCTTAATTTTTCTCTGTTTTTCAAATTCTTCTTTTGCCTCACGTTCTATTTGTTCCATCCATTCTGTATTTCTACGAACTCTTTCCTGGTACTCTCTTTCTTCCTCAGAATCACTATAAATGCGATCAGTAAAATCAGAACTTTGTTTTTTCACTGGCTGTGGACTTGGTGATTTCTTTCGAATTTCTTTAATGTCTTTCGATGACTTGACATCCTTTATTTCAATTTGATCATCGCTAGATGTTTGTCGTCCAGGCGTTCTCGGAGGTTTAGACATGACTTCGTCATTAAAGAAGTCACTATCTGATTCTGCTGGATGTATTGGTGTTTTATTTCCATCGTCAGGTGTTTTTTCTCGATCCTCACTGGATGTTGACTTTTTAATGTCTGTTTGTGACATTTCCTCGTCATCCTCTGAATCTGAATAAATTTTCATTTTTTGTTTAACTGCAGGTTTTGGTATATCCACAATTCCATCACTTTCGTCGCTTTCTGAATCTGAGTATATTCTATTATTTTCCTTGTCTTTCTTAATTGGTGTAGCAGATTTTTTAATCGAAATATCATCATCGGATATAAATGAGGCTGTATCTGATGAATATGCATGCTCTTGAGCTTGTTCCTCCTCTTCCTCGTCGTCAGAAGATGAACTTTCGGCATTTTCACTTTCACTACTCGACGACGATGAACTAGAACTAGATGAAATTTTTCTCGTCGATTGTTTTGATGGAGTAATGTCCTCCTTTTCACTATCTGATCCATGAACCATATCCTCGTCATCCTCATCGTCACTTTTCCTCCTTGAACTTTCATTCTTCTTAATGTTTGTTGTTACTGGCTCACGTTTTATTCTTTGTATTCTAAAATTACGTAAAATTCCTAAACTACCACTTTGTTGATGATAACTATCGAGTAATGGATCTCTAGACAGAGGAAGTGATGGATTTAAAACAGGAGGCGGTGGAGTTGGTTCAGCTATTTCAATTGGCTGTTGCATTTGAATTTGAGGATAATTTCGAGTATTTTTATTTCTCTCTTGTTCATCCCACCACGCTTCATATTTCTTATATGCTGTATTTTCAATCATTCGCTTGTTAAAATCCTTCTTTAAAATTTGCTTTAGTTCCTGAATAATTTTATCGATAACTTTCTTACATGCTGCTTCATGTGGATCATCATTTCCTTTGTCTTTTTCCTCCTTTTTATAGCTAGGATAATAACCAGATGCATCATATTGCCACTGAGGCTGTTGAAAATGATTAAATGATTGCTGTTGGTAATAATAACTTGGATATGATGAGAATCCATACATGTATGCAGCAGAAGCTTCTAAATCCTTTAATTCAGTTTTTATCTCAGGTTCCTGTTTAATTGGTTCCGTTGACGATAAACTCGATAATGACATTTGATCATCGTCCTTAATTTTTGCTGGTAATGCTGGACTATAACTTCCCTTGGCTATTAATTCATCCTCACTCGACGAAATATCACTTGCACCAGAATCAACTTTTAACTTTTTCTCTTTTGATCTCTTCCTTAATACATTTGTTTTTATGAATTTCCTATTGATCTTAAAACTAACACGCGTTTGAAACGGACTTGGCGGCATGCTACTTATTGTACTTTCATTAGTCGAAGATGTTTTACTTTCGGCATCATTTACTTCTCCGTCCTCAACATCACTAATTTTCTCAGTTTTAATTTTCCGACACTTTAAATCATTTTTACTGTTACTGCTATTATTATTATTATTGTTATTATTATGTGCTATACTCGATGATTTTGATATACTACTATCCTCATCATCTAGATTTAAGTGCGATTTTAATTTATTTTGTAATTCTTTGCATTCATTTGATTTACTATCGACTGTTTCTTCCTCTTTAATATTCTCTGAATCGTCGTCTAAATTAAATAGTGATGGAACTTCCGGTCCAAATGATTTTGTTTTAAATAGCATGGCAATTCTGGTGTCTAAATCAACTGTAGCTTCACAGTCTTCTGATTTATCATTCATTTTATCGTCCTTAAAATCATCATCACGTGGAGGTTCAGGAGGTGGTTTTGGGGGTGATATTTCATCCTCTTTAGGTGGTGGAGGAGGTGCCCAATTTGATTGATATGGCGGATAACTACTTCCATAATTATTATAATTTGAGTATGAGCCATAAGATTCATAATTTGAATAAGGTATTTCTGTTGTCGCTGTGGATGAATAGCTTTCTGATCGTGAATAATTTTTACTACTATATCCATATCTATCCTTTTCTCCTCTTGACGAATATTCATAATAATCTCGGTCTTTTCTGTGCCTTTCTCGATCTCTTTCTCTATAATCATCTTTACTTCTATATCCCCTTTCACGATCTCTTCTATGCCTTTCTCTATCCCTTGAATCATCTCGATCTCTTGGATATCTACTTCCATAATCTCTATCTTTCCGTTTATCATACTTGCTACTTCCTCTATAATCGTCATCATATTTTGAACTGCTGCTTCGATTATATTCATAATCTCTCGATGTTTCCCAATCCTCTTTTGGATCCTTATATTTGCTACTATTTGAATTTGTTGCCCAATATTTATCATCCATTATTGGTGGCTGTTCAAGTGGTAGTTTCACTTCAAATGATGGAAAATCAACTAGCGGCAATTTTGGAACATCTTGCATTGGTAAAGCAGGTACAACTGTTGGTTTCTTTTCCGTTGTCATTTCTTCAACCATCCTTTTCCCCGTCTCACCAAAAGGATCGTGAAATACACAAATTATCTAAAATAATAAATAAAAATGAGTTTGCAGCATAAAACACTGAGAACTGGATAATAATTGTGTATATTTACCTTTCCCATAACAGATTTGTTGTTAAACTTCTCGACACACATTCTCATTTGCCGTGACGACTTTAGAATTACTCTAGCAAGGCCTAGATGCTTGTTATTTTCTGGATGATAGAATATTGTAATTTCATCAACTTGAAATCCAGCTTTTTGCAGCATGTCCGTTAAAAAGTTCCTATCAACATTATCATTTAAATTAGTTATTGTTATTTCTATTGCTGGTGGCTCTCCGACGTAGTCCTTATCAATTGTGAGTCTACAAAGGATATTGTACAATTAAAATTAAATGATCCAGTCATACAGATTATGTTTTGTTTACATATATACATGTATACATTATTTACCTTGGAACTGGCAAATCGGCTTGTAGCTTGCCTAATGTTGATATTCTCTTTCTAGGATCGCGGACAATCACCGTTGTTGGCTGTTCATTAACAAGAATCCCATCATAGCGATAAACTTTTGGTTCCTTTTTTCCTGTAAGGAATGGATCGACAAGAAGCTTATAGTTTCGCAATGTTGAACAGGTTTTTGCTGCTAAGCCTGCATTTGGAGTAGATATTCTCTCTCCACTTCCATTCATTTTAATGTTATCTGTAAGGATGAAAGAGACAATTGTTAAGATTATGCCTTAAAATGCTAATTGTTTTTCTTCGAGATTTTCACAAGAAAATTCGCAACCTTAATGATAATTCAATTTTTCTTCGTTTCCTCAGCTCTACTGATGCATTTGACAATTTCCTTATTATCCTTGATTGCTTTTTCAACTTCTTAGCCTATTTACAGCTCTCTCGTCATCAAGTTTACAGCAGAATTGACGATTATTAATATTATTTTTTGCTGTATACTCTCCTTTAGCTTTGGAAATGATGAACTCTATTGCGAATCGCAAAATTTGAATTTCTTCTAGTCGTTTGGTTTTACAATATAACACTTGTGCATCGGAATCTGCTTATAACTTGTTATTCACGACTTTATCGGCTCAATTATATAACTTATATTGTTTCCATCTGTTACAGCTTTATGAAGTATTGTAAATTAAGAAAATTTAAGCTTAAAAATTCAACTGAAAAATGAATTTTGAAAAAGCTGAAAAATAGTTTTTAAAATTTCAAAAATTACTGGGACATGTTTACCAAAATTAACGGTTAAGAGATGTCATTTGACAAAACAATCAGTTGACACTAATAACCAATAAATAGAATGTAAACTATTAAAATTTTATTTTGAATTAAACAGTTCAGCATGAAATTTTACCACAGCGGCATTTCTTTGACTTGTTCGGAATAATAGCTCAAAATATCGCTAGGTAAGTCTTTATGCTGCTTATTCATATGATTTCTCATATAGTCTTTGCGACCAACAGAAAATTTGCACAATTCAACTGGACAGTTTAGTGTGTATTTCTCATGAAATAGTGCAATGTGCATATTAAGTACTCTTTTTATAAAATAGGATTTATCGCAACCCTCATAAAAGCATTTAAAGACTCTAATATTTTTATGGACACTTCGATGATAATTTAATCGCGTTTCTATAAAATATGCTTTGTCACAATTAGGATAGTCACATTTAAAGATTTTCTCCTTATGATTCCGTTTATGATACAGTAATGCTCGCTTATTTTTAAATATTTTGTTGCATACTGTACATTTTTCTCCAGTTGCACTTAATGTATGTACTTGCTCGATATGTGATTTAATGTATGATCTTAGAAAGTCCTTATCACAATGCTCGCATTGAATTCTGACAGTATCTTCATCACCTACGCCTTTTCTTTGAGATTTTGGCAACAAGTTTCGATTGTACTTCTTTTCATCTCGAATCCGTAAATGTATCCTTCTGATATGAATCTTTAGAGCCATCTTTCGTCTAAATTTATGGCTACAATAGTCACATACAAATATTGGATCTTTATGTTTCATCATGTGGAATTCAAGTTCACTTTTATGGAATGATGAATGATCGCAATGATCACAAAAGAATCTTTTGACTTTTAAGTGCATCCTTTCCATATGATTTTTAATATAATGAGTTCTGATGCCACATTCTGGACATACTAATTTTCTATCATCGATTCTTCTCTTTCGGATGTCTCTTACTTCACTAGATGTAAGATGTGCCTTATGTTTGTTGACCCAATGATTTTCTAGAAGCTTAGTATCACTGAATTTTAAAGAGCAATATTTACAGGAATGAATCTCAGTTGGTTTAATAATTTCATTTTTGATTGGCAGTTCCTGAAAAAAGTCATCGAAATCATCTTCATTAATTTCATGAAGCACATCCAGTGGCTCTACTTTGACTTGAATTTCTTGCGTAAAGTCAGTAATCTGATTTTCTTCATTTATTGCCTTTTGCTGCAAATCATCTAGAAATATCTGGTTTGTAATGAACTCTTGTCTCCAGTTTGTGAAGATTTGAAGATTGTTGCTACATCCTTCACATAAATTTTGCGAGTAATTAGCTGATGAAAGATCCAGCTGTAAATTTGATGCTTTGTTTACTTTTAATTATTTTATAATTTCATCATTTCTCACCGATATTTGAGTTAGATCGTAGAACTGCTGGCGAATTGTATTTGTAATTATGATACTCTGTTTGTTCTGATCAATATTTTTAAGACAGCACCGACATTTATCGAAGAAATCATTAATTTCATTATATTGGAACATTATCTTTTGTCAAAAAAAATCTTTTTAAATTCAATTTGAACAAATTTTAGTGTGGAAGTTTATGCAGAGTTGGATTAAAAGTACAAAAAGTGTAAACATTGGAAAGATAATATTTATTAATTTTGATTTTGTTTAATTCCACTTTAAATTCAGCTCAAAATGTTTTCGCAATATATGGAAGAGCTCGAGAAGAATCCTTATGTCGTTGAGGATTTTGTGGAGAAGCTTTTTTGGAGGACAAACAGTGGAAATAATTCAGATAACAATAATAGTGAATTATTAATTGAAACATTCCAAAATACAATTAAGGATTTAAAGATTTTACAAGAACGACAGCAAAGAAAGTGCGAAAAACTGGAAGCAGCACTTAGTGATGAGCAAAAGATTCATGCAAAGCATATTGATAAGCTCCTTGAGAGACACAGCATATCTGTTGAATGTTTTCATCAATTGGATGAGAAAATCAATTCTGTTGCTGGAAAGATCATCCATTTAGGCGAGCAGTTGGAGAACGTTAATACGCCAAGAACAAGAACAGCAGAAGCACTCAAATTATTAAATCATATGAGCGAGTTCCTTATTGCTGGACCAATTGTGAATGACATTTTCACGAATAAAGCTAATGTAAGTTACTCTTTTTATTCTACTGGATCTTATAAATTATTATGATTTTTGCTGATTACAGCTTTTGGAAGCAGCAGACATAATTCAGAAACTATATCTCGTTGCTCAAGATTTGCCTGCTGATAAATTTGGTGCTGCAAAGAAGAAAATTGAATCTAAATATGACGAAATCGAGCGTAACTTGATTGAGGAATTTGCTATGGCACAGACTGAAGAGAATATTGAGAAAATGAAGAACCTCGCAAAAATCCTATCTCAGTTTAAAGGATATAATCAATGTGTCGATGTCTATATTGAACAAAGTCAAGCTGTAAGTTAATTATTTCTTCTTTTTTCATGCTCAATTATGTTTATGCTTTTCGTTATAGACCAGCTATAATCGAGGAAAGGATGTTTATGAAAGTATTCTTCCTTTGTGTAGACAACACTATGGAATTATTAAGCAAGTCTTTGCGAATCCAGACACAGTAATGAGTAAATTCATTCTAAACATTTATCAATTGAGAATCCATCAATTTTCATCCACTAAACTCGCTGATGACAGCAAGGATGATTTAAAATACATAAAAACTCTCCACTATCTTTATTTACGAACAATGAAGCTATCGAACGATCTTGCAGAATTTATTAGAGATTCTAATGACGATTTACTATCGAAACTTACTCAAAACATGTTTGCAAAGCATTTAGTGAATTATATTGAAATAGAACTAAGATGCTTCGATAACATATGTGCAATGGAACTACGAAAGTTTTATGAGGGCAAAAATCATCAAAAGAAACAAACTGAAAGATTTCAGGACTTGAAACGTGACATGCAGGCAATAATTAGTGCAAGAACTAATATAAATATCGTTCAGATTGACAACTATGGAGGAGAAACATTCTTATCCGAGGAACTAGCTATAAACTTACTTCAAGAATCGACTGCTGCCTTTGAAAGATGCTCTGTGGTAAGCATTATTGGTTTTAAAATTATGTAAAGCTTACGTATGATAATTTTAACGTATGTATATTTATGTACGTTATTTTCTTGCGTATCTTTACGTGCGTTGATATTTACGTAATACGTACGAACTTCGACATACATATTCAATGTACTTTCTGCTTAATTTTGAGTAAATGAAACTTATTTAATAGACTTTCATAATCATTATGCTTTTAGCTGTCAAAAGAAGCAGATACGCCAACAAACATAATCAAAATAGCAGATATATTATTGAAATATCTCTTAACAGAACATTGTGATTACGCTGTCGATTTGGGTATACAGTCCATTCCAATTGCTGACACAAAATCTGCTCCACAAATTTATTTCTTTGATGTTGTTCAGAAATCTAATACAATTGTTCATTTATTGGAAAAGACATATAATGCAAACATAATTCCGTACGTTATTTCCACTTCCAAATACTCTGATTGCATGCATAAAAAGAGATTTTGCACAGACTCGATTGAAAATAAATTGGATACTGGTCTTGATCGATCATTAAATTCAATTTGCAATTGGTTGAAAATTTACTTGCAAAATGAACAAAAAAAGACAGATTTTAAGCCAGAATCTGATATTGATACCGTTTCGTCTAATGCATGCTCTGCTGTATGTCAATATTTTAATAACTGTACTGCACAGATCAAGAAAACTATTGATGGTGACAATTTAACAGAAGTTCTACAAGAATTAGGAATCAGATTCCATCGCGTAATTTATGAACATTTATTACAATATCAGTACAATACCCTGTAAGTACTTAAAACTCACTATTACGGAAGTGAATATTTTTTAATTGGTTTTATTCTTTTTATTTCCAATTCTAGAGGGGCGATGGTCGCAATTTGTGATGTCAATGAATATAGAAAATGTGTGAGGAAATTAGGTGATTCACTCGTTTCACAGCTATTCGATATACTCCATGCTCTTTGCAATCTTTTACTGGTTAAACACGAAAATCTACAAGAAGTTTGCAGCGGTGACACTCTTAATTATTTAGACAAAACTGTCGTTCTCAATTTTATTCAGCTAAGGAGCGACTATAAGACCATTAAACCACTAACTGCTTCGTTAAAAACTTATTAATCTTATAAATCATTTATTGCTTAGCATTATTAACAATTTATTATTATTGGCTTACTTATATTATCATTTATACAAATAAATAATGTGCTGTCTAAAACTTGTCAGAAGTCGTTCACTTTAGTCCAGTCATTGATAGACAAGATCCCTTTTTTATGCTTTCAGTTTACTTTCAATCCAATCAATGTATTGATCTACTTTTGTATACACTGCTGGATTTCCCTCAATCCCACAGGGTGTCGTTCCGTAGCTTACAACTCCGTAAAGAACCTAGTATTTATAATTGTTTAAAAACTTGCAGCAAATGGACAAAAGAATTATCATACCCAAAACAATTCACCGTTCTTATTTACAAGCTTCATCAATGGACCACCAGAATCTCTAAATAACAAGTATCATGAAGCATCAAAGACAGCAATTTTATGTCTATTCTTACCCCTTGCAGCTATCCTGATTATAATTTCCACCAGCACATATTTGGTTATTGCCTAGTTTTCTTCCTTCTGATCTGAAAATCTGATTACATTTCTCATTTTCTACAACATTAATAGACACATGTAGCTTTACATTGCTACTTTGAACATCTTCTGTCTGTCCGAATCCAGTAACAACTAAAGTCTGTCCAAGCAAATCAGTTATAGTCAAGCTTTTATCCTGTTGTAAGCAGATTGGCTTTACAAAGTCATTAAACTGAACTTTTCTAGCTAGTCTTATAACAGCAATGTCGTTATGTTGATTTAATGATTGAGGTAAATAATTTTCATGAATCAGCACTTCCTCAATTGGTACATCATAAACGCTAGGAGAACAAAGTCGTCGACCATTTAAAGTTTGACAATCCTCGTCAGTGAGTAAATTATGCTCGCCCAGACGTACAGTTACTATCTTGGTGTTTTGTAAGAGGCGTGGATGGACACAATGTGCAGCTAAGGATATATGAGTGTTTGAAAACCATTCAATTGTTTTTTATTTTTAACGGATTTTAAAATTTTAACTGGAGCCGTACAATTGTTTAGATATTTCAAATTTTAAAAATACGTTAAAAATTAAACTCACCAGTTAAGACATATCGATTATTAATTAAAGATCCCGCACATCTAAAAACTGGCATCGATGAGCCCGCTACAATATTAAATTCATTATTCCAGACAGTTCAAAATTATATCAAAAAAAATTTACGTTTCGCATATCGAAGAAGTGCCAGCCAATTAAATTCATTTATATTCGATTTGGTTCCTCCAAAAATTCGATTGTCAAGATCAAATCCACATTTCGTTAGTCTTGCGGACGATAAGTCTGTTATTGTTTGTTGCTGATGCTGATGAATGTTTCCAGTTCCTTGTTGTTGTTGATGCTGGGAAATCCCACTTTGTTGTGTCGACTGTTGTTGAATGCTATTTCCAGGCTGAACTCTTACGAATTTCCTATCTTGAGCCTGTTGATTGACTTGCGTGGGTTTTAATTGATTTACTGGACAGCACACATATTGTTGCTGAGTTCTTTTATCGAGCCCACAAACACTTCGTCTGACAAAACTTAGTACTTCACTATTTTGTGAATAATTTTTTAAAATATTCACGATATACGGACAAGAACTATAAGGCACACAGTATCCATATGTATTTTGTGGATTAACACATTGATAGTATTCTAAAGAAATTAATTAAGACACTTATAACATATTTAAATTATTTACAGCAACTCACGTGATGTTACATGATCAAAAAATAACGGAAAAAATGTAAGGACGATTAAAGATCTTAAAATATTCATCGTTGTTGCGACTGAAAGATTTACGCAAATTTGTTTACTTACTTCTTGTCGCTACCAAAGAGATTTGAGAACTAAATTGAGAGGAATGAGAAACAGTTAATAAAAGTAAAGAAGCAGATTTTTTTTGTGTCTCTGAAGAAATCCAGTTTTTCTAGACATTAGATTGTCATATTTATATCTGTTATTTTTTTTTTCTTCTTCGTTAATCAGCTGGTTAATTAGAGCTGAAGCAGAGAAGATGAAGAGCGAAAATTTTTTGTATATCTTCGCTCGGGTGCTTATAGAAAGGAAAATTATTCTTTCGTGCATCGATGCTCTGTCAATAAAAATAATCTAAACTTGGATGTTTATGAGTTAAGTGGAAATACCTCACGTTTGGTGTGATATGGGGAATAACTTGACACTTTTTAAAAATAAAGGTTACACAATGCTGAATTTGTAACGGCTATTTAAAATTTTAAAAGAAAACCATTCAACACCAAACAATTAAAAAATAGCTGTTGTAATGTTTCAAAAATAACTGTCATTGTAAATTCAAAATTGAAAACCATTCAACAGCAAGTAGAAATTTTCGCTATTGTAAGGTTTTCACAAATAACCCTCTCAAAGTGCAATTGTATGGTTTTCCAGCACTATTAGCATCGAACAATCATTTATGAAACACCTGAAAAAAAAAGAATATCAATCACAATTAGGCAGAATAACTTTTTAAAATTGAGTTTTATTAAAATTTATAGATTTTCATCATTATTTTTTTTTTGAAAAATAAAAGATTGTGTAATGGATGGTGTTTTATGTGTTGTGGGTTGCGTTTTAAAGGAATAATAATGAAAAGTATTAAAGCTAAAAGGGATGAAAAGAACAAATTGCTAATTAAATTTTAAGCGCAATATGAGAGATTTAAGCAGAAAAATAATGAAACTTTTTCATCTTAATTACAAATTATTGAACATTAATCAATCAATATCTATACCAACATTTTTCTTATGCTCTTTACTAAGCACAAAAGCTTCACATTACTTTATTTTTCAACATTCTAACATTCCTTTCTTTCTTTCTTCTTAATAATTGTTATTTCGCACCTTAGCATTAAAATCTATTTTTTTCTTATCATTTTAAATTAATCAATTTCTTTCTTATTCACTTTCTCTTATGTGGATATTGATTAACTGCAAAAATATTTGTTTGAAGACTAAATTTTTGTTTTTTTTAATGGATATGATGATGCATTATATAGTTATATGTACGTAATAAGGATAATTTTTTTTTTGTTTGTTTAATATTCATTAGCATTCTTATAATGCATCAAAAACACAATGATTTTTGGCGATGATAAAAAAAATTGTATGCAGCATGTCATTTTGTTCTATCTCCACTACATTTATTCAGGAATTGCCGAAAATTTCTTTCTACCCATCTTCTTAATCTTTTTCGCCAATTTCCTTGTTGAAAACAGTAATCAATGTTGATAATAATGATAGCTTCGCGATCATGATTTTGACTGGTTCTTGCTGATATATACATTTATGAGTCTGGGAATTAAAAGTAAAGTTCTACCACATGTAGTTGACAACTTAATTAATCTTGTGTTATTGCTTACCTAATTTTGCTCGCGTTAAGGAGCGAAAACTTCGGCTTTACTTTCTCCTCGCCCATCACAGAATACAATTTAACGATACAAAATACAGCTGCTTTACGAACCATTGATTCTTCGACATCTGCTAACTATAAAGTTATATGTGAGCTAGTTAAATGAACCAAGAAACTAGTTTAAATTATAGCACTTACCCTAGCTATATTTGGCATTAGAATATCTAAGTGATTATCGTTAAAATCCTTTCCTTGTTGATCTGCCATATCGCGTAAAATTTTAAGCGCACATAAATTGTTTGGGAAGTCACCGGTAGCAATTACTGGATTTAAAATGTTAATTGATGCATCAACAGGCAAAACAGCAGATATTTTTGTTATTATAATGTCAATTTCTCGTTGAACCTAGTTATTAAGCAACAGAATTAATTTTGATTCATTTAGAATCAAGAAAAATAAGTGTCAAAGTTACAATAACCTGCTCCAAATAAGCAGTGACCTTGACATTCACACAATTAATGACAATGAAATCATTTCTTTGAATGAGTCAGCAAAAATTGTTATAAACTTGTAAATTTTCTCACCTCTTTTCCAGACTTGTAAGAGTCGATAATTTTTAGTAATATTAATTCGAGAAAATTTGTCCAACATAGTCGCATTGGTGGACTTCTTATGATCCTTGAAAGAGTCTGTAGTCCAGCAATCATTACTGAACTGTCTTGTGATTCGATTAGTTTTAGTAATGTTATCATGATTTGTCTAAAAATAGAGATTTATAATAGTAGGAATCAAAGAAGCTTAAAGCATTGGACTTACTTGAAGTTTTTAATTGGAAGTTCACAATTACCATGCCTAATGCATGTCATTAAATTAACAAGGACTTGAGAAATGTATTCAGAATCGCTATTTTCTAATGTCGCAATTGAAATTGTTTGTTTCACAACTTCGCTTTCCCTGAGACCTCCTATAAGGCACAAATAAATTAATTAAATTAATGGATTTACAAAAACATTACCAGAAAGAAAGTTTTGTGCTTACGATCAAGTACAACTTCGTTATTTTCAATATGATAGTTATGGCTTTGCTTATGACTCATATTGTCTAATCTAACTGTATTTTCAGGTGTGTTTGATTCTGTTGTTGCTGCTGATTGTGTTTTTGAACCATTCACGGAATCATCTTTGTCAAGAGAGCTAAACAGGTTAAAAAATTTTAAATCAGTGTTTACAGTATCATGATAAATCTTTCATTATTTACCCAGCATGTCCATTATTAAATCCGTTTGCTGGCGCAAGAAGTAAATGATCTCCACCCATCTGGCTTATTCCCGAATCTTTGCTATTTGCATCACGATCTAACTTACTTTCAAAGCTATAATTTTGAATCTCAGCTGTAGTTTTACGCAAATTCTTATAAATTTCTTCATGACTTATTGGATGATCGACTTCGACACTTGTCTGTCGTGATCTAGGACCTGTCAACGAATTATTATTTTTAACTATGAGCCAAACATTTAAAGTAAGTTTAACGAATTTTTAAAATTCTTAATAATATATCTATTATTACTTACTAGGAACATGATTTTGTAGACTACTGTACTGGCCATATTGTTGAGGACTTAACAACAATTTTGGACTTGAGGCAGAAATGGGACTCGAAGGACTGTTGTTTCCTGAAATTACGAAGGTAGAGCATTAGCATAAAAAAAATGTAAAACAAAAGATAAGATCAGACATTACCTGATGTACTTTTTCTACTAATAGACTGCTGAATATACGATTTGGTAACATCCTGAAACTGCTTCGGCATACTTGCTAAAAGGAATGTCATCTAAGAAAGAATAACTTAATTAGAATAGCAATATAAAGGCGAAAAATGGAGTTGGAGACTTACATTTGCTGGATTACAATTGTATAGTGCAAGGATACAATATTTGGCTTGATTTCTCAATTCCATGCTCTTCTGATCGCACGAATATTGAATAATTTTGAGGATAGCCTTATCAGCTGGCGGCGTCATGAGGAAATGCTCTGCAGTGCAATAAGATTGTGCCAAAGAAGTTAAAAATTTCACTGTTGCATGCTTTGTCTTAACATTAGGCGTCTGTGTCGAGTCTGTGAGTATTTTAAAGACGCTTTGTATTTGCAAATTAGCTGGAAAGTATTCGTAGATGAGATTTAATGTCTTCCATATTTTTGTGAGCATTGAAGCTAGCAAATCAGTGCCTAATTTATTGAACAATCTTGTCAATAATATAAACAGCCAATCATGAAGGTCTTGTGAATGCGATAAAATCAATTCATTAACTGTGTCCAAAAATAATGAATAGACTTTTATGTGAGGATCCATAAACATTTTTCTAAATAAATCTAAAATGCATTGAAGCTGATGTGGTGTCAACATCTTTCCTTCCGATAAATATTGTGTTAAATTCGTCAATCCATCTTTCCTCTCATTCCAATGTGACGATGAGCAATACTGAATAATTGTTTCAATATCCTCAATAAACTTTGCCGATCCATCAAGTCGTGTTCTTGAGCCATTCCATGAAAATGAATCATTTCCACGTCGATACGAATCAAACGAACGTTCTGAACATTGTGATGATGCCTCACTTCCATCGTCTGATTCCTCACGAGAAATCTTTCGATTTAATGTTAATCGTGCCAAGTCATTTTGAAAATCTTGTTCATCTGGCGAAATAACATCTGCAAGTGCAGATTCAGCTTCTCGACTCTGTTGTAACATTTTCTGTGCTGAATATGCACGACCTGGATTTAATGGGGGTCTTTCACCTCGTCTTGGACTGCTCGTGTTGTACATTTGACGTCGATTTAATGACCCAAATTGACTACCCCGTGATGGACTCGTTTCTCGAGAATTTGCCAACGATCTTGGAATGCCTGTTGTCTTCTTCGGTACTGTTCCAGTTTGTCTATAAGTTCCAGCATATGTGCTATACTGTAAACGTGATGAGGGCGATGTACTTCTTGATGTAGCTAAAGACATAATTATTAAAATTAATTCATGGACATTACCAGTAATATATATCTTACGTTGTGACTGTGAAACTCCAGCTTGTCTGGATCTAACTTGCCGTTCTGGTGATGGTTGAGAGGGTGTTGCATTTACACTAGTAATTTTCTTCGTACGAGCTGTACAAGTCGAAAATAAGGAAAAATTTTCATTAAAATATAATTAAATTATGCTGATCGAATTAAGAAAGGAGAAGAAATGATATTTCACAAGTCATTTGAAAGTACCTTGCTGTGCATAATGGCCTTCTATCAGTATTATTAGTGCCATGCATGGATAATAAAGTTTAAAAATGTATCAGAAAAAAGTATAAATGAAACATTTTTAGCAATTAAATTTAAAAGCATGTTAATTTTGGTGTGTACTTACGCACTGACGCTGTTCCTGGAGTCATTTTAAGACGAGACATATTAGCATATTGTGCACGAGCTCGAGCTCGTTGGGCTGCATTTGCATCAACGGCCGAAACACTTCTAAAGTTAGCAGCTAAATAATAATTAATGGTAACATAATGAACTACAATTAGTCTTGTTTAACATCAAAAATACATAACAGTACATAAATCAACAAATAAAGGAAATCTAGCGCATCTTTGTCAACTTCAAATGTTTTCATCCCTTAATCACTTTTAACGAACGTTTATTAATAGATTTTATGAGGAAGGATGGCGTGATAGCTTATATTGTCTTCATTTATTACCTCCTGTAAATTGAATAAATAAATTTTTTTCGCTGCATAACTTTACGAGCATCATTTAATTATACTTAAATTTTTTATTTTGAATATTTTTTTAATACTTTGACATATTATCATCAAATTAAGTGGCTATTTTAAAGGTTTCAAACATTTTTAACCGTCAATTATTAAACATTTTTATATTTAATGGTTATTTTCGTTATTTTTTAAAAAGATCGCTCGCATCATTCAAACTTGAATTTGTCGGCCAATTAGTGACAAAAATGCGCAGTTAATTAATGAAAATAAAGGATCAATACATGAAACGTATAAGTCTACAAAAATTGTGAACATAAAAGTACATAAAACCATTATTAATTTACGTTTCGAACCTCCTCGCGTAGGAAATTCTCGATGATGTGCTACAGGAATTCCACTCCTGCCTCTATTTCGAGGCAATGATGGTGCACGAGAAAGACGCGATAAATTTTCAGTGCTCACACTTGGTGAGCCGACTAAGGTAATAATTTTAATGTGATATGCGATATTAGAAAGAGAATTTTTAGTCCAAAACAAGGTTTGCATGTAAATGTTTTTTGTAAGAAAAATCTCATGTTAATAAGAATCTCAAGTTAGTCACAATAAATGTGAAAAATAAAAAGTACGTAATCATATCATCATCATTATTTTAAATGAGGGAAGACATAAGCAGTGAAAAGGAAATTCAAAGATAGGAGGGAAATAAGTAAAAGAATTCAATTGAGATACCTGTTTGAGCAGCAGGGCTCCTTAGTCCTGACGATTGTCGCCGTTCTGTTTATTATATAGTTAAGATATGATCATGTTTTTTTTTTCGTGTAGTAGTGGTAAGATGAAAGTAAATATTGATGGAGAGAAGGGATTTGTATGAATTAATAAGATTTTTTTCTAATATGAATTAATTTAGATTCGATTGAAAAATGTGGAAGTTCAGATCACTTAATCACCAAACAGAAAAGAAAAATTTTGTTATAAATTTATTTTAATGCCAAAACCAAAAGATAAACACGTCCTACTGAAAACTTCCACATTTTAATCAATGAAAAATCAGACCGAAATGATTTTATTTAATCCCACGCTCCCTTTCAACCACAAAAAGCTACTATATAGAGTCTAGTAAATGACTTAACACATACTCAACACACTTCCACCGGGCATAGAATTTAAACTTGTGTTACTTCCACGAAGACTTGCACTCATAGAATTTGTACCATTCGAACCACCTGAATCCTTTTCCTTTTCCACCTGCCTTTGTGTTGCAATGTCCAATGATCCGTACAATTGATCTGCTTCTGCCGTAAAATGCTTACGAAAGCTCCAATATGCTCTACAAAATAATAAGAATATTTATACTAATTAGAATCAGACACTAATTAATGAGGCATTTAAGAGAGTTTACCGTCTGCTGTGTCGTCGTGCTTCAGCGTCAGCATCGGTTATTCCTTTCTTGACAGCATCCTTAAGCAATGTGTGATGTCTTTCGAGAGCTTTTGTTGGCCATTCCTCAAAAATCATAATGAGGAGCTCACATAAATTTGAACGAATGTCTTTTGATTTAGATTGCAATAAATTAGATGTGATAATTGGAAGTAGTTTAGGTATATGCGAATATCTAATAACATATTTGAGTGCTAACGTTCCGGCACTGGAAATGATTTTTGCTGAATTTTGAATTAAATTAATTAATTCTTGTAGGATGTATGCAAGAAACTGATCCAACTTATTTCGCAATAATTTTGACATGTATGCAAGAGTTATGCACGCTTCGCGTATAACTTGTGATCTCAATTCTTTGAGAATGTCGAGGAATGAAATAGATAAGTCCTTTAATTGTTGTTGAAAATTAGGATTAGATTGAGCGTTATTCATTAATAGTGAACGCAATTTCTTGAGTGCATCAACTCTCTTTTCCCAATCCATGTTTTTATCACCAATAACTCCATTAATTGTCTTCATTAGCTCATCAATATCTCTTTGTCCGAATATATTCAATTGTGGAACTTGTTCGAAAGCTGCTTCGAAAATTTCCTGAGATATAGCTCCTGCTTGTGCTGTCATGTTTTCACCACTTCCACTGAGAATCTCAGTAAGGCCAGGTTTCTTCGATGCTACAGCCGACATTGTTCTTTTAACTAGTTTTGTAGGTCGTGCTGGTGGTCCTAAAGATGCTGTATCAATTTCATCATAATTTGATTGGACTGCACTTATTGCTGATGGCAGTAGTAAACCATCGTTCTTTACTTCATCAAATTTCTGCTCTAAAATTGCTAATTTTTGTTGTGGTACATCCTTCTTCTGTAAATCTATTCTTAATCGATCACCGACATGCTTATAAATCTCAACTAATGTCTGAAATGCAGCGTCACGAACTGTCGCAGTTGGATCGCCCAAAAGAATTACTATTGGTGTTATGAATGACTTAACAGCTACAGCTTGTGTTCCGCATCTAAAAATGGAAACATGAAATTTAATTTTTGTCGCGTCATAAAATCAAAACTAGTTATAGATTTATATAAAAAGAAAGAGATGCTTACTCATTCAAAGTTGTCACAATCGTCTGCAGATATTCTTCCCGAACCTTTGCGTTTTTGTGTTTAAAACAATTTACAAGCTTGTCTAATAATGATTGCGCTGTTAATACGCGACTTTCAACTAATTTCTGTAATAGTAGCTGAGCCTTTTCTCGCACTGTATCACGACTGTCACCCAATCGATCGACAACATGAGGAAGGATGGTCGCTGTATATGCGTTAAAATCCTGTCCCAATCTGTGTACTAATTCTGTGAATGATTCAAGTGCTCTCTGTGCAATCTGTAAATAAATTGGCAAAAATAAAATGGAATTTAATATTAGTAAAGATATTTATCAATAACTGTAAAAATATACTTTTATGAATAATAAGAATCTATTGTTTCCGAATGTGTAAATATTACGTCATGCTCAGAATGTAAATAAATTTGCGACTAGATGTGATTTAGATATAGAGGACAATACGAGAGCAAGAAAAATGAACTTTAAAATAATATTCACATCGTCTGGTTGAATGATTTCAGTCCGTAATATCACTGCTGTCGCCGATTCGTAATACAATAAATATTACAGACCTTATGGTTAATGAAACTCACTTAGACGTGAGGTTTTTAATTGTTAGTGACTGTATTATTATCTTAAATGAAGTTGTTGATTCTAAAAGACACTGACGATCACTAGTTTTGGGTAAATTCTAATATTTTAAATATATTTTTAACTCATTAAACACTAATTTACTGCCTGCAACAGAAATTTGCGTAATGTAAACTAATAAAACTTTATACTATTATAGTTTTAAGGAATGTAAAATTAAAGATGTGAACTTGAAAGCAGCCAAGAGAAAACTAGAATTCATTTAATATCTGATCATTTGAAAGAGAATATTATTCAAATGACTGGAATGTATTATATGGTATTAAATTGTAGTTTCAACTGCCCACAAGACGATATAGCTTTTGTGATGGTATGGACTGTGTTTGACAGCAAGTTCAATGCAAAAAAAAAAAATATGAAAATAAAACCGAGAATCTATCGATAAATTACGTAGGTTATTATTTTATTAGGTGAGGCTCTGCAGAAGCTCAATGACTCAGTCATACAATGTATTTGGAGTAGAAAATAAAAATAATTGTAAGACCATATGTTATCGTATCATTCACCTGGTTTTCATCTTGAACTTGTCATAACAAATAATGTCAAAAGATAACACGAAGAAAATGCATACAAAAGGAAATGAAGAAGATTCACTCATGTGTGTTTAATGTGCTTAAAAGTACTGAATGAAAATCACTTGTAGTGACATTATTACGTGAATGACCTAAATCAAGAACCATCTAGAAGGTCTGGATAAAAATGTCATAAATTCATTCATTCTTCTTGATAGTGCCTATTTAAGATTAATACAAGAGACAGCAAGAAGCAGGCGCATCCCACGTTTAATAATTGACGGAGGAAAAAAACACAAAAACTTTAAACAGATGTAAAATAAACAGTCTAGTGACCAAATTATTCTCATACAGCATCACAATGATGAAAATTATTTTCCAATGTAAGTACAGCACACTATACATCCCTGAATACAACAAATAAAGTTCATTACGAAAGTAAAAGTGAAAAAATCAGCAAAAAAAAAAGGAATTTTCATTTTTTGTTTATTTTTAAAATCGTCTACGTCAGTCCGTGTATATATTATGAATAATATGAGATTACACACGATTCAAAATATGCCGGGTGTTGGACGAATTATTCATAGAAACATGTAAGCGACAGGAACAGACACGAAAAGAAGTAATTCATTAACAAAATCGATCATGATCAACACGTTGATATTGAATATTATTCCATAAAGTAACAAGTATGAATGAATTTAAGCTAATTAGCATCGAATAGACAATTGATCTATACGAATGAAGGTAGCGACTCAAAAATATAAATCCTAAAGATGTATTAATATTTTTTACACACATTGTACTAAGCGATGATATCATTTTTGTCTCATTTTGTCATTATTATTTAGCGTTCTGTCAATAGAGGATTACTTTTTCAAAGTAGCGAAGTGTTCACGTAGCGGCGATCAGGGTAAAATGATAATAAACAAAAAATAATAATTTTTGCTATTTGTTGACGTTGGTCTGTAATTTTAATAATGTTATGTCATAAACGCGGCATATTAAGCTACGACATTTTCACACTTTTGTCATTCATACGATTGCCTTTTTAATCAGTGTGCGAAAATTTAAGGTCATAGAAATGTCTTTGACTTTCTCATTTTTGTTGCAATTATCAGCTCTTCCAACTGTTTCTTTATGATGCTATAATTTAAGGTCAGTAATTTGCTTGAATTACTAATCTACAATAATTAAGTACATAAATCGTGAAATATATACGGTTATGATAATAAGTGCCAAAAGTTGTGTTAAACATGCTGTTTTCACATCACATTAAAAGATTCTCATGTTTTTCACTCAAGTGGACCATAAAATCGCACAACACAAACGATTCTCAACAATACTTCGAGAGAATCAAATTTTGAACTTCATTTAAAGTTCAAAAAAGTAATTTAAATGTTTTAAAGACCGTTAAAATTAAGATATGAGAAAATTGTTAATTTCAGTGTAGGTACGCGATAATTTTAATCCCCTCCATATCGATATGAAATGAATTATTTTTGGCATTCATCGCAGAATTGAGTAATCAAGACGTTTTGGTCTTTAAAGATTATTTTAAAGAATTTAAATATGGAAAGGTCTCGAAAATTATCAAGCGCTATTGCGAATGAAAAGAAATTCCAAAAAAATGTTCATTGTTCATAGACATGAAATTTATCATGTGCAGAAAAAAAAATGTCAACAGAAATAGTCGCCGGACGAAAGTTTTTTTTTTGAATAAGCAGTGAAAAGAAAATATACAAGATTAGTGAACAAGCAGGGAAATGCCATTTCTGGCATTTAATAAACTCATGATTTCTCGTAGCATTACCGCTTAATGTCTTATTTAAGGAAAATCACTTTTAAACGACTTAAACTTGCAAAAAATGAAATAGTTTCTCGCTCTTGATTACTCCGCATTAAAAAAAGTGATGAATGGAAGTAGAAATTTACAATGAAGAACACAGCAATGAAAGAGAGAATCTAGGGAAAAATCTTGAATGGAAAAAATGATAATTTTATATTATTTAAATTTAGGTGATTCGATGTGAAAAAATGAGACTCAGTTGTTGTGAAAATAAGTCAGGCTGCGATCATCACACACAAGCGAAAGCCATCATGTAAGCAAAAGAAAAGAAATATACAAAAAAGAGTTGAAGACATGGAACACGAAAAAGTCATAAACCATCCACACTAACAAAAGGAACGCATACAAATTTCAGCGCTTAGAACAAAAGGAGAAAAATGTGAATAAATTAATTGGGACTGTGCAAAAACAAATTTTTGGGGTCGTTCACTCAACATGTCTAATATTAAGGCAGGTAGATTTCTAGTCTATCTGACATTATTTAAAAGAAAACTTTCATGGATCCTCAAAATATCTTAAAAACGGACAGACATTAATTGTGGACGAGCCATTATAGATTTTATGGAAATGGCTCTATTATTGGAAGGCTCACTGTAGCTGCTTTCTTCAAAACATTTTGCTTTATTCATCAATGTATTTCTAGAATTTTTCAAGTCAAGTGTGTTGCTTCTTACTCCAATGTGCATTAAGATGATGTGTATGTATTTTTGGAACTAAGTTTATTTCATTCAAAGTGACTATTTTTAAAATAGGCAAAAAAAAACAAACCTATTTATTTCATTTTATCCACTCTCTATTGCTCTCATGTAAAAAGCATGCATTTGTCGGCATTAATCATCGTGCTAGCGAGTACTTACTTTGTACTCTAGACAATACAACTCAGTTGTGTACTTTTGTATGGATTGACTAGAAATTCTGGAAATGATCTAGGCTGTTCTAGATTCTTTAAATTGTCATTAGCATTGAACAAACATTTGTATAAATAACAATAATTATCAGTAACTGCATTTTTCTGGACACGAGTCTTAATAATTTTTATAGATCAATGACACACTTGTGTACCGGCTTCCACAGAATTTGGCAAGTACTTTTTTGTTTAATGTAATTTAATACTAGAATATGCTCCACAAAGATTCAATTGCTAGAAATTTGACATTGTTCAAGGAACAAGCAGTTAAAATAAGCACCAGAATATAATTCCAATGGAAAATACGCTTCATTTACGGAATGAGCAATTGTGACTATAACTTTTTGACTATTGAGCAAGTTGAATCAACATATAAGTGTATAAGAAGAAAGATATTGTTAGACACAACTATTCGAACAATCATGAATCATCATTGAAAGAGAAAAGAAATGTGTATGAATAGTTGGCAATTTGTGGTTTTTACATTTTTCGATGCCGAAATTTTACTTTTATAGCCTTATTTTCTTCAATTGATTCAATTCTCTGAATGTTTACGATATGGAAGAGATATAACAAACGAATGTAGCATGTGCGGTTTTTGTCGATGGAAAAAAATATGATGATAATAGCGATAATGATGATTACAAATTTCACCGAAAAAAATCATTATTGGAAGTTTTATAATTCACTAATTTTCGTCAAAAATAAATCACGAGAAAAATGCAATTGTTCAGTCTTTTATATTTCATTCAAACATAAATTGAGGTTTACGAATGGGTGTGTCATATGTAGCATCACACGAAAAAAAATTGTGAAGTTTATTGGAATCATAATTAATATAGCACGCGACGTCTAATAGAATTTAGTTGAGCATAGAAATTTCGTACCAAGAACCGGAAGTCTACAGCAAAATGCCGTATTTGCTGGACTTGTTTTCTTTTCTTTCCTTATTTTTTTTTTTAATGTTGCTATTCACTCTCATTTCACCTCTTGAACAAAGTCTCTGTATGTAGTTTGTAATGGTACAAAAGTGGATTTTTTTTTATATATACAAAGCAATTAAGGCAATTTTTATGTAAACTGGATGGTTATTGCACAGTTGTATTAAGCTCCAAACTTAACAATTAAACGAGATCTCTTGAATGTGTTTACTAATTTTTTTTTCATTATTCCTATACACGTCAAGTGCTTATGAAGAGCATAATAAAAAAAATAATCGTCATCAGTGCCATCATAAATTTGTCATTGATTTGGCACAGTGTAAAAGGCATTTTGATCATTTATTATCTTATCAACATCACAAACATTCCGTCCTTTTGTAAAACCATAAACACACATTCACAACGAGATTCTTTTCTTGCCGCTTGAAGCAGGTCGTTATCTACACACAAAAATAATAATAGACTTACCTTAAAGTGACTTCCCGTCATCCAAGGAATAAGTGCATCAATTAATAGTCCTAAATCGTTACATAGCAAGGAATTCTCGTGATCACTCAAATAATTCACTAGGTCTTCAGCCAGCTGTGTTTTAATTCGCATATCGGATTTGGCCATTAACATAATAAAGCCATCGAGATCGTTGGGCTTTGCGTATGCCATTTTTCTGTATTAATTTTTACTTCACTTTTTTAAACTATTTTTGTGCTGCTAGCCAATATATTTATCAACACTATTTTAATTTTTCTTTTTTCAAAACCTATTTTCTTTTTCTTTTTATTTTGGATGCTGATTTTCACTTTACTGGATCTTTTCTTCGACAACTTTTTGCCATTCACTTTTTTTTGATGCTAGATTTTCTTCTTTTACGATTTATTTCACACATCACATGTCGTATCAACCTTTTTACCATTTATCCACAATCTATAATTCAATAGAAAGATTAATAAAGCATAAATATTTGTAAACGACAAGATCCAGTTATGTTATTCGTCGTTTTTTCACGATTTTTTTTTTATTATGGAAAAATCAGAGCAATTTTTTCGCGAAGAAAAAAAAATAAAACAACAAAAAACATAAAATTTTTAAAAGCAATTTTCACTAGTTAATTAACGTAGAAATTCACCTCAAATTATTGTAAAATGTTCACGTCAACTTTAATTAATCAATTTCAATAAATATAAATGGAAATTAAGCCTTTAACACTGGCTATTTAATAATTTTCGTTACCTTAAAATATCTTCAAACTTTTCGAATCGAATCACTTAAGTCTCTCCCAAAATATGCATCACATAGCTGAACTCACTCTCTTCGCCACAAAAAATCGGAAATCCAATCAAATTGAGTCATTGGATGTGCTACTTAATTTTTCATTCAAACTCGATTTTTATGCATGTTAGTTTAGCTTTGTGTATGCAGCAGGTAGCTAGCAGAAAATATTGCTGGAACACACAACAATAACGTATTTGATAAATTCAAATTACTATATTACTTTACTCTTTTGTGAAGACTTGGGTTCTATTCCTTATAGAGACCGAACTCAAATTATTATTATAGAGTATTGTCGATATGACAAAGATTAGCACTATGCTCACGACTTTAGACTATACAAAATTTAACAACAACTACAACCATTAATGTTGATGCTACCTGTGATGAACCTATGACTGATTGTGCCTTCAATTCTGTAACGGACGTTTTCAATTTGTGTACATAAAGTTATAATTTTCATGAAAAACAAATTAATTTTATTAATTGATATATTTAACAGTCAAATCGTTAATTAAGGCAGTAGATCTTTACACTACTATTGACATAGAATCTTGTAGAACAGAAAGTACACGAATAGAAGGTGAGTTAAGGGAAAAAAAGTGGTTTTGTTATCAAAATTCGTTTTGTTACATATTGACACGTTATATTTAGGGCCTAGTTTTACTAATATTTACTTCTTTTCTGTGCCTTAATTTTGGCAGCAACTAATCTTAAATTTAAGTCAATCGAATCAAAATGTCTTCAAATAACTTGGAAAGTACGGTGCTAAATTCAATTTCCGAGAAACCTTCGAACAATGACGTAGCTATAGATATTGAGCACAATGATGAGCAGCCAAAAAGCTCAAATACCGATTTCCCTAATATTAAGATCTACGATACGATCGATGAGTTTAATAATAATCTTCCGGAAACTGTCACACTGTTAAAAATGCCTAACAATGTTAACGTCTACTTAGTTGGAACTGCTCATTTCTCTGAAAAATCCCAAGAGGATGTAGCTAATGTGATAAGAAATGTAAAACCCAGAAGTGTCGTAGTAGAGTTATGTGAATCTAGGATTCATATATTGAAGTTTGACGAACAGAAATTATTAGAGGAAGCAAAGGATGTAAATATGCAGAAAATTAGAAGTGTTATTCGTTCAAATGGAGTTGTGAATGGAATGTTTTATATATTGCTATTAAACATGTCTGCTAAGTTGACAAAGGAGTTGGGTATGGCACCTGGAAGTGAGTTTAGGACAGCTTTAAAGGAAGCAACTAAGCTTAACGGCTGTAAAGTTAGTCTAGGTGATCGACCTATTAATATAACATTGCAGCGTGCAATCAAAAGTTTAACATTATGGCAGACATTAAAGCTTGTATGGAAACTTATGTCCATTGACGAAAATATAACAAAAGAAGAAGTCGAGCAGTGTAAACAAAAAGATTTATTAGAAGAGCTCATGAGAGAAATGGCAGGTGAATTTCCGAAATTTGGACAAGTTTTTGTAGACGAACGAGATATGTATTTGTGCTACAGTCTTCAACTTGCTTCCCTCCATTCGAGACATCAGCTGCAACAATCAAATCGACCACTTGAGCCATTCAATGTAGTCGGAGTAATGGGAATTGGACATTGTGCTGGTAAGTCATATAACTTTAAATCTTTAAAATATAAATAATAATCGATTCTTGAATTCTCTAGGTGTAACAAAATATTGGAACTCGAAAAAGGCAATCGCTGAAGAAATCCCAAAAATCATGACAATTCCGCCAGCATCAATGAGTACAAGAGTGTTTAGTGCTTCAGCAAAGTATGGCACATTGGCTCTAGTTGGATATGGAGTTTATCGATTGACTGCGCCTTATATTAGAAGAATATTCTGAACAAAGTTTGGACTTGTTGATTATTTTTTTTAACAGCACATTACTATCAACCTTCCTATAATTTAATTGTGTTAAATTATCATTTTTTAATGAAACTATTCCGTAATATCAACAAAACATTTCATCAAGTATTCAGTTCTTATGTTTTTTTGTGTTAACTAAAACAGATATTCTAAAGATGCCCAGTAATAGCACCAATATGAAATAACTTCTCTTGTTGAGTAAATCGCGGGTCGGTAATAAGATCCAAATTTAATCTGATGGTATGGGGAATGAACTGGGAATGATTTAGATCCTAGAAATAGTAAGCAACGCTCGAAGGTCTGAATAGGTCCTTTTATTATAAATAGCATGTCTAATATCTTTTTGTCAGCACGTGGCTCGTGATTATATTCCTGAAAAGAATATCCTGTCTCCTTTCCTGCTCTGTCACCGACAGAGAGCAATTTAATTAAATAAATTGAACAAGTTAAAGTTTAAAAAGATACTTTTAGAATTAACTTAAAAGACATTCATTTGACAAAAAATTGAACAATTTTATGATTAAGATCTTTAGCTAGGTTTTATAAAGTTACTGTTTTGAGTTTCGAATTTATTCCACGTCGATGCTATTACTGGACATCATTCTAAAACGTTATATTCTTTATTTAAATAAAAAATTATTAAAAAAATACAGCCTGGATTATTTGATGGTTCTTAAAATTAATCCACTATTCAAAATCTTTTGCACATCGGAATGATAAATTTCCAGCTGACGAATCTTGACTGTTTTGAGATCTTGCAGCACATCTATATCGATAACAGTGAGATTTGTGACATAGGTAGCTGCCTCCTTTTTTAACACGATCCGGATTTTCAGTCTCGCCTTTTTCTGGATTCCATAAATCACTAACCCATTCCCAAGCATTTCCGATTATATTATAAACGTCAAAATCATTCTGTCTAAATTTATCGACAGGACAAGTTCCAATGTAACCGTCTTCGGCAGTGTTAGTGTCAGGAAAGTCTCCTTGCCAAATGTTCATCCAGTGTTTATCATTTGGCATCATTTTGTTGCCCCAGGGAAAAAGTCTATTCCTTTTACCTCCTCGACATGCGACTTCAAACTCATCTTCAGTTGGCAATCTTTTTTTCTTCCATGTACAATATGCAACAGCATCATTCCAACTAACTTGAAGAACTGGATGATTCATTCGATCATTAATACTTGATCCTTCACCTTCTGGTTTTCTCCAATTTGCATTCTTAATTTTATACCACCACGTTGCTTGTAATACTCTAAAATCCTCATATTCCTTTTGAACTTCTGGTGTTAAGAAAATCTTATGAACAAAACTATCACCAAATTTTTCAGCTTCAGTCACGTAGTTTGTCGCTTCAATGAATTTGCTAAATTCTGCATTAGAAACTTCATATTTGTCGATATAAAATTTTTTCGTATTAATTTCACGTTCAGGACCCTCCTTATCTGCTATAAAAATTTGATCATTTGTTCCTACATAATATTTTCCGGCAGGTATCAAGCTCATGTCTTCAAAATCTTTAGAGCTCGCCCATTTGTTTTTATGATCATCGGTCTCATCATGCTTAATGTGTTCGGTTCGCTCATACTTCTTGGCTCGTTCTTCACGTGATGCTTTAGAACATCCACAATCGGAATTAGCAAATTCACAAAAAGTTAAGACACATAATATAGACACTCTTAATAGGAACATTATAAAGATACTAAAATATAATCAAAAAAGACGACAAACTTTATGGAACTGCTGTTTAAATATTTAATATCCAGTAATTTTATTTCGTTGCCTGTCTAAAATAATTCGTGTGTATTAAGCATATACATTATTTTCTCTGACTTTGTGTTAAATAGAAACACCAGTAAAATATATTGATAATGAAAAATAAAAGTGGAAAGAAAAAGCGAGAAAACTTGTCAATTTTAGAGACAGAATTAAATTGTGGTGTCCTTCTATATCTATCTGATGAATTCTTCGTTAGATGAAGACGTTGAGCACGTGTTGCATTTTGACTATATGCTGACACTTCAGATGGAGGATCCTGCTCGCTTTCATTTATTGAATAATTAATTGAAATTTGTGAGCCATCATTTTGACTTTGTGTATCTTTCTCAAAATATGAAAGACAAAAGATGTATTTTCCAATAAATTTTCTAAAGCTTTTGAAAACTCTTATTGAACGAGTATCATCCATTTCAATATCCAATTCTAATCGAGAAAGTGGAATCACACCGCCATATATGTCATCCTGAGACATACTACTAACATGACTTGTTGTTGACATCGCGCTTGATTGTGGAAAATATGTCATTGCTTCATTTTCATCACTTTCCGATTCAGATGATGTCTCATAGTAATTATAATAGCATTCTCCAGAATTATGCTTGGTAAAATAATGAACAAAAGCGAACTGTAAAATTGTCGCAAAAATAAAGACGAAAGAAAGAAAAACAAAAAAATCTAGAGCGGTTGGGTAGCTGACTTTTGGCAAATCAGTTCGTGCTTCCAGACCTAAAAACGTCATCGTGAGAACTGTCGTAATACCAAGCGAGATTCTAAAAGAAAAATATTTCATGTGATAAGGTTTGATTTATGATCAATTATATCAACCTGTCCGCTGTTGCTTCACGATTCAGCCAAAACGATACCCATGAAAGAATGACGAGCACTTGAAATATAAAAAAAATAAATAACATATTGAAGCTATGTATGCATAAATGCTCACATATGCATGGTCCGTAAACTTGAATAAGGAAATTCCCCATATGACGTTGTAAGTGAAATGACACAAGTAGCACAGAATACTCTTTTACGTCTATTGAGTTTTTGCCAAAAAAAAATAACATGAGTCAATTAAAAAGTCATCAGCAGCACAGTTACATTATGATCTTACTAGCTTCTTTTCCTGTATAACCGTCACCAACTCTAATAGATTCATTTGATGATGGCACATCAATCAGGTCGAATTGTGACATTCTTAAGTCTTCGCTTATTGCCACAGCTCTTGAGTTCCAACGATAAAGGACATCTTTGTTTGTATATCCAACTGAATTCGAAAAACTCGGCATTACTTTATTATGTTTTCTTCTGATTTTGAGATTAGTTTACTTACAACTGCCTAGTTTTAATGGACATCGTTGCACATCCATAGGATAATTCTGTAAGCTCATAAAACATGCAGCTTTAACTGTCAATCTACAGCACAAAATAAAATCAATGTAAATCAAGTGACAAACCTGAACGAAACCCAAAAACTATAATAAATGAATGTTCACCTACCTACTCGAATATAGAACCCTTCCATCATTGAATAAGCGTACAAATTTGTTCGGCGTAGTGATTGTATGAAGATAGCTCTGCCATCACATCAAATATGAAAACAATAGACCTCAATTAAATCGCCAATAATAGAGCATTATTGTTAGGACGTCAAGTAATTAATATTCTTTTCAAAATTTGGATTGGGAATTTTACCTGTTTTCCATTGAAGAAGAATGTATCAGGCTTCCAAATTTTCTTTAACATAGAAATACTGAGGGCTAAAGTCGTAATATTATTTGTTGAATCCTTAAAAGCAAGCCTTTTGTCTATCCATGATTGCCTTTTAAAAAAGTTCAATATCATTTTAATGTTTTGTTTGCTTGAATTAATGAGTAACATACCGGAAATAACAGTCCATACTGTAAGTCTAGAATCATGATAAAGGAAAAGAAAAAATTTAAAAATAGTATTAAACGATTTTTTTTTTTTTTGAGGAAGGAACAAGAACAAAACTTTTTGTAATATAAATGTTTTTTGTGCCTCTCCTCTAAATGCATTATGAGACCACATGATACAAAAATCTTCTATCCTTTGATGTTTGCCAAAAACTTGAACTTTTATTCTCTCCTTTCCTTTTTATCTTAATTTTTGAGAGTGCAAAAATGTTCCCTTTTTGTGTAATAAATGTGACACAATATGGACAAAGTTTTAATGTCTCAATTGAATTAAAAAAGTCGAAAGGAACAAGCAACGGAAAAAAAACTTTTAAGCTGGGCATTGTTTCAAAAATATGTCTCTAGATATTAAATTGTTTAACAAAAACTATATATTTGTGACTTTTTATTCTCTTGATGTTTGTTTTGTCACATTACGGACCAGATGATATTTTTACTGATTTCTTCATTCTTAAGGGTTCAAAAATTAAAGTCTATAGAAGAAAATGTTTTTGATTATTATGCGAATCCTTGGTTTTATTGAAAATAACTTATGGAGCTACAAATTGATTTTAGATTTTAGCAAGAATCAAAGATTCAGATCTGGGGCCGATACACATCAAAAGCAATGACCGAAACTACACTTTGTCATTATTTATAAACTCAAATGAATGCAAATAAAACAATCACATTAAGCTTCTTAAATACTCCAAGATCAAATCCTAAGATGGTAATCCTGAGAATTGATTGAAAATTATTAAGAAGCATCAAAATCAACTTTCATTGTTCGCTTTAATTCTCCGTCTCTAAATGAACGAAACAATCTATAGAAAAGTTTCCTCATTCATAATATTCAAGAACTTTTCAAAGTACAGGAAGTTGATTTCTAATAATAAAATTGCAATACTCTATGGCAAAGAACTTTATTATGTTTTGAGGCAAAAACGAAACCAAGTCATTGTGGCTTTCTCATGTGGCTTTAAAAAAATTTATCATTAAATGAAGAAATACTTTTCATACATGACATACTCACCATTTCAATCTCAGATATAGACCCCATACTTCTCACCATCAAGTCAATCTCAACGACTGCAGGAGAATATCCAAAATCTGGTCTGAGGCTATTATCCTAATTTGATGTCCATGTGCATATATAAATTATTATTGAAATGAAAACCATAAATTAATGTTTTTTGTAGCTTTTTTGAATACTTTATGGATGGTATTTACATAATTTTCAAGTAATTTATCCAACAGCTTTGAAATATTTGCATGCTGATTCTGTTGCCGTCTGTACGAATGATGACGACTAGCTTTTTTCCCAAGAATAAAAATTTTATTTGATAAAGTTGCTGCTAATATTATTATAAGCCATCTCATTTCATATCCTAATGGATTTTACGCTGAAAAACGAGGTGAAATTATTTTAAAGCTGAAATTCATTCAGATTAATTTTATATCAGTAGCAAGGTAAAATGAAAGTCATTGTCATGTTTGTCTAAGCTGTTTAAGATAAAGAACAGTCATTTCCACTAAAATTCTAGATATCAAAAAACAGCACACTTTAAGAATCTATACAGACACTTTCAATTAACATATTGCTCATTGCTTTCATTGAAAAAATATGCATACATGTGCTTTACACGTCTGATTTCATTCATGAAACAAATAATGCAAATGAAGGAAAAACCAGGAAAAACTATTGTCAATTCCCATGGCATCATTTTGCATTACAACAGAACCAAATGAGAAGAAGGAACAGATAAAAAAAAATGTAAAAATATCTTGTAAGCTTTTCACACAAAAGTTTGTCTACAGATTTTTTTTTTATCTCCCGTATCTTTTTCATAACTCTTCATTATGTACACTTTTATAACAATAATCCTATTGTGGTTGTAATAATCCTTTTTATCAACGGAACTTAAAATTCTTATTAGGTTAATAATGTTTTCCTTATTTATGTACGATTCTTTCTGTTTATTAAGGTGATGAAGGTTTTCAAAAGAATTAAATTGAAATTTAAAATGTTGGTATCAATCAAGAATTGTATTTAATTGGAATGTTGAAGTTGATGAAAAAATAGTTTATAAAATTCAAAAAGCTTAATTGACAAATATTCAAATATCAAGAAACAAAACTATTGATATTTAAGCATAAATACTGACTTAATGAATAATTATTAATTAAGACCCTCTCCTCTTCCTTATCACAAAATTTTCAAGTGTTACAAAATCACAGACCCTTTCCTGTTCTTCCTATGAATGATGGATGTCATAAAGAAAAGCCCCGAAAAGCCAATTCCTATATTTAAAATATAAGTAATTTTATTCCTTTTTAAATTTTATCACTAGTTTTTATAACAAGTTTTGAGTTTTAAATTGCAGATGAAAAATAAAGTAAAGCCCGTGAAAATGAAAATCCTGCATTGCAAATAAAAAACTCAACTTTTGAGCGTAAAATTATCATGCAAAAATTGAAATTCTATTCAGTCTGAGTAAATTATTCATGAATCATAAATCTAGCTAATATTTTCATATTTCCACTTAGTTTTCCAATTCAATTAACTTCACTCACACATCACATTGAATTTAAAATTTTCTATTACATAAATTTATTATTCATTACACGTACTCGCAAGATATCCTGATTCTTAGATGTTAATTTCACACGAGAGAAATTCAGTATTTTTATGCAAATCAATCTTATTTCTCAACACTTTCTTATGTATGCACACTTTTTTATCAACTTAAAGTACTTCTCTCGGTGGAGTCATGTAGTGCATAATTTTTACAAATTAATTCAAATTGTGATGGTTAAGGCCATCACTATGCAATCAAATGAAAATGTGAGGAATATGTGTAGGGAAAATCGATTAGAAACCACTTAATTAGACAATGCCACTTGACACAATTATTTCCCTTTCACTATTATTCAATGTTATCCCTTTTTTCTATCCTTTTTCCATCCGTTGTGTTCGCTATCACATCACCAACTGACTTTACTTTCAATTTCTTTTTTATGATCACTAAATACACATGAGATTCTAGAGCTTTTTATTCTGAGAGAATTTTCCATGTTGATTCTCTCAAATTTTCATTCTTTTCCTTCTCTTTAGATCCTTCTGTGTTAGCTGTACGTACGGAAAGGAAACAAAGGATGTTTATTAAATGAAAATTGATTTAATCAGCATTAAAATGTTTACTTTTCACGTGCAAATGCTTGTTTTTAAAGCAATTAGCAAATTACAATTAATTTTCATTTTAATTCCAAGTTGCAGTTTAATTCAATTTGTAATTAAAAGCGGCAAATTGAATTTTCATAGACTGGCTTGTTTTAAAAGTTATAGTAATTGATGAACTAAATTGAAGGCGTACTCAAATAGACTGGTAATTGAAAATAAAAGTTGATTGGATGAGATTTTAGTATTCTTATCACTGACATCAATATGATAGAGATTCTAAAGAACAAGGTCTAGCAGACAGGGTATTTTCTATAGTCAAGCATCTCATGTATTCGGTGTATCATTTCTAACCAGCTCGCAAAGTTTCGATTTAAACAACCGCTCAAACATGTTCGTTATTTCAGCAAGCGGAAAAATCACATTAGCTGTTCCAAACAAAGATGATCAGCTGTGTGTAAGTAAACAAAAAGAGAGTGGATTGCCTCTCTCTCGTTTAAGCATGAGAAAATTTAAGTAAAACTTTGTAGGTTTTTTTTCTGTTTATATGCAAAGCATACACATTTTCCTCTCGTAGCTGCATATTCACTTCATAGAAGATTTAATCATTCAATTAAGGATATCATGAATATGCAGACGAATGGACTGTAAATTTTTTTTAATCTTTTCCTTTTCAATTCAGTTATTCTTTTTTGATGATTTTAGTGCTCATACTAATAAGGGGCCGTTCACTTATTACGTTACGCAAAAAACGACTTTTTTCACCCCCCTCCCCCCCCTTGTTACAATATGTTACAACTCACAACCCCCCCCCCCCCCCCTGAACGTTCATAATTTATTTGATCATTAAAAGACAGACGACAGTTAGAACGTTACATACTTCTTGACCCCCCCCCCCTCTGTTACATTTTGTTACAATTTTTCAAACCCCCCCTCCCCCCTAAAATGCGAACGTAATAAGTGAACGGCCCCTAATGTGAAATTAGACTTTTTTACTTTGATAAAATAATTGTTTAAAAAATGTAACGTACTGTTTATATAAGCATTAACGTAAACAGATAATTTTGAGGGTCACAAAAGTAATTAATTCTGTATGAACTTTATATGTTCTGTGATGTACTCTCTGGATGTGTTTATTGAAATTTTTGATATTGAACTCAGAATTAAATGAAAAGCAATCGCTTCTTTACCCTCAAGTAGAAATGAAAAATACGTGTTGAGGAATGTCTATTTGACTTGAGGGTAACAAAATATTTTTGTTAAATCATTTTATTTTGAAAATATTCATATATGATGTCTCCATAAATGGACTTAAATTACATTGACAGAATATCCTTAGTAATTTTTTTGACATTTCAAATAAGCTCTAAATCTTTCCAAATGTTGTACAAATTATAAATTAAAATCTTCATAAAGAAATTTCTACTATTTGCCTAGATTTTCAAAATGTATCATTATTTTTAATAATTGATGAAAATCTAGGTGGTCTATTAAGTTTCTCAATGAGCAATTCAATTTTCTTAACAGCTTGAAACGGCATGCAATATTCGACAAGCTTTTAATAAATTTATATAAGTGCAAAAAATTCCCACTCACTGGATTTTCATAAAAAATTCCCCATTTCAGTTTTAACGACAGAAATAACAAGAAACTTGTAAACGTCAAAAATGTGCATTTAAATCATCTCAATACTTATTTAAAAATATTTTAGTGCTTATGTGAGCTAGTCATAAAAATATTAATTTTCTTCACATTATCTGCTTTTCTTAAAGTTTCGTGAATTTCAATGAAAATTTTAAGTTGTTGTAATTTTCAAGTGCTGATAAGGTCCAATCAATAATATTTGTGTAGTAAATATTGAGTAAACATGTGTCTGGTCGATTTTAACGAACATTATTTAAAACATATAAAATTGTACAATCATCTTGCATCAATTCTCATACATCTACAAATACTCCCAAGCATTTATAGCACTCATTCATAAATTATTACATAAAGTCACAAATTTCTATGATTTAAATCGATGAAAGGTGTGATAATTTCATGTGCATCTCTAAAGTAATTATCATCTCATTTAATAGTACAATTATTAAAATTTTCGAATTTAAAAATTTCTTTCCTCTTAAAACTTCTTTTCTTCTTTTCGTTGTCTCTTCTCTTCCTCTCAAATTTTTTTCTTCTTTTTCTTTTATCTTTTTCTTCACAACATTTTTTCTTAAGTGTAGATTCATATATACCAAAAAATCGCTCAATTCTCTGTTGTTGTTTGTGTATGGAATATGAGAAAAAAAACCAGAATTCTCATTTTTTTTTGTTTAATTTCCTTTCTTTACTTCTTCGTCTCAGAAACGAGTGATCGATCGTACAGAAAAGACGTAGTATTTGACATATTTCTTATTTCATTTTCGATATAAACTTTATTTTTAAAACATTTAAAAAAGAGATTTCGTGGTATTTTCTTTATCGTTCTGAAAGTGTATACGAAAAAGTATCGTGTGTGATTTTTTTTTGATCGAGTTGCAAAAAAAAACGAGTTAAAATCAAAGTGATTAGATTCTTCACTTTCTCGTCTTTCCTATGTCAAGAGCATAAAAAGTGTATAAAAGTCAATAACAAGGTGGAAGAATTTGTGCCTCTTCTTTTACTTACTTACTAACGAAACAAAGTGTTTATAGACGAGAAACTATACGTTTCATTAGATTTACTTTTTCTCTCTCTTTACCTCGTCTCTAGAAGAAATAGAGGTGTTTAAGAATTCATTAGAAAGCAATATAACAATAAAAAATAATTCTTTTGATTTTTGTGTGCTCTGTCTTTTCATGTTCATTTATTTTCCTTTTTAAAATCCACTCACTTTATAAGAACTAATGAAAGGAAGAGAATGAAAAAAAAAATAATCTTGTGAATTAGTTCATTTGGGATAAATTTAAGAAAATGATGTAAAAACTAAAAAAACTCGTGTATAATAATCGATAAAAAAAGTTTTAATTGTACGTCATTTTTTTAAATAAACTTTTTGCCAACAAATGTGTTATTGTGCTCGCATTGGCTAATGTTTCATTTAAACTTTAAATAAACAATTTCCGATTTTTCAATGGACTCGAGTCTCGTCTGTGTTTTATTATACTAGTAGTTTATCACTTAGCAGTTGGAGAGGATTATTATGGAAATAAATGCACAATTAAATGGAAATTGCATTCAATTATTGACAATACTTAATAAGGATAATTAATAACTAATATTCATTAACTTGACATTGCAAAAATGCGCCTAATGAATCCACTTTGAATTACCTTTTATCACATTTTTTCCTTCTCTCTGTCTTTAAAGTCTCAACAACTTGTTTCTGTTTCTGTTTTTGCAGAACATTTTCTTCATAAAAGTGGCACACATGTAAGACAGTCTTGCTTTGTGTATAACAAAAAAAAAATTAAAGACAACTGTAAAAATCAGCGAAATTTATCATTTAGTTTATGTGTATAATTTAATATACGGTGATAAAGAAATAAGAGATATTATGTGAGCTCATGTAAGATAGCCTTCAACTTTTTTAATAAGCAACGAAACAAAAACATGTATATCGAATGAACTTTAATCACTCAATTTAAATTAATTGAAAGATTCACTCTTTCTCTATTTGTAAAAACAACGTATTTTATTGGAAGTGATGAATAATTTTCTGAGTGTGACTTGAAAAAAAAGGTTAAAAATACTCGAGAAGCAGGCAAGAAAAAGTAGTAGAAAAAAATATGAAAAATAATTAATCGATTAGTGCAAAAAGTTATAAATTTATACAATGGGATACTCAACACAAGGGAAGAATGCACACGAATCTCTCGTAGCACGACAAGACTCTGAAATACGTTTACTTGAATTAATGAGACGTTGTTTATTACAAAAAGTGAAATGTGATCGAGAGTATGCTAGTGCAATTGCCAGTGTTGCACAACAAGGACTTAAAATTGATAAGACGGATGAGCCAAATGGTGAGTTTGATTTGCTTCATTTACTTCCAATTTTATGGTGTTTACACAAAAGAATATAAATATTGATTGAAATGAAAAAATTTACAAACAGGAAGTCAAGTACTTCAAGCATGGAAAAAGTTTATGGAGGAGATGGAAAATCAATCAAAATTAATTCGTACAAATACTGAAAATTTAGAGAATGTCTGTACCGATCGTATGTCTCAAATGTGTCAAGAGAAGCGAAAACTCAAGAAACAGTATCAAGAGGAACATGCGAAAATTGCATCGAGATTTTATCAAGTAAACTTTACTGTACATTTTGATATGCATGAGGAAAATTACATGTCTCTTTTATTGTATTATTTTCTAGCTAACTGAAGATGTAGCACGAAAGAAGGCTGAATATCAGAAACATTTAGAATATTACAAGCAAATGCGCATGAGATTTGAAGAGCATTACATTAAATGTAAAAACAAAACTTTTATTTCATGTCGTAATCATGTACTGTACTTATCGTTACTTGTCTTAATTAAATTTACAGCTGGTAGAGCAGGTCGAAAGTTGGATGATGTAAGGGACAAGTACCAAAAAGCATGTAGAAAACTGCATTTAGCCCATAATGAATATGTGTTACTTTTGCACGAGGCTACTGAAGTCGAGAAAGATTATCGAACAATACTCTTACCTACATTGTTGGCACATCAACAAACTGATCAAGAGCAATTCATAACAAATTGGTAATTTATTAAGCTATCAAAATTATTTTTGACTGCAGTTTCCGTAAAGAAAATCAATAGAAATTTAATTTTATTCAATTTGAATGTCTTTATAAATAGAAGCATTTAGTTAAAAAAATATATATATAAAAGCTGACTGAAAAATAATCAAACATTAATTTTTTTGCTGGTTTTCTTTTGCGAAATCGCACACACAAAAAAATCGCTTGAAGAGAAAAAATGAAATTCATATTTTTTTTTCACATTTTTCTAGGAAAAACTTACTTAATGATATAGCAAAATTTAGTGATTACACATCAAATGAATATTTGAGTATTCAACAGCACATAAGTAACAGTATTAACTCCATAACACCAACTGACGAATACAAAGATTTGGCTGATAAATATAAATCATTACCTGTTATTTTTCGATTCGATGATAATCCAAATGAAGAGAATTTTGGTAAACTTCAACCAAATCAATTAGCCATAGATAATCTAACGATTGAATCGTTAAGACAACGAATTGCAGATTTAGAACAATCAATAAAGGAATGTCAAGAAAAACAGCAAAAAATTGCTGGAGAAATTAATGGAAAGAAAATTTCATCTTCAACATCGAGTATTCAGTCAGCAGCATCTAATAACATTCTTACTACAAATTCAAGTAACTTGAATGGTGTTAGTAACAGCATGAAAGATACAAAGTATTGCCTTAATATTCTAAAACTAATTGTGCATTAATATTAATAATGGATTTTTTTTTCCTTCCTCTTCATTAATTTTTTTAGATTCAATAAAGATTTGTGTTCCTTAAAATGTCAAGAACGTCAGATGAACAAACTTGTTGAAATTATAAGATCGTCACTTAATGAAGTCTCGATTAATGAGCTTCCTAGTGGATGTGACGATATAAGCGTTGAGATCGATAAGAATCTAGGAACTGATGAGAATATTGTGAGTATCTTAATTTTAATATTTTAACGTACATACCAAAATTGATAATTAATTAGGGGCTGTTCACTTATTACGTAACGCGAAAAAATGACTTTTTAGACCCCCCCCCCTCGTAACAAAATTTGTATGAAAAAAAAATTTCCTTGTTTGAACCGTAACAAAATCTTAGACCCCCCTCCCCCCCTAAAAGCGTTACGTAATAAGTGAATGGACCCTTAGGTGATAATTAGTATTAATCGGATAAAGGTTCTTTTTAAACTTACTATTTCTCATAATAATATTGAATATCATAAATTAGACATCATCGTCAACTCATATGTCAGTAATTTTACAAAAAAGTGGTGATTTTATGACATTAATTAGAACGCCGTTCAGAAAGAAAAGAAGAACAGTTGCGGGAGATGAGTTATCAAGACGTTCAAAGTCACAAACACCTATGACTGTTCGTGCTACTACAAAACAAACTCGTAGTATTTCTTCTTCATCGGTAAATAGTGAAAGTAACAGTTATACGTTTGATGTGTCAACTACTAATACTGAAAATGCTACTAAAAATAATATTTATGCTGATATTAACAGTGTTTTTGAGTTTGATTTTAATATTAATTCCTTATTCAACGATTATGATGATTATATTGATGAGAGTCAACTGACAAATGTTGAAACAATTAGTGCCTTTCAAACGATTGAAATAAATGAATGTAAGCACTTAGAAGAACAAGTTGAAAATGATGAAAGTGAAACGATAAAAATACCTGATGTGAAGGAGAAAATTTCAAAAATTCACTTGCCAAGCATTCCCAAAATATTCTTATTTGCCACACACTCAGAGAACGTCAAAGGTTCAGTCTCTAAAGTACAGGATGATAAGAAAGATATTTCTAAAGAGAAGAAAAATTTATTTTCATTTTTCAAGAAGAAAAGTTGTTCTAGTGCATCAAAGTCATTGAACCTGAGTGATAATCTTAAAATTGACAATGATTTAATTATATGTCGTCGATGCAACAAGCGAATAATTTATACTAAAGAAGTTCTTGATAGCGATAGGCTATTCCTATGTAATGTCGATAAATGTAACTGTGAAAAAGTGGTTGTTGATGATGGAATTTACATAAAAAATTCTACCTACAAGGATGTAAGTGGTAATTATAACATTATACTTGCATGACATAATGGCACGATAGAGATAGACGAATGATCAAAACTAATAGTCACGACGCCTTCTTTTGAATGAATTTATCATGCAGTTCTTCATCGTCTCAGGCCAATCGTCGTCGTCACGTAAAATGTGACGAATATTTAATGACACAAATTCATTGAAACTTATTACCTAATTACCAGAGGTCGAAGCCGACATGAGTTCGCTCCGGTTCGCTAAAAAACCGATTCGATAACCGGTAAATTTCTATAGAATGTTAAAGTTCACAAGTGGCAGCAGAAAAAATTCTATTCAAATTTGAATCGGTTTTTTAGCGAACCGGAGCGAACTCATGTCGGCTTCGACCTCTGCTAATTACAAAAGTTTTTGCATCCTCGTAGCGCATTGACTACAAAAAAGAACTGCTCAAAAATATTTTCACAGCAAAAATAATAAGTCGTTTAATGAAACAAATACACATGTGTAAAAATTATTTTTAAATTTTTCTCTCCCAAAAAAAAATTTTCTTCTCCTCCGCATTGAGCATGATGATTTTTTTTTCTTTTTCATTTGCAAATAGAACATCTCAGAAGTATTTTATTATTTTTACAATAGTCAAGTTCATTTCATCGATAGTTTAGATAAAAAAGTATTTTAGATAAATAAATGGCTTCGGATAGTTCCTGTACATCATCTATAATCGATAGTGGATTTGAAAGCACATCAACACAATTTGTTCCAATTCCGCCACCGCGAAAAAAACGTATTAAAAAAGAAATACAGCAACAAAAGAAAGGAAGAAAATGGAGCGCAGTTTTATCGCATCATATTAACAAAATTTCTAACTTTATTGAGAAAGTAGTTTAGATAAACAATTGAAATAGGATGTGAATGAAGGTTTTGTTAATTGCTTTATTGTTTTTAATTATAGCTGACTGTGTCAAATCGTCCGATATATGAAGAAGAATGGTTTCATGGCGTTCTTCCGAGAGAGGAAGTTGTGCGATTACTTAGAAATGACGGTGATTTTTTGGTTCGTGAGACAACGAGAAACGATGAGAGTCAAACTGTTCTCAGTGTTTGTTGGAATGGGCATAAACATTTCATCGTACAGACAACCGCAGATGTAAGACATTTGTATTTGCTTTAATTAACTCAGTTTAAATTTAATTTAATTTATTAAATTATTTCAGGGTCACTTTAGATTCGAAGGTCCATCATTCCCGAGTATTCAAGAGCTGATTCTACATCAATTTCAATCGGAACTTCCCGTAACTAGCCGGTCTGGTGCAATATTAAAAACACCAATTTTCAAAGAACATTGGGAGCTTAGCAATGATGATGTTATATTGATCGATAAAATTGGAAGGGTAGGCATTTATGGCTCATAAAGAAAGCTAATTGATCGTTAAAAGTTTTTAAAAGATCTGATCTATCGGTCAACAGCTGATCAATTTTTCACGATGAATAATTCTTAATAGGGCGCTGCAAATTTTATTATTAATAATTTACGATAAATACTTTCAACTAGCGAACTATAGTCTAAACCACTTGAAATGATTTTTATTTGATTAATTTTCTCATAAATTTTCAACCATCACATTTAGGGAAATTTTGGTGATGTTTATAAAGCAAAACTTAAATCATCACGTCAAGATGTAGCAGTTAAAACGTGCAAACATTCATTACCTGACGAGCAAAAACGTAAATTTTTGCAAGAAGGAAGGATATTAAAGCAGTATGATCATCCAAATATTGTAAAATTAATAGGAATTTGTGTGCAAAAACAACCTATAATGATTGTAATGGAATTGGTTGAAGGCGGTTCGCTTTTAACCTATCTGAGAAAAAATTCTGCAACGTTAGATCAGCAACAGATGATGGGAATATGCAGAGATACAGCAGCAGGTATTATCTTTATTTGTTGGTGAATAAAATAAAATAAACATACTTATTTTTTCAGGGATGAGGTATTTAGAGTCTAAAAATTGCATCCATCGGGATTTGGCAGCAAGAGTAAATATTTATTTAATTTAAATAGATGCAATTGCTGATGTGATTTCTTATTGATTACAGAATTGCTTGATTGGTTCAGAAAATATCGTTAAAATATCAGATTTCGGAATGTCACGAGAGGAAGAAGAATATATTGGTAATAAAATCTTAAAGTCTGTTTAATTCTTTATTTAACGTATATTTCTTTTTAATTATTGTAGTTTCGGATGGAATGAAACAGGTGTGTAAAAATGAGTTATTGAAAATGTCTATAAAAAAAATAATAAACTTTTGCTTTAGATACCCATTAAATGGACTGCGCCAGAAGCTTTAAATTTTGGCAAATATAATTCACTTTGTGATGTTTGGAGTTATGGAATCTTAATATGGGAAATCTTTTCAAAGGGTGGTACACCGTATCCTGGACTTAGTAATTCTAAAGCTCGAGAGAAAATTGACGAAGGTAGAAGATTAAATGACTAGTTAATTTATCAAAACTAAACAGAACACTGTTCTAATTCACAGGTTACAGAATGCCAATGCCTGAGGGAACACAACCAGAAATGTACAAACTAATGCTGAAATGTTGGAAGGAAATACCTGAGGAACGACCACATTTTGATGAGATTTTTACTGTTGTTGACTGTCTCATGAAAAAGCAGTAAAACTCAAAAAACTGTAAACTTTTTTATGGAAAAATTAATTTAATAAAATTAAATATTAAAAAATCAATACATTCCCTTTTGCATTAAATGTGAGAAAAGTACGTGAATATGAAGCTTCAAATCATCCGAAACCGAATTTACCCCACTGCTTTTAAATACGCTAGTTAAAGATCTCCAATGTTAATTAAATAATTTCATTGAATCTATTAATTAACTTTTCTAGTTTCTTTTCAATTTTTATAATGCTGTTAATAATGTTAATTGAATTACTATTTAAAAGCTTATGCAATGTTTAACTTTAAATTTCAGTAACAATGCATGGACCTATTTTTTAGGATCTTTAGTTTTATTTCAGATTTTGTCGCGTTCAGATCAAAGTGAGAAGATATGGTGCCGAAAATTTCAGATTTAAAAAAAGATAAAGTAGATTCAAATAATAATGATGAAAAATTGGGCTATAAAAATAATGGTAAAAAGTTAATGAAGTTAATTATTCAATTTTGTTAAGATAGAAATTATACAACAGTGTTTCTTAGAACCCTAAAGCGCTACAATTGCATTCTTAAATCTCTATAATGTACTTTGGATCAGTATACAGCGCATACTCTTCACTCAGCAGTTGTGTGCCCAAGAACTAGTTTTAATAAGGAACAAATTGTCTTAGTTCAATGTTACCATCTACTTTTTAAGTCGACAAGAAATTTTTGACAAATAATTTACAAATTTTCAACTTAATAAACAACTTTAGTCTCAACAAAATGTTAAGTTTAGAAGAAATGACAAAAAGTGAAAGTGTTTAATGAATTTATGAGTTTTAAAGGAGTCTAAAGGATAAAAAAATACGAACTTTTTCACTAGGGTTTGGGGAACATGTTAACAGAAAACAGAAAAACAGCTGTTTTTCGACAAAAATCTATTAACAGAAAACAAGTCTCAAAAACAGATCTGTTTTCTGTTTTTCATTTTTACATATAATTTTCAGAAAAAAAAATTTTTTTAATTTTTTGAAGAACTTAACGTAGTTTTCTAGAATTCCAAATTGAAATGTATTTACTATTTTATTTTTTTTTTTGGATGTTTGTTAGGTTTGAAATCATTATCAAATTTATGATTATTCATTACTAATTTTGCAATCGAAATTTTGAATTTGTTGAACCTTTTGTAGCATTTACTAAAGTTCAAAAATACACTGGTGGAAATTGAAATGAGACACCCATGTTTTTTATGTGAAAGTCTTACAAATGAAAGATTGTTGTATATCATTGGAAAGAACTTTAAAAAATAACTTAAGTACAGGAACAATGTACTGATTAAAAATGTAGCAGTTTAAAGTTATTTACAAAATATGATTTTTGAGGTGGAAATTGAAATGAGACACTTTAGAAAAATTTACAAAAATCTTCCTCAATTTTGACTTTGACTATACATATTGTATATAGACTTGTAGATTTTTACTTTCTTCACAATACTAGAGCATGCTAAAAAATTTTGGAACTTCCAGTCATGTAATATCCTCAAGAGAAAGTAGAAAAAGCCAAGTTTTTTGTTTTCATCAAATATTTTTATGAATAATCATATATTAATAACAAATGAAATCAAAATATGTAGATTTTTAAATGCTCTTTCAGATAAAGAATTGATATTTACCTCTACATAAGTTTAAATGACAAAAATTAATTAAAATGCTTGTTTCGTAACGTGAGTACGGATATAAAAAAATTAATTTTTCTCTTATTTTGATCAATCAAAAAAATCTGAAGTTTTCAGGACACTTTCTGCATTGTTTTTACTATTAGTTTTCAATTCCATATATTTTTTATCTCCATCCATGAACGCTAGGATTAACATTTAAGTCATGATGAAATCCCAAAATATCAAATTCCATAAATTTTTCACATAATTTAATTATACTAGGTTTTAGTGTTTTCGTAACGGTCAAAATTTTTGATAGCATAATATCTTAAACATAGTGCATGATTCTCTAAATTTATTAAACATACGTTTTATGTGCATAAAATAATATGTGTTAATTTAAATAAGAGAAAAATTAATTTTTTCATATCCGTACTCACTCGTAACAAGCATTTTAATAAATTTTTGTCGTTTAAACTTATGTAGAGGTAAATATCAATTCTTTATCTGAAAGAGCATTTAAAAATCTACATATTTTGATTTCATTTGTTATTAATAGATGATTATTCATAAAAATATTTGATGAAAACAAAAAACTTGGCTTTTACTACTTTCTCTTGAGGATATTACATGACTGGAAGTTCCAAAAAATTTTAGAATGCTCTAGTATTGTTAAGAAAGTAAAACTCTACAAGTTTATATACAATATGTATAGTCAAAGTCAAAATTGAGGACGATTTTTGTAAATTTTTCTAAATTGTCTCATTTCAATTTCCACCTCAAAAATCATATTTTGTAAATAACTTTAAACTGCTACATTTTCAGTCAGTACATTGTTCCTGTACTTAAGTTATTTTTTAAAGTCCTTTCCAATGATATACAATAATCTTTCATTTCAATTTCCACCAGTGTATAATCAACAATTTTGCAAGATATTTTTTTATTCAGAAAGATTTTTTTGAATATTTCAAATAAAATATTAGAGTTTATGGAACTTTTGCAATGCAACAATGCAATGTTTCTTAAAAGTATAATTTTTTTTTGAATTTTTATATTCCATTATATTTTATAGAGTTAATTAACGAAAAATTAAGAAATAATAATGCTTAGCTCTATAATGTATGCTTAACTGCTTATAACCACCAAAAAGTTTCATTATCTTAGAGAAACACTTAGGATAACTCAGTTTATTTTGAATTCTAGAAAAACAGGAAAACAGCTGTTTTTAAAAATCAAAAACCGAAAACAGACTGTTTTTCAAAAACAGCTGTTTTCCACAAACCCTACTTTTTTACTATCCATCAATAAAATTTGTAGCTATAAAATTACCAAATTTAATTTTTTTCAACAATTTTTCCAAAGTTCAAGAAAATCTTTGAAGACGACTTGTTAATGTCTAGTTGATGATAATTAATCACCATTTGCAGGGACGTAGCCAGAATTTTAAAAATTGGTTTGAAATTTCTTGATAGGACCGAAAGATTTTCTTTTAAAAACCATTGCAAATTAAAGAAATTTACCCCGAAAATTGTACCAGCTTCGCCTCAGATTATTTACATAAGATAATGACTTCTGGATATAAAAATTATTAAGGCAATCACCTAACGTTTGTTATTTATGTTAAACAGCTTTTAAAACATCTTAACTTAAATTTTATTGTCTGTTCAAGATAATTTGATGAATCTGGTGATAATTAATTTATTAAGTTTCTTTTGTATTTCACATAATTTTAACACATGTGTTTTTGGAAACATACCATTTGTTCAATTTTAACTTGTGCTTGAACACAAGCTAGCTAGCAAAATTTAATAAGTCAATTGAATTTGATTGCTATTAAATACAGATCTTATTTTTTAAAACAATAAAAGGATGTAAAGTTTTCTCAACAAATTTTTCCATAATTAAGTTCTGTTTCTCTAGCCTCCATGCTTTAATTAAACTAGTGTATCGGGTAGAAACCCAATGCGGATATATTCACACCGTACGATCAAAAGTCTTATGGATAGACCAAGATTTGCTCAGCATAAGTTTGAAGGGTGGGCGTGAAGTACGGCCGAGACCCATATCGAGATAGTTCAAAAGTTATACCTAATTTATGTCATAATTATGTCAGCTACAAAAACACTTAGTTTGAATTTTGTCACCCTCGGGAACACTACAAACCAGTATAGCTGATTTTGGTCCAAATCTCGGCCATACTTCACACTTATTTGAACCACATTTTCTCGTAAATGTTAAAAAATTATTAAAAAGTAATTAATCCTGAATTATGTCGCTATTTTGTCAAGTGTTTTATATTAAAGAATTTGATTTTTGGTTTCCACAGTGAAGAGTATGAACAAAATTCAGATAGGGTAGTCGAAATTTTAGATTTCGATTTTTTTTAAGCTATGCATTGCAAAAAGTAATATTGGTATGTGATTTATGTCAGAATTATGTCAATTCAAATAAAACATCCAAAAAATTTTTTTGACAAAAGCACACCATAGAAAATCAATTTTCAATTTTGGAATAGGGGCGACCCTAGTCAAAATCAATTTTGTCACTTTTTTTCTTCGATGGTTTATACAAATGGATTGAAACCATGCATAAATATTCTAGTGCTTAAAATAAATACAAATAAAACATCCTAAAATTTTTTTGAGCAAAGAACCAAGTAGGAAATACATTTTCAATTTTGGACTAGGGGCGACTCTAATAAAATCAATTTTGTCACTTTTTTTCTTCGAAGGTTTATACAAATGGATTGAAACTATGCATAAATATTCTAGTGCTTAAAACAAATACAAATAAAACATCCTAAAATTTTTTTGAGCAAAGAACCAAGTAGGAAATACATTTTCAATTTTGGACTAGGGGTGACCCTAGTCAAAATCAATTTTTTCACTTTTTTTCTTCGAGGGTTTATCCAAATGGATTGAAACTTTGCATAAATGTTCTAGTGCTTAAAACAAATACAAATAAAGCATCCTAAAATTTTTTTGAGCAAAGAACCAAGTAGGAAATACATTTTCAATTTTGGACTAGGGGTGACCCTAGTCAAAATCAATTTTTTCACTTTTTTTCTTCGAGGGTTTATCCAAATGGATTGAAACTTTGCATAAATATTCTAGTGCTTAAAACAAATACAAATAAAACATCCTAAAATTTTTTTGAGCAAAGAACCAAGAAGGAAATACATTTTTTTTTGTATTTTTGTATTTTTTGAAATACATTTGTATAAACCCTCGAAGAAAAAAGTGACAAAATTGATTTTTACTAGGGTCGCCCCTAGTCCAAAATTGAAATTGTATTTCCTACTTGGTTCTTTGCTCAAAAATTTTTTTGGATATTTAATTTGTATTTGTTTTAAGCACTAGAACATTTATGCAAAGTTTCAATCCATTTGTATAAACCCTCGAAGAAAAAAGTGACAAAATTGATTTTGACTAGGGTCGCCCCTAGTCCAAAATTGAAAATGTATTTCCTTCTTGGTTCTTTGTTCAAAAATTTTTTTTTCATCCAAAGTTTAATGTAAAATAAAAAAAAATCACAATGAACTTTTAATTTGAAAAATTCGTAAGAAAGGAAAGTTTTTTGCTTTTTCTGAAGCAACGGCTGTTCCTACCTTGCCCAAAAACAATACAGCTCTTCTATAGAGCAGCACGGATCAAATGTAAAAAACTAGAAGTCTCTACAATGTCTCGTTATTGAGATTTCTTGCTGATTAACTTGCTTGCTTGCTTGTTTGCTTACAGAAAGCGTATTTTGCGATTTTCTCAGCAATGCCACAACCAATTTGAAATCTGTTTTTTGAAAATGGTGTGAAATTTCAGGCACAAACTTTTCTACTGTGACCTTTTATAACCAATTTTGCTTTGTTTTCTCACAAAATGCGAAAAACTGATTTTTCAATCTGAACAAAACCAATAGATTCACACGTGAAAACGGTGTGAATATAATAAGTTATTTTAATATCGCACTATTAATTCTATGAAAATCTCGTATAGAAAGAGAATATCCATCACTTTGTGGGAGCGATGATGATGACTACAAAGTAGAAATTGTTTGGAAAAACGTGCTCATATTCCTTTATTTGCACACTGCAGCTATTTATGGTTTTACACTAGAAAAAAAGCTTTCATCACTAATTTTTGGATGGGTATGCGGATTATCAAGCGCGTTTGGAACCACAGTTGGTATGAATTAATTAATTTCACACATATTTTGAAGGATACATTTTGTGACATAATTTTTTTAAAACATACATATGTAGGAGCTCACAGACTTTATACACACCGATCATACAAAGCTAATAGAAGCTTACAAATTTTATTGTTAATATGGCAAACAATGGCTGTTCAAAATTCTATGTATACTTGGTGTCGTGATCATCGTATGCATCATAAATGTAAATTTTTTCTGAACATTGTCAAACAAATTGAACTAATTTAAATTTTTACTATTTCCAGACACCGATACTAATGCAGATCCACATAAGTAAGATTTTCTTTTAAAATTTATATCTTTGATTTTGTCTAGACTAGAAAAGCACATATGCCAAATGGAGTAATAAAAATATAAATCAATTTTTAAGAATCTACTAACAGCATATTAAATAGTATGTTTATGAAAATATAGCAAATGCTTAACATCCAATTAATATTTCTTTACAGTTCCGAGAGAGGCTTCTTCTTTTCACATATCGGCTGGTTAATGTGCAAAAAACATCCAGATGTTAAAAAATTTGGTGCTAAAATCGACATGAGTGATTTGGAAACTGACCCACTTGTTATGTTTCAACATAAATATTATTTCATACTTGCATTAATTTTTGGATTTATTATTCCTATTTATATCACATGTTTACTAGGCGAATCATTTCATATTGTCTGGTATGGGCATATCTTTCGTTACATGTTAGGTCTTAATCTTGTCTGGTGTATAAATTCAGTTGCGCATTTTTGGGGAACTAAACCATACGACAAGTAAAGTTTCATTTAGATAAGATAATCAATATAAAGCGATAACGATTGTTTTTATCTATTTTAGAAATATTTCAAGTACAGATTCCTATTTGGTTGGAACACTTGGAGTAGGTGAAGGTTGGCACAACTATCATCATGTTAGTATCTTTTACTTTGAAAATTCTAGCATTTTCAAATATCCTCTTATCTTTCAGACCTAGCTCAAAATAAACTTTGTTATTCTGTTTCCAGAACTAAACCATAATATGACCTTTAATTTTATCGTCATTTAATTCAAATTTATTTAAATCATTCCAGGTTTTCCCGTTCGACTACAAATGTGCTGAGAAAACAAGATACTGGTGCAACTTATCGTTAGGTGTTTTAGACTTTTTTGCATATATAGGTAAACTTGATAAGATATACATAAAAGCTTTTAACGATTAATGATTCAATCACTTATTTCAGGATGGGCCACAGATCTTAAAGAAGTTTCTAAAGAAACAATCGATAAGCGCGCTTTAAGAACTGGAGATGGATCTAGAGAAATTTCTAGTCAAATAGCAGCATCAAATGTTGAGCTAGAGGTCTTAAACAATGAAGCTACTAATAGTCTTTGGGGATGGGATGATTCAGATATCACGAGTGATATTAAGAACTGTGTAGATATTTCATATAAGAAGTTTGATTGACCATAACGAAGTTCTGCAGCCTTCAACAAATTTCAATGAGAAGAAGCAACATCATTAAACTCACAAGTCTAGTTCCGAACATTTATTTTTCGTTTATAAATGCCACAAATTTGAATTTGTTGTGTCTAATGACCTCAAAACTTTTTCCATATTTTATTATCATATTACCAAAGATGCCGTGCATCCTAAGATGCACACAATCATCATATGTTTTGTTTGTAACTTGTTCACATTGGATGAAAGAAAGACAAAAATTAGCAAATAAAACCTTCTGCCCAAAAATTTTCCTGTTTTTCGTGATTAAGACCAGTTTTTTTTTTACAACAGATTTGGCCAGTCATGTTTAGATGAGAGCCACATTTTCTAAATTGTCAACAGTATATTTTGGTATGCTTTACTGATCACACGTGAAACAATCCACGAAAATTTAACAGTTTCATTATATTAAGAATAAGTTATGGAAATAATTTCAGAAAAAGATAATCAAATCAAAGTGGAAGAGAAAAATGGTAAGAAAATTAGTTCTTAAAAATTGATAAAAGTGAAAGAATAAATATGGAACCTTGAGACCTTGACATTAAATATGCAGAAGAAAATTCTAGAACATCCAAAATAACATGCTGCCAAAACATGATTTGAAGCTGAAAATCTGATGTTTATAAAATCACAAAAACTTTAAAATTAAATTCAAAACGTCATTTTCATTTGATAAGAATATTCTGCGAAATTATTGAAGAAAAAAGAGAATAAGATAAGTTTCTATAAAATTCTTATAAACAGGATTCCAAACACATGCTATGACATTCAATCAACTAAATCTAAAGAAAATTAATTATAATAAATTCGGTGGTTTTTTTTTATAACTTTCCTTAACTTTTATGCATTAGTTTTTGTTTTCTCGAAATGCCTCTGTTCAAAATGATATTAAACATCAAAATTTCAAAAAGTTTTGATTTCCAAAAATCTAATTAGAAATTATGGTTTTATGACTTTTATTATATAACTTTACATTTCGCTGTTCATCTTGCAAAATATCTTTGAGTTAAAATGATGCTTTTTTTTATAAATAAATATTCAAGGTATTCATATGTAACAAACCCAAAAATATCGTATTCATCATTTCACATTTCAACTCAAACTTAAAAGAAATCAAGTTTATATGCTGAACATCAAACTTAGGTGGAGCCTATGATAAGATCGTAAAATCTTACTTAATTTTAAATAGTGGATATCTTTATTTTCATAACCTGAAGACAAAAATTAACAGTGCAAAAAGCAGCATTATGATAATATTCAATAACAGAACTTTAACATATCAATAGGATACTAATTTGCATTTCCCTCTTTTAAAAATCACGCTCATCTTAATGATTGTTCGCACGGTGATTTTTTTCTTCAGTATATGTGTTGTTTATAAATTTTTGCGATCAATAGCCAAAACGAGAAAAATATTCAAAACCTTATGTTGATGAAAAACAAGAAAACATTGAAGAAATTCAAGTTTTTGGTTCAACGTCTTCATTGTCACTGTCACGTTTTTGTCTAAAAATGTGCATAATTCCAATCTATCTTGATTTAGAGAAATCGAATGCTGATTTAAATTTCTAATTATTAACTTTTATTTTAAGGATTAAATGGACTTTTAGCATTAGAAAGGCCGGCAGCAATTCCAGATCCAGATTATAAAATTGTTTTGAGATGGCGAAATATTATTGCATTCATCATAATGCACACTTTCACAATAATTTCATTTTTCTATCTCCCTAAATTATGGACAACTTACGTTTATCAGGTGAATATTTAATTTTATATCAATTTAAATGAAGAAAAGCATATTAGAAATGTTTGTGCCTTTTAAAAATTCAAATTAATTTCAAAATTAACTTATGATATTTTAGTTATTATTAGCTGGAGGAATAGGGTAAGAAAAATAAACCTTAAATCAAATTTTAATCAATAAATTAAATGTGCATATGTTCTCATTTGTCATTAATCAAACAGTTTCGGAACAACAGTTGGCAGCCATAGACTTTTCACACATAAAAGCTACAAGGCTAACACATTCCTGCGATATCTTCTCATTTATTTTCAAACAATGGCAGGACAGGAACCGGTATGTTTTGATAGCTTCATCCCCAGTTATAGATTTTCAATTAATTATTGCTTTATCTCATTTTAAAGATTTATCGATGGGTGCGAGATCACAGAGTGCATCATAAATATACGGATACAAATGCAGATCCACATAAGTAAATATTTGTTTGAATTCATTGAAATAGACAAAATCTAAGTTTTTCACATATTGAAGTTCGAATCGTGGATTTTTCTTTGCTCATATGGGCTGGCTTTGTTGCAAAAAGCACCCAGACGTTGTTAAATTTGGCAACAAGATTGACATGAGCGACCTTGCGAATGATAAAGTTATTCAATTTCAAAGGAAGTAAGTCAAACTATTGAACCTAAACGGTCATAACATAACCAAAAAAAATAAGCGTCTGAATTTACCAGCAACATTTTCATTTTTACATAGGATTTACACGCTCGCATCAATTTTGTTCTCTTTGGTTATTCCAATTATAATTACGATGGTAAGTAGTTTACACAAATGTTCAATTTGACTTTGAAATTTTTCATCTTTCAATTAATTTTTTTGCTAGTCTTTTGGTGAAGATTGGTGGAGAGCAATGAACTTTAATATTCTACGTTATACAATAGGACTTCATTTTGTTTGGCTTGTTAATTCTGGTAATATATTTAATCGATTATCATCGAATTAAATTATAAAATTTTCTCATTTTTATTAGGTGCGCATTATTGGGGAACACGTCCTTACGAAAAGTAAGTCAAATATTTAATTATTGTAATTCCATTATATTAAAATTTCAATCATATTTTTCAGAGATATATCGGCTTCAGATTCATTGTTAGTCTCATGGTTAGCGCTCGGAGAGGGTAAGATCTTTAAAAATTATAAAGCTTTACCAAAAGCTTTCATTCATAAAATAAGCTTTATGTCTCATTCGTATTGTTGAAATTTTTAAAGTCGTTAATATTTATGAGTTTTAAATAAATCTTTTGGACCTGACAATCAGTTTAATATTTTTGATTTAGTTTAACTGATTCTGTTCTAATTCTAAATGATAGTTGCACGTGGCTTATACTCTTACTTTCTATTCGAAAGTTAAAAAATTATTATCATGATTAAATCAACTTAATTGCCCGAATAACCGAAACAAATTTACAATTTGTGACTTAAATTTTAAAAAATTAAGGAATCGATTCGACAAATTTACAGACAAAATTTCAAAACGAACACACCTTGTATTGAAATTTTTAAGCAAAGATTATTGTAATTTATAAACAGTGTGATGACAAATTAAGAATCTTCTTATTGATCGTTCACAAATGATGTGAATATTGATTGTTCAATATTATATCAGAACTGTTTACACCTCCTGCATCCTGAGTGTCATTTTCAATACCCCCTTATTGCTCTTAATGTTTGACATAATTTATGAATTATCCCATAATACAAAGATAAAAAATCATCATTCATATCTGTCTTTACTTAAACACAAAATAAGAGCCAAAATCATCTACGCGTGTTATTATAATTAACCGGCCTGAAGAATATCTGCAAACTATTAGACAACCTTGACCATTCCAAACAAAACTTTCGAAATTTTCTACTCACTTAAAAAAGTTGTGAATTGTCATTACAAGTCTTACAAAATCTACTTATCGCACACTTTAAAATCAAAATAAGCTTACCTTAATGATTGATAATTCTAATTGGAGCACGAAATTAATTACTTCTTCTTTACAGGCTTTCACAACTATCACCACATTTTCCCTTGGGATTACCGTACATCAGAGACGAAAGCATATTGGTTCAATCTCTCAACATTATTCATTGATATCTTTTCTAAGCTTGGTATGTGTTTGAAAAATTTCATTGAAATTACATTTTTGATTATTATATATCTCTCCAAAAAATTAAGGTCTTGCCCATGACTTGAAATCAGCTTCAGATGATATGATTCGTGCACGTGTTTTGCGAAGTGGCGATGGATCTCACAAATACTCAAAAATGGCAAAGGATGATGTTGAGAAAGTATTAGATAATAACAATCTTACTACAAAGAAAGATCATGACTGGTTCTGGGGTTGGGTAAGGATGATTTATAATTCATAATTTTAGCAAGAATCTTAATGAACTTATGTATATAAAAATGTGTTTGACATTTTTCAAACATATTTTATTTAACAGGATGATGCGGAAATGACGGAAGACGATAAGAAAGATGTTGTCATAAGCAATCCGTCAGAAGAAGAGCAGCATTAAAGCAATTACATTTAAAAATTTCCTTGTATTAAACAATTTTGTGATGTTGTAAAATTATATTTTTTTTTCTCGAATCATCATCATCATCATCAGTGACACAACAATGTTGCTTGCATGAATTTAGTATATTAGATTTTACAACATAACTTTCGAATAAGAAATACTTACACTCAATGCCACGATCATTATTTTGGTATCTCAGTGTATTTGTGACGGTCCACAAAAAAATTAAGTTGCTCAAGACAAAAATCGCAAGTTTTTTTTAATTTATTAGCCAATAAAACAATGATTTAAAACCTGAATCGTGTGGATGTAATATTTTATGTCCTATCATGTATGTGACATATTTGGGCTATAAAAGTATTATATCCTTGTAATTTCATTTGCTGAACTTCTACATATTTTTTCCATTTCTCTATCAACAAGTTAAAAGTAAGTAAAAAGAAAAACGCAACCACTATGAAGGTCATAAAATCATGAGGCAAGCACAGCTTTTTTGGTAATTGCTTTGGGTTTTCACTATACACATAAGCCTGCACGTTTACTCTTTTCCATTGATTATTTCAAATTATTTTATTTTCTTTTGATACTCTTAACATAAAATTTGCAATTGTTACACGCGCATACTCTTTTTTCAGGTGTTATGTATGAAACTTTTGCTTTTTAATGGCAACTGTTTTCCTGATCAAAAAGTGATAACCACTCTTTTTTTATGAATCAAACAAAGCAAGCAGACAGCATGGAAACATGATTCACTTTAGGCTCACATAAAGCTGTATGAAGATTTTCTTTTGTAATACGTAACTACGATGATAATATTACACAAACATCTGCACATGCCTCTTTGTAGAACACTTTAACCTTGAATCTTTTTTTTTTTTAATTTCAAACTTTTTTCTAGAGAAGTAATTTGTACATCCTAAGTCATAATTTTTCCATTAATTAAGCCATGTTTTTACAGTCAATTTACAATATTATTTGAATCCATTTGATTTTAAGTAAATTTTCTTCAAGACATTAATGTCTGTATTTTGTCCATGTGTCAGAACTCGTGAAAGGAAGCTTTTGATAGCATTAGGTGAAAAGTGATCTTGATTGATTGATTGACTCAAAACCGAGTCGAATACGAGTTGACTCGGTAAATTTTTTTCGAGTCAACTCGAATCGACTTTGAGCTCTGCAAAATGTAATTTAAATTTTGATGCGCTTTCAGGAGGTTGCAAATGACCACAACTGTACTCGTTTCTTCTGCTGTATATTATAATGATTTTTTTTTATTGAATACCTTCATGATGTACTGTGATGTGATGCAATACTTAATAAAGGGAATTTTCTGCATTGGCATTTATCATTGAACCATGCCAGAATATGCATCATCATTTTATTGAATTAATCATTCCAAAATGCAGTAGAAAATAGGAGAACAATCTAAAGATAATCAGTCAACAGGTGATTTGTGATTCTCCTATACCAATGTCCGTGTGGCCAAAATATTTTTTGCTACACATGAGAACACAAATTTTGTTTTCTTTACAGTACACAAACATAAATGTACCATTCGATTTACTACAACCAAAAATTTTTGGATATTTTTTGCTCACAAATGTTAATCCATCGACGTTATGAATTACTCAACGCTACCTGGTAGTAAGTAAGTAAGTAAGAAAAAAATAATAGACATTACAGAAAGAGTATTTACCTAAAATTTGTTCGCGAAGCAAATCGAAGAGGTTTTATGAAGTATCATTCGGAGTCTGATCGTGGACCATAGCAGACGTGTTTAACTATTTTTTTGACTATTCGGTGGTTATTTCTAAATTCGGTCTTATAACGAGTAGTCGTACAAAACAAAATAATTTTTGGTGAAATTAAAGTAGTTATTTTAAGAAAATAAAGTCATGGCACCAAATTCCATGAGTGAAGCTGGTACAAGCAGTGGGACTTGTAATACAGTCAAAACAAATAAAACTGAAACTGGTAAGGATAAAAAGTGAAATCAGCAGTGCGAGAAAAACCTAGAAAGGATATAACATTAAAGATGCACGCATCTACTCTCATTTGCTGTCCAAAAAGTCTAATTCATCGCAGAATTTTCCAGAAAAATATACAATTACTTTCAAGGACATTAAACATGAACAAATTGAAAGCAATCAGCATTAGTTTTCCATCAAAACTTGAATAAATAAAATAACTCCAAATAGACGAAAATAATTTCTTTCTCAGTTCCAATTTTCAATTAAATTTCTTTTTTCATGATTTCCATTTTCTTTACTTTCTAAAAAAAACTGCCACAAATTCACTGAAACTTCATAAATCATAAACTCTTCATGTCAATTTCCAAATTAATTTTTCTCTCATTATTAATTTCTCGACTTCCGATAGAGGAACTATGACATAACAATTGTACGTCAATCGCAACAAGCCTAATTTATTCCGCATCCTCTACATGTGGCTTTAATATTTGAGAATTTTATTTAGTTTTTGAATTGACACTTTACCATTCTGTATAATATATTTGACTATTTCTTCCTTATAGATACTAAAAAATATTCTTGCTAGTCGAATGAAATATTATGCATTCTTAACCAATTAGCTTTTTGAATTTATTATTACTCAATTAGGTTTACATTTCATATGATGTTTAACATTTAGCTAAGACAATCTTAAGAATTATTAAAGGAAGATAATGATTTTTTTTAACTTCCTTTGGACGTTATTTCAGAATATCTCATTAGTATTTACTCTAAAATGATTATCTTTTATGAGTTTTAAAGACAAAAAACGGTGCTGGATTTTTAAACATCACAAAAGTGTCAGTGAGCCATAAAACACACAATAAATGTTTGAGATAATTGCTAATTCAACTGTTCACACAAAGATAATTCTTTAATAGTAATTTAGAAATCCGTGTTCATGTTATAGCTAAGGAATTGCTAATGGTAACAAACCCTCATGAGATAAAAACTAATATACACTCAACATTGAATTGTGAATCATAATTTATAATCCAATAAACAAGGTAAAGTCTTTCTTATTAGACTTAATACTTAATTACAGCAGTTGCAATGCTTTCTTTATTTTTAAAGTTTTCCTTGAGCCAAAAAGGTTGAAATTTGACACAGATTTTAAAAGCTTTTAAAAAGTGGTCCTAAATTGCATGCCTTGTTCAATTATTAAAATAAATGGAGCTTAATGTTTTTAATTAGTCTGATGTGATGATGTGAGTTATCGAGGAATTCCAATCACATTTAATAAAGCTATTAAGAAATTAATGAGATAAAAACTTGCTCAATCATTGCTGACGTACGTTCTTAAGTCTAGAGTTTAAAAATCACCAAATATCCCCAAACTTCTAATTTCGGAAGCGTAGCATTTTTTTTGTGCTTTCGAATAATTTACTTAATTCGATGGGAAAAACCAAAGTACATTTTACAGACACATGGATATAAAATCTTTAAGACTAGTCAGCTTATTTTCTTGCAGAGAGATTACTTTTCAAAATTATTTAATATGGATGAAATGTGTAATAATTGCTCATATTAAATTAACACAGCATCATTTATGCATACAAAAATTTTTTCGGCAACCACTTTTATTTTCACGCATTGCAATAATTTTATTGTTATGCCTTAAACAGCTTTAATTAGCATATTAAAGTTTTTATGATAATGTCTTAACTCTTAATCATAAGAGAAATGGAGTGTTGTTAAGAATTCCTATTTCATGACACACATCTGCGGCTTGTAACCTCAGTTGGTTTTTAACTCTTATCATTTGACTAAGTGCAATGCAATCAAAGCTTTTCTCAAGTTCCGCGTTTGAGTATTCATATTTATTTACGAAACGGTAGACTGCTATGGCAGAACAGTAAATAACCCGCGAGTATTTAAGAAGAATATTATCCACTTATCATGAATGGATCTCCGTAAGCAATATCACGTTTTTGAAAATTTCATTAACAATCTTTCGAGAGTTTCATGATTAAACATTATTTTAATTAATATTTGCGATTTGTATTTTGTCCATTCCTTCAATTTACCAAAAAAAAAATGGATTTCATAACACAGCGAATCCATGTCTACCTATAGCTATGATATAATGACGAAATGTTGCATTCAATGAGTAAAGTACTCACTCTTTCGCTTATTTCCAATTCGGAGATTTGTCATGTGTGCTTAGTGCCGAAAATATAAAAAAGTTCAATCCACTACCATTACATCGCAACTAACATTAATGTGCGCATTTAAAATCTTTATTTTTTTTTGGTAACATTGAAATTTTTTTGGTAATTTTTGTTTTTTGTTTCGACATTACCTAAGATTTTATAACAATCTGCGTACATACTTTTGAGATTGTTTTTTATGTAAATCGAAATTAAAAAGTATCTTTCAATCAAAACAAGTGTCATAACGACCACCTGTCAAATATTACTTGCTGTTAAGTGTTTCATAATTCAGAAAGCTAGGACACTTTTATTAATTGCAATTGCAATAAGGTACCTGCTGCTAAAATAACTGTGTCGAAGCTATTAATATTATTGAACAATTCAATTAGATTCCATTATTAAGTCCTTGTTGCCGTCTCGTCATAAAGAAGAGAAAAATATTGCGAAACACATTTCACAGAAGGTCAAACACTCAATAATTGTTTGTGTGTTAAAGTGAAAATTAATTTATGATCTGATGTGACGATGGCGATGAAGATATCTAACTATAATGCAAAGCTCATCGTCCAAAATGCAAAGTGCAATAAATATACAAATAATAAAGTTTTATTGCAAAATGTTCGTAAATATTTATTTTGTTGTGATCAAAAGTTCAATTTTTTAGCATTTCTACGCACGTATATATCCTAAAGTGCAAGATCATTCACGTGTCTTACTCAACCAACACATGAAAAAAATTAAAAATGTAAATAGATTTTAAGTCATTATTCATGTGCTTTGTTCATTCACAGATGCCGTACCAAAATTAGGCGAAGGTGAAGTGGAATGGACGTGGACATGGAGGGACATAAAACCTTTGAATACAACCGTACTTATATATCTTCACATTGCTGGAATTCAAGCTTTTTTTAATATGCCACACTGTTGGCAAACGTACTTATTCCAATTTATAATTCTCCTTGGATCTGGCTTCGGCGTAAGTTTTTGTTGCTATTATGAAATTTCTTTTAAGCTTATTGTTGTAACTTTAAATGTAATGATCATCTTTACAAAATAATAATTTATAATAATATAGGTAACCGCTGGAAGTCATAGATATTTCACACATAAATCGTATAGAGCTAATTCAGCATTAAGATATTTCTTAATCTTCCTTCAAACTCTATCTGCACAAGAAGACATCATTAAATGGGTGCGAGACCACAGAGTCCATCATAAATTTACAGACACAAATGCAGATCCTCACAAGTAATTTCACCCTCTATTGAGTTTTCATGATCTAGCAATGCTAAAGGTTCTTTTTCAATTCTTTAGTTCTTCAAGAGGATTTTTCTTCTCGCACATGGGATGGTTGTTCATCAGAAAACATCCAGACGTAACAACATTTGGCAAAAAAGTTGACATGAGTGATTTGGAAAATGACAAGTTCTTGCTCTTCCACAAGAAGTAAGACTAGCTTTTTTCGCCTCAAAAAGGTTCATTGGAAATTAACAAATTTTTTATCTAATTTTAACAGAATTTACATGCCAGCATCATGGGTCGTTGCATTCATTGGGCCAATTTGTATCTGCTATTATGGTTGGGGTGAAGATTTCATGTGCGCATATTATTTGAATATGCTTCGTTACATTTTGGGCCTTCATGTAAATTGGAGCATTAACTCTTTCGCTCATATTGTTGGAAACCGTCCATACGACAAGTAAGTCTTTTCTCTTATGCAATATGCTTGACTATTTCTGACTCATCTTTAAATTATTATAGAAACAACTCATCAAGAGACAGCCCACTGTTCGGATTCCTTGCATTCGGTGAAGGTATGTTTTTGACTTGAAGAATGACTCACAATCACTTTATCACTTTAATTTAATTTTTTTTTTTTCACAGGATGGCATAACTTCCATCACGCTTTTCCATGGGATTATAAGGTAAAAAAATTGTCATTATTCAGTCGATAATTCCGAAAATTAATTAAAATATTATGCTTTACAGACTGGCGAAAGAGGAGATTACTTCACAAATTTTTCATGCATCTTCATTGACTTCTTCGCATGGCTAGGTAAATATTTTAATGAAATACAGAGAACAGCAGCAAATTATTGAATCATTCTTGTAATCTAGGTTGGGCAACTGATTTGAAAATTGTTCCTGATGCAGTCATTAAAGCTCGTGTGTTAAGAACTGGTGATGGATCACATCCTTACAGCATTGAAGCAAGAAAGAAGAATCCTAATTTCCAAGAAGAACTTAAGAATAATAATGAAGGCGAAAGAGACTTGGATCATTTCTGGGGATGGGGTGATGGTGATATGGCTAAAGAAGATTTAGCTGGAGTTGATATCAAGCATAAGCATTATGAATAAATTTAGTTCTATATTTTTGGTATGGGAGGAATTAAGTGTACATATGATTTTTAATATGATCTTTATAGTTTTATTTTCTTATTATAAAAACATTTTTTTTTATAAAACTTACAATGCATTTTTTAATATAATTTGATTAATTCATCGCTAACAGCACTAGGTGTTAAAATCCCCAAATCAGTAAAAATTAAAGTAATAAAAAGTGGAGGTGTATAGTCAACAAGAGGATGTGCATTTCTTGAGTTGCTTCCATCACTACTTTTCTGGATATAATTATAATTGTTCGGTAAATCTTTTTGATTCAATGGATATAGACGTGAAAATTTGAAACTTTCTGTCAGCACATAAAATGGTTTGCACATTTCCTTAGCACATAAAGCTGTTGTATACGTTCCGATTCGATTGATTATTCCTCCAGATTCCATTACTCCTTCTGCGCCTGTAAAGGTTTAAAAAAAGATTACCTAAGGCATTACATCATTTGGAAATACCCAATAAATGAACTTTGAACTAAAGAGACAAGCCAAGGCATGATGTGAAATGGGTAATAACATTTATGGACCTTGACAGACATTGTACTTGAAATAAAATCGTAAATAACTAGAAAAGTCTGTCAAGTGCATGTAAGAAACTTCAAGAAGAAACAACAACTTACCACAAAAGACAAAATCAATGCTCTCCATTATATAGCCAATAGAAGCATCGAGTATGAGAGTTGAATCTATATTGAGCGTTTTCAGATCTTCGACCATTTGAAAGCCTTCATTGTCAATAGAACTCATTGTGACATAGACATGAAAGTGTTTGTTCTGTGATGCTGCTAGCTTCAGTGCCTCATAAACGACCCTAGACTTGCCAATTGTAAGAATTCTACAGCCATCAGTTATGAAATCAACAGCATGTCTAGCAATTACATCTCGACTACATAATAGCTTTTTAAGGAATGTCTGACCTCTATTCGTCATTATCTTTTTAACTTCGTCCATCGTAAATCTATCAACTTTGGGAGATGAAATAGTCAGGATGAAGCACATAAATAGTTCACAGGAACTAGCAATTGATGTAATTGGTCTTCCACTCTTTTTTAAGACCCCAATTGCTGACTTGATTGTATTCACCAACTCCTGAATCGTGCAGACTAAAGTAAATAAATAATAGTACTATTAATTATGGGTAAACTTGATGACATTTCACTGGATCTTACAGTTTGACTTTTCCAAGACTAAAAGGAGTGTTTTAATTGCAGCAATTCCCTTAGATAAATCCTTGTCGTTATCAACAATATTTAAAAAGTACTTAATAATTGATTCATCATCCATTTTCACTTAATTTTATAAAATTTGAATGTTACTTTCTTATTTCATCAGTCAAAGTTCAAAAAAGTTCAAAAGGGACGTGAAATTATGCGAGAATCATTTCCGTGAGAAATTACAAATCGTTCTGTTCAATTCTCTTCTGATTTTACAGCTCACAAAAAATATAAAAGTTAATTATAATACAGGCATATTTAAAGGTGTAAACCAGGTAAATATCAAAGTTTATAACGAAAAAGTTTCGAAAAAACAAACTAGTCTGTGAAAATTTGGTTTAAATGTTATAAAAATTCAATTTCAAATCAATCGCCATTTCTTTTGAAAATCAAATACAGTCAAGTACGTACAGTGAAGACTAGCTGCACACACAATAAAAAAAGAGTTCACATACATTGAAGAAGATTTAACAATAATAATAATAAAGGAAAATATTTTCTCTATTTTTCCCATTTCCAGCTCTTCAAATCACGGAAATTGAGTGCAATATCAATATATATATATTATTTTAAATACCTAATCGTTTGGTGAGTAAGCATTTTCAATTATTATTTTACATCTTTCTATAATGTTTCCATCAATTTTATAAATTAATTAATCAAGTAGAGATTATTTGTAAAATACAGTGATTATCACAAAACTCATTGACTGCTGATAAAAAACCACAGAAATTCGATACTTGTACGTTTTATGCTCAAAAATGTTGATAACGTAAACACAAACGTCATATTTTATCAATAATAATAATAATAAACATCTTGGGGTTCTTTCTCATTTTTTTTTGTTCGAAAACTTGGCATTGGTAGATAAATAGATAGGCAGAAGTTATGTGTACCAATAATCATATGATTCATTCTGCCCAAAAAAATAAAAGATAGAGTATTTCATTGAGGCACTTGACTTTAAATTATTATTAAATGCAACGCCTTACGATTATCATGTGATCGTTTAATGATTTTATATTACTTATTTTTATCACTTAAATTTTCATTTTCGTATTCATTTAAAGAATGAATTCAGTTCAATACATTTGAATGCGAAGGAATATCATTAATGTTCTCGATTCGCGTACTTTATGAGTTCTCATTGACTGCTTTACATTAATTAGCATACAATTTGACGACGTATACTTAAAATATTCACTTTGTTCGATTATCTCAACAAAATAAATCTATCAAGGATTATAAATCCAGTTTTTCTGGCTACTTTTAGCATATATACAAAGTGAAAAGTTCCGTTAGAAAACATTCAAGGTGCCTCGAGAAACATAGTGAGTGTCCTTGGGTGAATGTAATGACCGAAATGCGCCTCTGGCAAAGTTGTACGCCTACAGTGACTTACATTTTTATATTCGTTACAATTCAATGCCCTCAAAAGTTTTTTTGTGTTTAAACAAAAGTATTCTACTTCCTCTAATTTTCCACACACACACACGAGTTTGTATAGGAAATTTTCGTCCGGAACAGACGTCTTTGATAAGGCACACTTTAAAGATATAGCCAAGGTCATTGGATTTTGAGAAAAGACAAAAAAATAATAATGAAAGAAGCGAAAATTGGCGGAAGTAAATTAAGCACGAAAAAAGAATCTTCGAAGATATAAAGTCGTATGAAAAGCAGATTTCATTGTCGTCTCTTTGTTGTATTCTCATTCTTTACATTTACTGAATAAATGAGTCAATGTAAATTTTTTATTGTTCAATTTTTCCTCCTTAATGCTGTAAACTAACGTTGTTGACTCGAAATGCTGAATGTTTTTTTACGTAAAGTATTGTATGGCGATAGCATTCAACATGCTACCCGTAGAAATGTATTAGTAGTAGGATGATGATTCGAAATATTTTTGTACAATTTTTCATACAAAGAGTCATTTTACTTTTGAAAGTCGTCTAGTAGAGTTCAAATCGAGCGAAAATATTTTTGATATAAAATAATTAAATAAATGGTAAAAAGTCACTAGAAATCGTTTTAAAATAGTCTTAAAAGTGTGATATTAAACGTGAGTGTATTTTTATCAAGACAAAAGGATTAATAAAGCATTTAATTTGAGCTCTAAAGTGGATTGAAAAAAAAGTAAAAAAATATGTGCTGCTTACATAAATGAAAGAAAAAAAAGATTCATACATTTTGTATAGAGGAAACAAAGAAATTAAAGTTTTGTGTACTAGCTGGCTGAATAAACAAAGACAAAAATAAAGTGCTAAAAAAGTCTACCTTCATCTTATCACCTGCCCCAAATTCTGGCATATTAAAATATTTATGAGGATTAACTTATTTTTTTACGTAAGTCATCATTTCTTCATAATTTCGTAATTGCGCTTTAAAACGAATTGCGAAGTTAACATAAAGTAAAGTTTTTTTTTTCTTTTTCATCATTATAATGAAAAAGTTCGACGCAATAAAGAAACACATGCACTAGTCTATTGTGGCACATGAATTAACGAAAAATAGTTAATAATCTTTAAAATAATCCAAAATAGCAAGGAAATGTTTTAAAAAATCAAAATATTTCGTCATTTTTTGCTTCAGCAAACAAAAGAATGTTAAAATTGAGATTTTTCTTTATAATTTTAGATGAAGTCTTTAATATCTATCTATCTACATGTTCAAAAAAATATAAAACCTAACACGTAGGAAAGAAGAGAAGAAAATGAACATTGGGTTGTTTTAGTTTCCTCAGTAGATAGATACACATGCACATATATATACGTGTATAAATTCACTACTTTACAGTTACTATTTCGAAAAATCAACCAATACAAGCTACCGCAGCAATAATATGATGAAGATATTCGAAAAAGAAATTAAAATGTATATAATTATGAAGGCAATGCTTTTTCCTCGTTCAATAATGCTTGCCAAAAAAAACTCTGTGCTATCAGAAAATTTCCCAAAAATAATACATTTTCACAATGATGACTAATGCTTTTATCACTCAAAGCTGCTCAAAACAAAAATATTTGGTTTTCGTCTTCACGTCATGTACGTAATCAATGACTTATTTGAAATTCTGAGAAATACGAATGAATTTCGTCACTTGTTTCAATGTGTTGAATTCAGCATTAAGCAAAACATTTGCAAGTGAAATTAGTTATCATAAATTTACTACTGTGATATTTTCAAATGCTTAATGGTGTGTTGTTTACGTCAGAAACAATCTCGCGATTAATTAAATACTTTAAATTGTTTTTCCTATAAACATCATTGTTTCCTGCATGCGTGCTTTAGGGTCAATTAATCAGGTTAATAAGAACTCAAGTAAATAGGACTTAGTGGAGCCTTAATTCAAATTTTCTGTGACTAATTAGTGAATTTTCTTCTTTAAAAAAATTCAAAACATTCATGAATTCGTAAACAAGCTCCCCAAATTCGTGTTGTTTGCGTTTGGCTCGTGTCTACACACAAAAAAATTGATGATCTTCTTATCCATTGTTTGTGATTTTGTAGATAAACTGTGAAAATAAAAATGCTGAAATGAAACGGATATATTTTGCATAAAAGTATTACGTCCATTAAATGCAAGTGAATTTGATGAAATAATTTTTGGAACTGGATATTTATTTCATATTTCTTACGTGACGTCTATACTTGAAATAAATTGAGGTTTAATACTTTTGACAACAATTCAGATTTTCTTAGAACTCGTCACTGCACGTCTCTAAATAAAAGTCAAATTTTTCTTAAATAATTTCGAATGACTTTGCTAAAACCTTGTGCAGAAAATATGCTTGAACGTTTATAGTCGAGATAATCTCCTTAAGACAGACTTCCACATTGACTATAATACAATTTATTTCGCAATATTGTTGAATTCTGAAAGCTTCTTAATGATGGCGTATTACTGGAGGAAATTCCTTGACCTATAAAACTGTATTGTTAAGCTTTGAAATCATTAAAATTTTTGTGTTGTTGTTAAAACTCAATTAGATGTGTTTTGTGAAATTATGAATTTATTTCCTTCGCTTTTAAAAATTTACTTAAACACCAAGTTGGATGATCAAGTGCTCGAAAAAAAATATAAACATAACATTTTCAGACTAGACACACATTAATTAAATTATTGACTCATCAGTGTCACAAAAGTTGATTCTTAAATGTTTTCTCAGTCGAACTTAGCAGGTTTTCACGAAACGATAACATTCCGTAGCACACAAGTTTAGTTGCACTACTTAAAAACGTGGACAAGAGCAATAATCCAAGCTGACATGAGTTTAAAAACTTTGCAGCGTGATCTTGAAGTAAAAATAATCACTATCCGTGCCAAATATGCGCCTTAATGACATGATTAATCTATTTACTTAGTTATTTTCATTACCACAGTATATACACATAGGTTTGATGATTATAGTAGAAAATAAAGTAAATTATATAAAATTGATGGTTGCGCACTTTCAGATACTATTTTCGTTATTTATTTATATAACTCTATTTTAATTCTTCTTTGTCTTATTTATTTACAGAAATCAAAATAGAGCATCAGTAACCAAAATAAACATAATAAAAATAAAGTTGGTGAAGAATGATGATGATATGAGAACAATAATAGTAAAAACTTGATAATATATATAAATATCATACATAAATAGAAGTGAAGAGGAAGAAGAAGTGTTATTTTGGACATAAATTTTGTGAAAACAAGGAACAAAAAGACATTAAAATTGTGTTGAGTGTTTATCAGAGATCATAATTCTCTTAAAAAGTATACATCAAGTATATTTAGAATAAAATTAAATTCCTTAAAACAAAAAATAAATAAATCAATATGGAACGCGAATCAAATATGCAAACTATGTGCAGATCTGGATGCGGATTTTATGGCAATCCAGCTCAAGATGGATTATGTTCAGTATGCTTTAAAGTGAGTTGATTTAATTATTGTTTTAATTGTTGGACTTAAAGTCCCCGAGAGAGAGACAAAAAGTTTGAATTGCGTCCGAATATTCAGGATACGCCCCTGGCAGAGATGAATGTGACAAAAAGATGTCACAGCTACCAATGACCCTTAATTATAAAGAATTTTTCATTCGCTCGATTTCAGGATGCACTAAAAAAGAAACAACAACCTCCAGTTAGTAGTACATGCACGCCAAGTCAAGGTACTGCAAATAATTCAACACAACAACAAAATAGTAATCAAAGCACTGCCGCATCATCACAATCGACAACACCAAAACATGTCGTCGTTGAACATAACACAGCACAACCAACAGTTTTAATTCATAATCAGTCTGCAGATGTAAGTTTTATTTTTTGGAATATGAAATTGTCATAATCATGTTATGAATGCTATAATTTGCAATTACACAGAAATCAATCCCAGAAGAATGTGCAGGAACAAGTAATCAAGACGACGACGATGGAGATAAGGATGCCAAAAAGAAAAAGAATAGATGTTTTACATGTCGTAAGAAGGTTGGCTTGACAGGTGAGTCCAAAAAAAGACAATTTTTTGACGCTGAATATTGGAACTAATGATAACATTGTTGTTTTTATTTTTTTCTTTTAGGATTTGAATGTAGATGCGGTGGCTTATATTGTGCAATCCATCGATATAGTGACAAACATGAGTGCAGTTTTGATTATCGAGAACATGGTGCAGCTGAAATTCGACGAAATAATCCGGTCGTTATTGGCGAAAAGATTCAAAAGATTTGAACGTTCTTTCAATTACATTGAATAGTTTTTCAGCAGTAACTCCAAATAGAAAATAATAACAGACGATAGTTCTTTTTTCCTCTCCTATTTTGTCTCTTATGTTTTGCGCTATCGTTGTGCCATGTTTATATTTTGCAACATACAAAATTTATAATTTTCCTTTCCTTCTAAATTTTTGCTAGAAAAGAGAGAACGATATGAGAAAAAAAAGTATATTGAGATGCACACCTATTATTTTATTTCGTGAAGTGAATTATTTTTTAGGAAAACCGATATTCATACCATAGCCAATGTGTCTGATTCTTTAACTTCATATAGTTTCATCGTAGTCTTATTTGTTTGATCTTTTTTTTTTTAAAAAATGGAAATTATGCAATTTATTGGGGTACATTATTATTATCATTACTATAATTATTAATTTACAACATTATTTTACTATTATTTGAACACTTTTTTTTTTTTGTTAAGGATGAAGTTTAGAGATAATTTTGAATTTGATCAAGTGTTATGTATTAAAAAAAGATGAGAAGAAACGAATCGCGTATAAATGAAGAGAGAAGATACTGTAAGTAAATAATATTAACAACTTATGAAATTAGCGAAACAGTTTCAATTTCTATTTATATGAAAAAAAAATCATAAACATAATTTGATATTTGGTTACCCTAGCAGGCAATTAGTGTTTCTCAGATAATGATAAAATTGTGAGTGGATGTACTCAGTGCGATTGCTGTCTCACTAGCAAAGCGGGCTCGTGGAGAGCAGAGAAAATCATTGAACAACGTTATACAGTGCACAGGAGCACGTACGTCAGAACTCTTACGTATTACTACATAACGAAGCAACACGTACGTAAAATTTCCGTATGTAATTAAGATTTACGTATATGTCGATGATTTCTTTTGCTCTTTCGAATCGTCCTTAAAAAAAGCTACTCCGAGTGAGGATAATGATTGCCTGCTAGAGTTGATGAATGAAAAACATGAGTTAGATAAATATATAATAATGTAAATGAAAAAAATACATAGATTTCTTGTGTCAAGTACATTTATAGTTTGTAATTTTCTTTAAAAAAATTTTTTGAACATTAGAAAATTTTAGAGGTATTTTGCTTGGCACCGTAATTGTGACCATTTTACAGTCACAATATTGAGTGTTCATCCAGAACACTTTTCCTTCTATAAACTAATGAAATAGTTCTAGTTGAGTTTAGCTAAAGCAGAAAAGATCGACTACATTTCAAAATTTCCGAAGCAAAAGAAAAAGTATTTGTAAAAGCTTTATAAACAGACAGATAGACACAACATAATTTTTTAAAAGACTGTCTACGGTCATCAGTAGCAATTCTTAAGACTTGCAGCATCAACAAATCGTCAATTCAAAAATACAGCTAAAAATCATCCAATTCCCGTCCTTAATATTTGCAAAAAGAAAACTACAAACGAGATAATAAGGATGATTGTGATTATAAGTGTATCATATTTTGCTAACCAAATGCCCCTAAAATTTTCTATCGTTCAAATTCTACACAATAAGAGTTGCTGGATCGTTGAGAAGCTGACTGGCTAGTACTAATTAGAACAACCTGAGTTGTACAATAAAATGGGGTTTTAGAATGACAAATCTACAATGACATGACTGCTGCAAAAAACGTGATGGTGCTGTAGAATTGTCATTAAGATCGATATTATTGGTGCCGCTCAGGTAACTTACACAGAAAGAGTCAAGTCAGCCTCGCAACGATTCAGATGAGAAACTTTTTGAGCGAAACGTATCCAGCAAAAGAAGAAACAGTTTAAAGAGAATATGGCTTAATCGATTGGTTTTTAATGTTTGTAAAAGATATTCGTTTTATATTCCATACTCTTTATGTCCCATAACTTTGTTTGTTTTTTTCGTTCAATAATTGAAGATGAAAGCAAAAGCAAAAGGTATAGAATTTGAAATTTTGTAAAAATAAAAAGAAGGATTGATGCATATAGAGAATGAGAGTTTTTAAGCATAATGAGCAATCAATCTATCAGAAAATATCTATAAGCTAGCTACTTCATGAAATGAAATCAGCAATTAGTGAGGAGTAGTAAGCCTGCCACTAAGCTCTGGCAAGTTAAGATATCATTGCTCTAATTACTATATACATAAAAACACACGTCACTAAAAAGAATATGTATACACTTATATTTTTTTTGCTTTTACAAAAACTTTTAATATATTATGAAAAAAAAAGTAATTAAACCTCCTTCAGATTTGTGTCTTTTTTTGCTATTGTACATAGAATGAAAGAAAACTGACTAAAAATTAAAATTAATTTTAATGTAGAATATTGAATAAAAAAAAGAAGAAATATTACTTATTATTGAAGAAAAAAAAAATGAATAATCAATAATATCTGATGAAAAATAATTTGCTTTTGATTATTTACTCCTTATTATGTGAAAAGTATAAAGAAAAATTGAAAAAAAAAATATATTTGAGCTAAGATGAATAATAAAAAAAAATATTAAAATAAAAATAAAAAAGCTGCAGTAAATTACATTTTTGAACAGACATGAAAATAATCAATGTGTAAATTTAAAGAATTTTAGAGGATGTCTTTTTTTGGTGTGAAGTAATTCTTAATTCTTTTTCCACATAATTTTTGTTTTTTTCTTTCAAATCTGCTAGAATATTTGAATTTTGAATTGAACCACATTCTTGAACGGTGAATAAAAAAAAAAATCCAACAATAGTAACTAGAAATTATAAAAGTGATACAGAAAAATTTATATTAAAAATGGATAATATAATAAAAAAAATAATATTTACAAAAATACATCCAACGGACTTTCAACATCCGCTCCTCGTCATCAGTTCCACATTGTGTGCTTTCGATAGATTTGGCATTTTAATAAATCTGTGTGAACCGTTTCCTAAAACGTGAAAATCTAGAATTGCGGACAGTTCACGTGCCAGTAGAATTTTGTGTGTACACTCATAGAAAAAAAGTAACCATAATATTTGTTATATGTTTGTTAAACTAGTTTAACAAATTATTGGTTAAGTTTACATGGGTAAAAAAAATTTCAACCAAACTATTTGTTAAAAATTTTACAATTGAGTTTGTTAAATCAACAAATTTATTTGTTAATAATTGATTTAATTAAATTTTAATTTTTGTATTCAAAACTCTTGTTTGATTAATTTCAAACGATTCCCATTAATTTATTGCGTTATTTTTAATGAGAAAACTGCTTTAAATTGAATTTTGTTGATTTTGTTTAACAAATTAATTTGTTAATTTTAACAAAACATTTGTTACAATGTTTTTATTTGTAATTTGTTTTGGAAAATAATGATTTACAAACCAAATCGTAATTTAAAAATTAAATTTGTTCATTTTTTTAAGTCCTACATTTCTATTTTATTATTCATAAATTAATTTTAAAATTTGGATATATTTTTTAAAGAATTATTTATATTGGTTCTGAATCAAATTTTATAAGTAAAAGTTTACAAGCAGCGGACTAGCGGATCATCAACAGGAATTCAGAAGTTAAGCAACCACGGAAACATTTTAAAATAAGATGGGTGACCAAATTAACAATTTTCTGGTTAATATTAACCGAAAATTTGTTATTTTTTTCTGTAAAAAAAAATTTTAACAAAAAGTTTGTTAAATTAACAATTTTTATAGTTAACAATTCAACCTTACAAATAATTTGGTTAAATTTAACAAATAAGTTCGTAAACACTATTTTAACGAATTGTTTGTTAACATTTTCCATACAAGTTACAAACATTTTGTTACTTTTTTTCTATGAGTGTAGGAGTCCTCGATATCTATTGAATCATAGCAATAACAATTGACGAAATTAGAGTACGGTTATAAATAACAGAATTTGCTTTTCAGCATACAGTTTTTAATGCTCAACAAAAAAAAGTAATCATTAATCCTTGAGCACTAGAAAAATTATTTCATTTCAAGCAGCTAGGTATCAAAACAGTCAGTTACGTAACGATTGAAAAATATTCAAACATCTTTTGAGGGTACGAAAATAAGCAGTGAAGGGGGAATTAAAGGGTGAGAAAGTTTGACAGTTTTAGAGCATCATCAACACAAACAATTTGTAGTAATTTACTTTAATTTGAAGCATAATTAAGTTATATTCTGCATCAGAAGAGTGAGCTTAACAATTATTGATTAAAGATTAACTCAAGTGACAAGATTAAACACCATTTTGGACGAGCTATTGGTGCCCTGAAGTTTTAAATAATCAAATCATAAAAAAATCTAATTTTCAAGTTTTTAAGTTAACTGATTAATATTAAGTTAAAACCTTATGAGAATTATAGAAATAAGGAAGCGCCAATAATGGGAAGTTATTTAGATAAACCGGAAACGACCAAAAAGTCAGCATTTGATCAAAATGATTATTTAGAAATTGGCTCTTCATCAATGCAGGTAATTTCTACAATTTATTGTATTTATAGACATAATTATAATTTTTGTTCTTCTATCTAGGGATGGCGTATAAATCAAGAGGTAAGTTAATGTATTATAAAATCCGCTTGGCATAATAAATTAACCGCATATATTGAGGTTATGATTAGCAAGCTATAAAACTTTTTGCTAACACATATATTGCTAATTTGCAGGACGCTCATAATGCTATTCCACAATTGGCTGATAATGCATCATTTTTTGCTGTCTATGATGGTCACGGTGGATCGGAAGTGGCTGAATATTGTTCAATGAAATTACCAGACTTTTTAAAGCAATTGGAATCATTTAAAAATGGAAATTATGAAGAAGCTTTAAAGGAGGCATTTATGGGCTTTGATCATACATTATTAGGTGATTCAGTCGTTGAGGAATTGAGACAATTGGCTAAAAAGAATCCAGATTATGAGGATTCTGATATGGATGATATGGAGGATGAAGAAACAGCAGAAGAAATTATTAATTTACATCAAGAAGCATCGATGCCGCTCAACGAAGTACTTGAAAAATATAAGGGAAATACAGAAAAAATCTCACGAATTCAGAGTGTACAACAAATTATAAGTTTTCAAAGCAAATCATCATCCCATAATAAGAATGATTCTGAAGCTGGACCTTCTGCAAGCGGCAGTTGCTCACATTCATCAAAAAAAGTTGAAAGTAGCAGCTCAGTACAACAAGCGGCATCGGATAATGAAGTGAGCAGTTCAAGCGGAAAGACAACAAACTCAGATGAGAGTGAAAAGAACGAACCAAGTTCCTCAAATTCTCAGCCTAGCAATCAAACGCCAGATAGCACACTTGTTATCATTCCATCGTCATCGAAAAATGATGAAAGTAGTAGCAGCAATGAGCCAAAAAGTATGAAACCTGAACAAAGTTCCAAAAAAGATTCAATTAATCAAGAGAGTGAATGCTCTTCAAACGGAACTGTTTCAGAAAGCAAAAAGGAAGAGGATGCAATCACTTCGACAAAGGAAAATGGAGAAATTGGAAGCTGTTCGTCCTCAACGTCTGTAAATGTCAGTTCAAATTCACCAAAAAAGAGCACTGAAAAAACAGTTACAAAATCCAGCGAAATTAAACAAAATATCGACGATGATGAAAGTGAAAGTAGCGATGATGAACACGACGAAACATATAAAGAATCTCCAAAAAATAAAATCCAACAAGATGATTCAGACGAAGAAGACGAGGACGATGAGGATGTATATGATGAAGACGATGACGAGGAACTGTCTAATGAAGGTAATTATTGTCATAAAAGAACCTTTAAAACCCGTTAAATCAATTATTGAAGAAATTTTGAACTTTTAAAAACCGTTTAATCAATTTTTTGAAATAATTTTGAACCTTTAAAAGCGCGTATTCATTTTTTCGAATTATTTTGAACTTTAAAGACCGTCAAATCAATTTTGAAGAAATTTTGAACTTTTAAAAACCGTTTAATCAATTTTTTGAAACAATTTTGAAACTTTAAAAGCGTTTAATCATTTTTTCGAATTATTTTGAGCTTTAAAGACCGTTAAATCAATTTTTGAAATAATTTTGATTTTTAAAGACCAATAAATCAATTTTTGAAGAAATTTTGAACATTTAAAAATCGTTTAATCAATTTTTTGAAATAATTTTGAACCTTTAAAAGCGTTTAATCATTTTTTCGAATTATTTTGAACTTTAAAGACCGTCAAATCAATTTTGAAGAAATTTTGAACTTTTAAAAACCGTTTAATCAATTTTTTGAAACAATTTTGAAACTTTAAAAGCGTTTAATCATTTTTTCGAATTATTTTGAGCTTTAAAGACCGTTAAATCAATTTTTGAAATAATTTTGATTTTTAAAGGCCAATAAATCAATTTTTGAAGAAATTTTGAACATTTAAAAATCGTTTAATCAATTTTTGAAATAATTTTGAACCTTTAAAAGCGTTTAATCATTTTTTCGAATTATTTTGAACTTTAAAGACCGTCAAATCAATTTTGAAGAAATTTTGAACATTTAAAAACCGTTTAATCAATTTTTTGAAACAATTTTGAAACTTTAAAAGCGTTTAATAATTTTTTCGAATTATTTTAAACTTTTAAGACCGTTAAATCAATTTTTGAAATAATTTTGAACTTTAAAGACCGTTAAATCAATTTTTAAAGGAATTTTGAACATTTAAAAACCGTTTAATTAATTTTTTGAAATAATTTTGAACTTTTAAGACCGCTAAATCAATTTTTGAAATAATTTTGAACTTTAAAAGCCGTTAAATCATTTTTTGAAATAATTTTGAACTTTAAAGACCGTTAAATCATTTTTTCGACTTATTTTGAACTTTAAAGACCGTTAAATCAATTTTTGAAGCAATTTTGAACATTTAAAAACCGCTTAATTAATTTTTTGAAATAATTTTGAACCTTTAAAAGCGTTTAATGATTTTTTCGAATTATTTTGAACTTTAAAGACCGTTAAATCAATTTTTGAAATAACTGCGAAATTCAAAAATAAATAAACCGTTGAAATTTGAATATTAAAATATCGTTGAAAATTACAGAAATCTCTGGCGAAGAAGATGATGACGAGGACGGATTGGATGATGCGTTTATGAGTAGCATGGAAACTGGTCCTGCAAAAGCTTCAGGTTGTACAGCTGTTGTTGCTTTATTAATTGGGCGCGATCTGTACGTAGCAAATGCTGGTGACTCGAGATGTATAGTAAGTCGAGCAGGAAAAGTAGTTGAAATGTCATTTGATCACAAACCTGAAGATCAAATTGAATTCCAAAGAATTCGTAAAGCTGGTGGTCGCGTTACAATGGATGGACGAGTGAATGGTGGGTTGAATTTGTCACGAGCCATTGGTGATCATGGATATAAAATGAATAAGGAATTGCCAGCTGAAGATCAAATGATTACAGCAATGCCTGATCTCAAAAAAGTTACATTAACAGAAGAAGATGAATTTATGGTATTGGCTTGTGACGGAATCTGGAATTATATGTCAAACGAGGAAGTTGTTGGTTTCGTTAAGCACAGAATTGATGCAGGAAAATTATCTCTCACACAAATATGCGAAGAAGTAAGTTCTATAAGTCTCAATTATTGTTTGGGAAACTAAATATCCATAAATTTTATATTTGCAGCTTTTCCACAATTGTTTGGCGCCAAATACATTGGGAGATGGAACTGGATGTGACAACATGACAGCTATAATAGTCAAATTTAAACCAACGTTATTTAAATTACCAACCGCTCAGAAAGATGTCAGCAATTCCGAAGCTGAATGTATTGCACATAAACGAGCGCATGAAGAAGATGGAGTTGCTGACAAGGAGCACACTGATAAGAAACAAAAACTCGACGATGATTTAACTCCATCAACAGTTGATACTTCATCTTAAATAAGTTTTCATCTACTTAGACTTTAATGATAATTTACTAAATTATATTGAATTAATTTTAATTTCTTTTGATCTATAAAAAGGTCACATTTCCTCTTCTCATTCGATTTCATTTTTTCCTCCAATTTTTATATTTTAAACACAAAAATTGAATTAAAACGAAATCAATAAATTTTGTCATTTAAAGATGATTTTATTGCGGTAGACTCATTTTGAAGTCTTGTGTCAGAGATTGTAAATGAATTTTGTTATTTTTTTCCTGCTGTTCCAAATAATGTCATTTTGAGAAACTTTTCTTCAAGCGTGTTCAAATTATTCCAAGAAAAGAAAATTCAAGGAGTATTGCTCCTTAAAGACGGCGATTCCGGTGAAAATATGAGATGCTTGATTCAAAATTACGTACGTATTTGGCATCGTAGAAACACGTACATATTAAATAATGTAACAATTACGTACGTAATTGTTGACTTTCATTACGTACGTTATTTGCTACGTTTAATCCAATTCTTTTTAGTTCTCAAGAATTCTAAAGTATATTAATCGCTTTTTTGCAAACAAAAACCTTAATTCTTCTGACAAAAGAAAATTGTAAAACTCTTAAGTTGAAATTTATGAAATCCCACATACAACTATAGCGTAATAATAAAAATCTTAATTAATAAGTGTAAATTCATCATTGATTTTGTCGAAAATTATCAAAAATCTCTTGCAGCTCAGATTCACATTTCTGCAAATATTTGAGTTCAATCTTTAATCGATCCAGTTCCAATGACATCTCAACGATTTTCGTTTGTATTTGTTGCTGTTCAATCTCCTTCTGCTTAGCCGATGAATTAGCCAAGTTTTGAGTATTTATAGCCAGCAATTTTTGTCTCTCAACAACTTCGCCAAGAAGAATCAAGTTTTTTGCTATAGAGCTGCCTGCACTCCGAAATACTTGAAGCTCTAATCATGTTAAGGACAAAAGACAAAAATTTCGTAAATTTCATTTTATTTTAAATTGATTATTTCACACATACTCTCTTGGAAAATCTCATTTTCTTCCTTCAAGTCTTGCGTCTCCTTGATGATAGCTGGTTCTAGTACCTAAATAAATTACATTTTACAATATGAAACACATAAAATCCAAATGAAATATATACACTGACCCTTAAAATGTGATTCTCATCGACATACAGTCCATTTTTCTTCAATTCTTCTGCCATTTCTTTACCTTTACAAAAGATTTTGTATAAAAAAAAAAAACCTTTTTTATAACAAAGTAATAAAATTTTTGAAAAGTTTGTGTAGTCATGGAAACATAATTTTCATATAGAATAAATTTCTGAATTTTTCTTTTTTCGTGACATTCATTGAACATAAACAATTTATCATTTCAAATTTTTCTTTCCATTTCTATTTATCTACGGGAATTTGTCATATTTTCCCCCCAAACAGAAGGAAATTTTTTTTTTCTCTCTTCTCTCGTGTATGATTCAGATGGAAAATGTAAAAGCAAAGTTTGAAATTTGATTATGTTGTTGTCCTTGTTAAGCGCATTAATTTTGAATTGAGCAGTTGGATATTGAAGTGTTTTAACTAGTTTTTAAAAGATTTTAATTTTTCAAACGTATTTCTTGAATTTGAATTCTATGCTTTCATTTTTGAACTTTATCGAGATTTGAACTTTAACGGTTTTTTAAAACGAATGATTTAAATTTGAACTTTATACTACAGAAATTTGAGTTTCAAATTTCACATTTTTGATATTCACTTAATTTGTGACAAAAGGGGCCGTTCACTTATTACGTTCGCATTTTAGGGGGGAGGAAGGGTTTGAAAAATTGTAACAAAATGTAACATAGGGGAGGGAGGGGGGGGGGGGGGGTGTCAATGAAACGTTCAAACTGTCGTCTGCTTAAAAAATTTGAATTATGAACGTTCAAGGGGAGGGGGGGGGGGGGGGTTGTGAGTTGTAACATGTTGTAACAAGGGGGGAGTCGGTTTTTGCGTAACGTAATAAGTGAACTGCCCCATAGGGGTTGTTAAAATGTTTAAAGCGAGCTTTCCCTTTAAATTAAAGATTTTCCCAGCCATGTGATGAAGATTGACATAAAAAACGAGATAAGAGTTGATCGACTTCACCAAAAAGCTATAGTAATTCTAAAAAAGCTCACCACTGTTTTCACAAAAATATGTAGACAGCACAACATAGTGAATGAATAAAAATATGCTGGGATTGTTTCATTACTCACTCATAAAACATAGTGGATTCGAAATGCGCAAAAGCGCGTAATTTTTCAGTTTGAAATACATGAAATTTTTAGATATTATAGTATTTTTTTGTTATTTTATTGTATAGTATTAAAATTAAGTGAAAAATAATATTATTAAAAATATTTGTATGTTGTTAAGAAGAGAATATTAAAGGAAAATCATTTCCTGGCGAGTATAATCAAGAAAATCGCAAAGTCCAAATAGCAAGCAAAAAAAAAAAAAAAATTCTCTTTCCTTAATACAAATACATGTGAAGTTTTTTCGCTTTAATTCCTTTAACCATAAAGTATTTTCATATTTATGAAGTGAAGCCTTAGTACACAGTTAATTATTTTCCAAGCTCTACCAAAGTTTATTTAAGAGAAATAGCCCAAAAAAACAAGATAAAAAAATTAGCTCTTCTGTTGAAATAATTAATGAGATTCATATCATATCCTTCGAAAGTAGATAATTTCATTATTCATACCATTAATCTTTTATGGTATATCTAAAGATATAAAGAAGTATTCTGTTAATTGAGCTTTAAAAAAAACTTCCAAGCACACAAGGTTGGATGTGAAAAATTTACAAATACATATCAGTAATTTTAAGGACTATCAAGTTACAAATATAAGCTATACACACATATGGATGTAGCAATACTACGGAAATATTTCATTCTCTACACACGATGATTAATTAAATGAGTTTAAACCTCAAAATTAAAGTTATGTAAAGAATGTCCTTCTAAAGAAATTAAAAATAAAAAAGGAAGCAAATAGAGCAAATCAAGAATATTACTTTTGAAATGTATGTGTGGTGTTCTTAAGCTGTTGAGTGTGCATTATGCATACAGGTGAATTTATTGAATTTTCTCTTACTACGAATTTTAGAGGTTCCAATAAACATTATTATTTTTCATTCCACCCATTCAGTCGCTCATGTTCTGTGGTGATGATAAAGTGCTTAAGTGGGAGGTGCTGTGTCTTATTTTTTGACATTTAAGGAGCATATTTATAGGATATGCGATTAAAAATAATTTGTAATTGAACCTTACTATTGTTATAAAAATTCATATACGAGAAAGTCGTGCAAGGCAATTAAATTCTTAATCTATACTGTCTATTTTTTTAATCCTTGAACTGAAAATTATTGTTCATTAAGCATCAGTCATAGCGTGAGAGTACAAACGAGAAAAGTTTATTCTCAAGCTTAACTCATGAAATTTTTACAACGTAAAATAAGTTTAATACATAATCTGTGAATGTAGTTAATCTCAATCCAGTGACATTAAGTGATATGAAGTCATCGGTTATCGTCTTTTTATAAATCGAGTAGAAATGTTTCGCAGTTTTTGAATTCGTTGAAAAAGTGAATAGAAAACTAAAATCAATCAAAGTTTAAACTATAAAAATGGAATTTTACTTCAGATTGCAAGAACCTTTAAACTTTATTTGAAAATAAATAAGTAGTTGTATATTATTAATGACTTTAATTCAGTGTGATGATGTAAACAGGAAAACATTGAATTCATCCAATTAAAATACTTTTTTTGTAAAAGAGAAGATTGCTGATTTTCAGTCGTAAATACCTTCCGTACGCCTCAAATTAGTGGATTCTAGAAATATTTATTCCATTTATGAAAGAACTGCATTTTCGAATGTTGTGAAATTCATGACCAAATGCAAGATTTAAAATTCTCACTTGAAGATTTTAATGTTAGAGTTAAGCTCAATAAGCTATCATTTTCTTCTTTTAAAGATTGCAAAGTATATAAAAAGTGTGAGCAAAACTAACAAGATGTTATTCTTTTCATGAATTGGACATAATTTTTCGAAAATTGTTGATTAATAATTTTCAAGATCTTTAAATTTTAAAAAAATAAGCCTGAAAAAATGCGAACTTTTATGTTCTACAAAGTAACTGAGTCATGTTTCCATTGAATAAATCTCAACTTCCCATCTTCTAATTCTATTTCGACTCTGTCAATCGACAATTCATTCATATGTCAATAGACAATTTCCCATAAGTACCACCAAGTGCGTTAAAGTGTTTTAAAAATAGCACTAATCTGCCAACTACGCAAGTATTAAGCATGAGAGATGTGGGAAAATTGGAACCGCTAATTTCCGTCTGCTACACATATGTCGTTGACTTTTCATGCTAATGAGTGTTCCTCTTCTTTTTCTTCTTCTTGTTATTTTGTACATTCAGATGATTCACAAAAGTTATTGCGGTAATGCCATCGACGGGACCAGACACGGATTTTATAATTTTCGTTGGCATTTCAAAGCCAAAATTTGCTGCACTTTTTCTGTTTGTTATGTTGATATCATTATTCCTGACATTCCACATACTTTTGTATGATTCTGCAGTTTATTCTATTCAGGTAAGTAAGATTTATTAGCAGAGCATTAAACTAATTATTAACGCTTTAACGTTGTATAGGCTGTATCTGTAATTTCTGCTAATAAAGCATTACCATCGGAAGTTCCAAGATTAAAACATCAAGGAAAGGATTTTCCATACCATTTTCATTTTCCAAAAACTAGTCGGAAATTACCACAAGTAAATAGCACCAAAAAATTTTTTGTGTGTTGAAAGCGGAAAGAATTTTATTTAATTTTCCTCTTTTTTTTCACCCTCTCGTTCCACCTTCTTCCATTTCCGTCTTCGTCACATTTATATTTAGTGTCTAATCATCGGCGTACGAAAGTGTGGTACACGAGCTCTTTTGGAAATGCTTAATCTCCACCCGCACATTCAGAAAGCAGCAGGGGAGGTACATTTCTTCGATCGAGACGAGAATTATTTGAAGGGATTAGAATGGTATAGGCGGAAAATGCCGCACAGTTTTCGTGGACAGATAACAATTGAGAAGAGCCCAAGCTATTTTGTGACGCCAGAGGTAATTTCTATTTACGAAACAAATTAATCTCTCCATGTCTCTTAATGCTGAAAGAGAGTTATAACATTATTATATTTTTTTTTTCTATTTCCATAAAGGTTGCAGAGCGTGTTCGAGCCATGAATTCATCTATCAAATTGCTATTAATCGTCCGAGAGCCTGTTACACGTGCAATATCAGATTATACACAATTACGTAGTCATGCGGCTACGGCGATTCTTCCATCAAATTCAAATTCTGCTACTCAAGCGTCACCCGCAACTACAAAGTAAATGCTATTATATTTACTCTTTTCTTATTGTTCCTTTCTCTCTTTTGTTGTTTTTGTTCCTTTTATTATATTTTGTGTTCTGTTGTTTCTTGTTTCTAATGCCATTCATATTTTTTTTCCTTTCTTTATTCATTTGAAGGACTTTTGAGGAACTTTCGATTCTTGCTAATGGAACTGTCAATACTTCTTATCGTCCACTTGCATTGTCTATATATCACCAATATACATGTATGTAATTTTTTCCGATAATTTTGTTGTCTTCTCGTGTTTGCTTGTCTTCTTCTTCTTCTTCCTCAGAAGCTTAAATTAACTAAATTTAAGTAATCATTAAGGATCTAATAACATGACATGACATGACAAGAATCACGCAGTTTACTAATAATTTTTTTAACTTATGTCTACTTACAGTACGATGGTTAGAGATATTTAAAAGAGAGCAATTGTTAATAGTAAATGGTGATCAATTAATTGAGGATCCATTGACACAAATTAGACGTATCGAAGACTTTTTGGGTGAGTATGATGAACTGCAAGTCATCTGAATTTTTAAGAGACTAAAGAGATTTTAAGGCGTTACTAGTTTTAAGTGCCAAGCACAAATTGATGGAATATTGGAATATCCTTGTCATATTAGACATTCCTTGACATTTTAATGAAATAGTTGAAAACACTGCTTCTGATAGGAAGCAAACCCATGTCCCCACAAAAGAGAATATTTCATACTCCCGGCCTGTTGCTCAATCATTAGAATATTAATAGCTCAAGGATCCACTTTGTAATTGGGCCTCGTCACAAAAAAATTGTACGTGAGTGACGCTTTTTTATTCTTGATTATCTCCTTATCCTTAAAAGTGACAAATTCAAGAGTTACTTTTTTGAAAAGGGAATTAAAATTCCCATCTATTGTTGTACAATTCACTTCATGAAAGTTTACTGTTACTCGAAAAAATCACTTTAACTGAGCGTCACTCACGTACAATTTTTGGGAATTTTGCTATATCTTCATTACTGTTTGTTGATATATCTCCAAATGTATTTTTTAAGGTCCGAAATTCAATTGAGTTTATAAAAAATTTAAAATTGATGCATTAACATACCCAAATGGACAAAATTAAGTTAAATTTTTTTTAACGGTTTTGACTTTTTTGAATTTTCGGTTGTAATTTGTTTGTTTACAAACAAAATCGAAATGAAATTTGAAAAGTCACGAAAATATCACTCAATAATGATGTAAAAGCTCTTAAAATAGTCGAAACAGCTAATGCATAATTTACTTTTCCTATTCAAATCATAATATTTTGGATTAACGATTGAATAATTAAGAATTTTGAGAATTTAATTTTTGATGTTTTGTATGATAGTGGTAGTGAAAAATTCAAATTATTTTTTTCCGTTAAGCAAAAATCCTTAAAAAAACGTCGAGGCTCAATTACCATGTTTTTTCGTTATAAGCTACTACTCGTTATTAAGCTACTAGTGAGCCAAAAAAATCACTTTTTTATTCTTCTAAGCTACTAGCTTATAACGAAAAAACAGGGTACTTTTTTTATACCCGAGATGCACATGATTAATTTTTATCGAAGAGCCGGATTTCTTCATATAAGCTCTGCGTTAGCTTCATATTCACCAGGTGCCTTTATTTAGTGACTATTCATCGTTGTGTGCTATTCAAAATAGTTTAAAGACACAGTTGTTCTGTGCTTTAATGCTTGAACAAACTCCTAGCAAATATCCATATCATTTGGCGCCAAACAAATTCTCTTTAGTCCTTAAAAATAAAATCAATTTAGAAACGTTGAGCACGGATATAATGTGGGGGTGTAAAATGAAGGATTTACATGCTAAGGGATGCTTGAGAATTCCGTGACACATTTTATTTTTTGGGAATATAAAACTATTCTCAATTATACCCAAAGTTTCCAAGGCTTACAAAAGCCCATAAAATCTAGTCAGTAGAAAAGTTATTTCGTGTTGACAAGCCATTAATCTACAACCATTCAATTCAGGTATTGAGAGAAGAATAAGCCAACACAACTTTTACTTCAATAAGACGAAAGGATTTTATTGTTTAAGAACGGATATGGGCGATAATAAATGCTTGAGAGAAACAAAAGGAAGAAGACATCCAACTGTCGATCCGAAAGTAATTTCTAAATTAAGGAAATTTTTTGTAGAGCACAATCAGCGATTCTATGAATTGATTGGTGAAGATTTAGGTGAGTTGATGCTTGATGAAATGTTTTTGACAGATTTGTTACTTATTATCATGCAGTGTTGTTAACTTTATGATCGGAAAAGGCTAGATTAGTGGAGCTCAAACTATACTACACAAGACAAGATAAACTTGGATGTCTCGATATCAAGAATCTTTCGACATTGATGATCTTTAATCTAGTTCTTGTAATTTGGGGATTTTGGAACTTTTATCTATGCCACAGCCCAATCTAACCTCACAATTGTTTGATATAGGGGCCGTTCACTTATTACGTTCACATTTTAGGGGGTAAGGGGGGGTTTGAAAAATTGTAACCAAATGTAACATAGGGGGGGGGGGGGGGTTGTCAAGAAGTATGTAACGTTCAAACTGTCGTCTGTCTTTTAAAAAAAAGTTCACGAAATAAATATTTGTTTACAAATTCACACCAAAAACATTTTTTTAAATTTTCCACCTTTTTAATGATTTATGAATGTCCAGATCACTTTTGATAGCTAAGCAATACATAGTTTTTGTTATATAAAGTAACAAATCAATAGAAAACTGGTTTACAAGACTTTAAAATACAATCATAGTTTGTAAAAATTTTCAAAATTAAATCAATCATAAGTTTAAAAATAAATCTCTCTAAATCTGTCATTCATATGATGATTAATATGATCCCATCATTGTGATATTTACATTCAAAGTTGATTGAATTTTCCAAAATTCGATCGGGCATAATATTTTTGAATTTTCTTCAAAAAAAAAAAACAAATTTTTGCTTTATATCTCAATCCAATAATTCATGAGAATACTAATAGTATCAATCAAAACATGACCTACATATTTAGCTGTACAGTATTTTGATGTTTAAGAAAAAAAATACAAAAGAAATTTAACCGTCTTTTTAGAATAAAAAATTATCAAAATAAAATAAATTATGAACGTTCAGTGGGGGGGGGGTTGTGAGTTGTAACATATTGTAACAAGGGGAAGGGGGTGAAAAAGTCGTTTTCTTGCGTAACGTAATAAGTGAACGGCCCCCTAGCAAGCATACGTTTAACAACACTGAAGTTTAGATTGACAACTAATTTTATATCATATCTTTTTCACAGGATGGCCTGAAGAGTAATACATTTGCAATTTTCATAATTTAAGTTGTTATCAAAAACAAAAGATGAAAAAAAAACAAAGTTTTAGATAGAAAGTTTGTTATTATTGTTAGCCATAAGTTGTTTTGAAAATTTAATATATTTAAGATGATAATTATGATGAAACTTAAACATATCAATGAAGCAAAGAAAGATGATGAAATTTTTTTGACTTACATGTCATATAAGAGAAAAGACAATGAATCCTAACATGATTATCGAAAGCATGTTATGAGATTTGAAGCATACATATCATGAGCAAACATATCAATTTTATATATATACAAGAAAAATACTTTTAAGTTCATCAAGATGATGAAAAATGATGAAAATTACTAGGAATTAAGTTGGGGATCGTTCATAAATGATGTCTTTCAAGTAATAGGAATTTTAGACTCCCTTCCTTTACTCCTCAGAAGTCACATTGGCTCCTGTAGTTTGTGACAAAATGTCACTCAAATCCTGACCCACCCACTACTTCTCTTAACGGTTAGATATCATTTATAAACATGCCCCTTGATGAATAAAGAAAATTTTTGTGATTTAATGAAGATAAAAGAAAATCAGTAAATGTAATATGTTCAAATGATGAAGGATAGATCTTTAGTGATTAAGCGACATTCTGTCCTTAAAAATTAAAAAAAAAATCTAGTCATAAGAATTATTTTTCTGCGACAAAAGAAAATGTTGAAAATTCCTAAATTGTTTTTAATTTTATGTCAATTGAAGTTTTTAAAAAAAATTGGCTAAAGAAATCATAAGTGCAAAATGTTGAATTAATTGATTTAGCTCAAGAAAGTTAATCTTTCCGATTCTTAATTCCAAAACTACTCATTTCCCTTAAAAAAAAAGAAATTTTAATCTTAGCTGTTTTAAATGAATTACATATTTTTGAAAGATTCTATTTATTAAATGGAAATTTGTTGAGAATATTATTATCTAAAAATTATATTTCAGAATATATGGTAGATTTATACTAGTTAAGGAACTGGGATATGTGAACCTTAAGTCTTTAATATATAGGTTCAATTAGGATTGTACATTGAAACATTAGACATTATATCTAATTAAAAAGAAGAAGTTTGTAACATTATTCTTATTTAAGTCTAGTTATTAACCAGATATAATGTTTAATGTTCCAAACTGGATATTTTGTTAACTAATTTTAAATGATTTCCAAAAATGATTATTAAGCATGACGCAAACAAAGGTAAAAGCTAATATAGATGAAGCTTACTTTGTTAAAATATTCTTTGTTAAATAATGGAGCAGTCAGAGTTTTTGAAACAGCCCTTCTTTAGTAAAAATCAACTTTCGATTTTTTCAAAACTCCAATTTTTTGATTTTTGATTTAGATTCATTTTTGTTGATTCATGTGGGAGAATTACAATTCTCATGCCTGATTTACCACAAAAGCTTAAATCCAATAATTCAGAGATTTTCCAGAGTTTTTAATCTATTCTTTTAGCAAAGGAAGTGTAGGATATTTACACTCCTGAATTTTATGGCACTAGCTTTATTTTAACACCATCCCTAAATTACTCTTATAAATAAAACACTTACACATTCTAAAATCCAAAAAGACATCCCTTTGGGAAAATCCCATATGAAATGAAAACTGTTTTCTGAGCCAAAAAAATGAGTCATGCTTTATAACGTCAATTTTCTCATTCGTCACTATATAGTAAATGCCGATTTTTTTTATCAAAGTGAGCTTTTTCAAACTGCAAATTCAATTCCTTACCTTCACCTTTTATGTTACAGACTTGGCCTAATAATTTTGAACTAATCTAAGTTTTTAATTCACAGCTGAAAGAAGCAAACTAAAGACGCTTATACACTCTTACCTTGCTCAAACTATTAGTTGAATGAAATTTAAACACATTACACATAAATTATTTAAAGTTTGAAGATTGCTTGACAAGTAGTTCAAAAATCCCATTTCCTTAATAACCCTCTGTGAGTTTTTCACATTAGATAGTAATTTCCAAATCCAAAAATGAAAAACTTCTTGTCGATTTTCCACGTACTGATTAAATGCATAAATGTCGTTGCTTAAATCCCATTCTATCTGTTAAAACATATCCTTGTAATGAATTTTAAGACAATGGAAGGAAGATAATGATGATGATGATAACAAAAACTGTATTTGACAATGAAGAATGATATTGATATTATTAAATCAATTCCATAATGATGAAAGAGTTTAAAACTATGTGTATGATCAAATATTTCTTAAACTTCCCTTTTATTTTATGTATAAAATTTATTGAATTAAATAAAAAAAAAGTTTTTATTCTTAAAGTTAAATGTTTGGGCTTTTATTAGTCATTTATTTATTTAAATATGACTTCTTGAAATAATTAATCATTTTTTTCCAGACCAACCTTTGGATCGAAAAATATTTGAAATCAAGGAAGGATATTCCAAAGAAATACAAAAATGCTAAAGTTCTATTTATTTTGTAATCAACACATCCAAGATTTCAATCAACAAAAAAAAAAGTTTTACTCAGGGGTAAGCTGACCATCTGAATAATTTTACAACGGAAAGTCCTGCATTTCAAAACCCTGTCCTGTACAAATCTGAAAATTTTGTTCCAGGTCCTGTATTTTTTCACGAAAATTTCCGTAAATTTTCAAATTTTCCTTTGTGTCCTGTATTTTTTAGGAAATTTATTAAATATCCTGTATTTTCATAAAAATTAGATGGTCACCCTAACAATGATCAAAACCAAAAATGCTTTAAATTTCATTTTAAAAGATATCTAGGTATTATAAATGATAAAGAATGCTAATATAGATATAAAATTGATATTTTTTTTGAAAATAGCCTACTATGATCAAAACCAAAAATGCTTGAAATTTCATTTTAAAACATATCTAGGTATAATTAATGATAAAGAATGCTAATATAGATATAAAATTGATATTTTTTTGAAAATAGCCTACTATGATCAAAACCAAAAATGCTTTCAATTGCATTTTAAAACATATCTAGGTAAAATAAATGATAAAGAATGCTAATATAGATATAAAATCGATATTTTTTTGAAAATAGTCTACTATGATCAAAACCAAAAATGCTTTCAATTGCATTTTAAAACATATCTAGGTATAATAAATGATAAAGAATGCTAATGTAGATATAAAATTGATATTTTTTTTGAAAATAGCCTACTAAGATCAAAACCAAAAATGCTTTAAATTTGCATTTTAAATCATATCTAGGTATAATAAATGATAAAGTATGCTAATATAGATATAAAATCGATAATTTTTTGAAAATAGCCTACTATGATCAAAACCCAAAATGCTTTAAATTGCATTTTAAAACATATCTAGGTATTACAAATGATAAAGAATGCTAATAGAGATATGAAATTGATATTTTTGAAAATAGCCTACTATGATCAAAACCCAAAATGCTTTAAATTGCATTTTAAAACATATCTAGGTATTACAAATGATAAAGAATGCTAATAGAGATATGAAATTGATATTTTTTTGAAAATAGCCTACTATGATCGAAACCAAAAATGCTTGAAATTGCATTTTAAAACATATCTAGGTATTACAAATGATAAAGAATGCTAATAGAGATATGAAATTGATATTTTTTAAAATAGCCTACTATGATCAAAACCAAAAATGCTTTAAATTGCATTTTAAAACATATCTAGGTATTACAAATGATAAAGAATGCTAATAGAGATATAAAATTGATATTTTTTTGAAAATTGCCTACTATGATCGAAACCAAAAATGCTTGAAATTTCATTTTAAAACATATCTAGGTATTATAAATGATAAAGAATGCTAATATAGATATAAAATCGATATTTTTTTGAAAATAGTCTACTATGATCAAAACCAAAAATGCTTTAAATTGCATTTTAAAACATATCTAGGTATTATAAATGATAAAGAATGCTAATATAGATATAAAATAGATATTTTTTTTGAAAATAGCCTACTATGATCAAAACCAAAAATGCTTTAAATTGCATTTTAAAACATATCTAGGTATAATAAATGATAAAGAATGCTAATATAGATATAAAATCGATATTTTTTTGAAAATAGCCTACTATGATCAAAACCAAAAATGCTTGAAATTTCATTTTAAAACATATCTAGGTATTATAAATGATAAAGAATGCTAATATAGATATAAAATCGATATTTTTTTGAATATAGCCTACTATGATCGAAACCAAAAATGCTTTAAATTTCATTTTAAAACATATCTAGGTATTATAAATGATAAAGAATGCTAATATAGATATAAAATCGATATTTTTTTGAAAATAGCCTACTATGATCAAAACCAAAAATGCTTGAAATTTCATTTTAAAACATATCTAGGTATAATAAATGATAAAGAATGCTAATAGAGATATAAAATCGATATTTTTTTGAAAATAGCCTACTATGATCGAAACCAAAAATGCTTGAAATTTCATTTTAAAACATATCTAGGTATAATAAATGATAAAGAATGCTAATAAAGATATAAAATCGATATTTTTTTGAAAAAAGCCTACTATGATCGAAACCAAAAATGCTTGAAATTTCATTTTAAAACATATCTAGGTATAATAAATGATAAAGAATGCTAATAGAGATATAAAATCGATATTTTTTTTTGAAAATAGCCTACTATGATCAAAACCAAAAATGCTTAAATTTGCATTTTAAATCATATCTAGGTATTATAAATGATAAAGAATGCTAATATAGATATAAAATCGATATTTTTTTGAAAATAGCCTACTATGATCAAAACCAAAAATGTTTAAATTTGCATTTTAAAACATATCTAGGTATAATAAATGATAAAGAATGCTAATATAGATATAAAATCGATATTTTTTTGAAAATAGCCTACTATGATCAAAACCAAAAATGCTTGAAATTTCATTTTAAAACATATCTAGGTATTATAAATGATAAAGAATGCTAATATAGATATAAAATCG